CCCGTTGACCGGTACTTGCGGGTTGGCCCGCCGGATCGCATCCCAAATACCTTTGCGGGGGGGGGGCGGTGCCGTCTGGTTTGTCTCGTCCCTTTTTCGGCCCCCCCCCCCCCACCCCCCCCCCCCCCCCCCCCCGCGGGGCTACATATCATTGTGCCCCGCCAAGTCTAACCAAGCGTCTCCAAAACAGAGGAAGTCGAGATGCGATCCAACACTTCCCCGCTGTCTGCCTTGCGAGCGCTCCGGTTCCATATGCGAATACTTCGACACCACAAAGGGCAGGAAGATTAGCCGGTACTATGTCGTCAGGCTGCAGCAGAAAGTGCGCCAGCTCGAGGCTGAGCTGGCCCAGTATACCAATGAGGATGACGAATACCCGCAAGACAATGAGGAAATCGTGCGGCCAGGGGGACTCATACGCCTCAGCGAGACCGACGAGACGCCGCGGTTCTTGGGGCCAAGCAGCGGAATTGCCATGACGAGGATAATGATGGAGGAAGCGAAGCGGCATACAGACTCCAAAAGCATATCGGATTTGATACCCGAGGTTCGTGCCCGGAGGCGAGCGCGTGCGGACCGTATGCAAAGCATCGTCGGCTACAGGGGCAGCGTCAGTGCTCCTGGTTCGAGGAAAAAGAGCTATCCCATGATCAGTGCCCACCCGGCGCAAAGCCTCCCGACACGGTCAATCGCGGACAAGCTGGTTGAGGTATTCAATCAAAGGGGTATGCTAGTTCTCTGCTTTTTGTCATGGAATTCCCACGAACCAGGAAGGCAGTCTTGACGGAGGAAGCTAACATCATGCAGCCCAGATTTTCCACCCCGCATTACACGAACCAGCGCTTCAAAAGGATCTCGAAGACGTCTTCGATGGCTGCCAAGATCCGTTCAAGAATTTCGTAGTGCGCATGGTCATGGCCATCAGCCTCCAGAAGCTCGACACCCAATATGCTGGCCTGGCCGACAGCTATTACCTGTCCGCCATGCAGCATTTCGAGGACGTCGTCCGTCCAAAAGATCTGAAGACACTGCAGTGCCTGGTCTTGATAGGACAGTATTCTCTGCTAACCCCCACGAGGACGGCCGTTTATTACATCATCGGCCTTGCGACGAGGATTTGCCAGCAGCTCGGCCTCGGAGAGGAGAAGACCATCACAGCTGGGTGCTCAATAGGACTTGTCGACCCCCTGACTCTTGATATGCGGAGGCGCCTTAGCTGGATCGTGACAACCAACGAGTTTGGCTTGGCACACAGCATGGGACGTCCAAGTGGGTTTGCAAAAGGCGACGACCTCATGGATGTCAAGTTCTTCGCCACAGTCGACGACAAGAATATCACAGCAGCAGGAATCAAGCAAGGACCGCCGAGCGAGAGGAAGCTTGTCTCGATACACTTTTGTAAGATGCGTTTGTTGCAGGCCGAGATACGCCGCGTTCTCTATGAGAAGAAACGGAGCGAGCCGAAGCATGAAGACCATCCCTGGTTTACCCAGATGATGGAGAAGCTTGATGAATGGAAGGACGCATCCCCGGACAAGCCAGAATGGTGCAAACCATGGTGAGAAATTCCGTGTAAGAACCGTGTCTCTTGTTTCGATGCTCACAGCCATAGCAGGTTTACCGGCCGCTATCATACCATGGTGATATTCCTCTACCGCCCCTCGCCTCAGGTCCCTAAGCCTACGAAGCAAGCTGCTTTGAGGTGCTTCGAGAGCGCGGCTCACGTCATTGACCTCTCCAGTCAGCAAGTGAAGAGGGCTGCCGTCGATATCACCTGGGTCTTCCTATTGACAGTCTATACGTCGCTCAACATAGTTCTTTGGGCCGTCTCATACCCGGAAGTGAGAGAAATTCATACGCGAGAAGCGTCGGAGGAGCTCATCAACATATCTCTGGACATTGTCGACCAGTGTTCGGAACGCTGGCCTGGCACGACAGCCGCATCGCAATTGTATGCTGTCTTTGCTCGAGCCTGTTTGCAAAGTTACGCAGCCAAGGAGAAACCACAACCGCCGAAGTCGAATGGCAATCGCGCGCTTCATACACCCCCTCCTCTCGCAGACACCGACTCTCCTTCCGCCTCTGAGGTGTCGACGTCGACACCAGCCTCGGCTTCGACAGTGAGGGCAACGCAACAGCAGGGCGCACAGCCACGGCCAGCCTTCAACCCACCTCAGTTTGGCCACGTCTTCGACTCGACGCCTGAACAGATGTCGGCTGGGTTTAGTTTTGATCCCGACTCATCACCCTTCCAGAATTCACATCCAACATTCCGCTCAAATTCCATCTTTATGAATCCCGCCACAGACTCTCACGGTCGCCGGTTTTCCCATTTCCCGCCGGACTTTACTCAGTCTGCGCAGACAAAACCGGCCGGGGAATCGGGACCTCTAACGCCCAATACGCCGTATAATACCCAGACCTCACCATCTCTACAGTCACCCTTTTCGCAGCACACCTCGCAGTCGATGATGACCTACGGCGCGGACACCATGCCCACTCCCCCGCGATCACTGGCTCCACAGTCGCACGGCGAGTCAGATATGAGCAGCCTCTCGCCGACCCCGCCGGCGATCAAGATGGAGAGCGCGACCCCGACCCCGACCCTCCCGTACGCCAGTCCCGCCCAGGTCACCGCCGCCCAAGCAAGTCCGGCCCCAGCCGCGAACCTTAAGTACGAACCCGGCGAGCAACCAGCCCCGCCGAACCAGCAGGCACGCACACAGCCGCCCCCGCCTCAACCACCCCGCGCGCCGGCGACCTTCACCATCCCAGCGGGACCACCCCAACAGGGCGCCGCCGCCCGCCAGCGACCCCTCCCGCCCACGACCGTAACCGACTGGTTCAGCCCCCCACCGCCATTCATCTCGCCGTACGCCTTCCCCGGCGGCGGCATGGGCGGCGGGGGCGGCTACTGGGGCGACGACTACGGCAACGCGGCCGCCGCCGCGGCGCCGTTCTCGGGCCTCGGCATCGGATTCGCATTCGGCGGCGCGGGGGGGGGATACGGCCTCTCGGGGGATTCCCGCGATGGTGGCTTTGCGGCGGGCGGTGGCGGGGGCCCGCCGTTCCTCCAGTACGCTTTCCCGCCCGAGAGGCATGGCAGCCTGAGCGTCGAGCAGCAGGTCGAGTTGATGGATGTGCTTGAGACGGAGGGCGTGGGGGAGATTGATGCGTTTCTGAGTACGGGGATGGGGATCGGCGGTGGTGGTGGAGGGGGAGGGATCAGCTGGGTGTGAAGGGCTGGTGCGTTGGACGCTGATGATGGGTTGTTTGTGGATTTTCCTTGATGCTCTGAGGTGGGATGGAAGGCTGGGTGGATGAATCGGATGCATGGATGGGGAAATGGAGGGGTGGATGGAAGGAAGGATGGATGGATGGATGGATGTATGGATGAGGCTATACAGTACTTGGTCCTATCTGGCGTTCTCGGCACCCGGAATCAGGATGTGTATGATACCAATACCACTTGGGAAAGGGAATCTCATTTTCCTCAGAGAAGAGCAATTTCCCCACAATGAGATGGGGGGCTATTTTCTATTTTCGCTAAACGGAGAGGCTGTACAGTACAGGGTGACGGATGATGTGCTAAGTATATTTGCAAACCCCCATCCTCGTTGTCCCCCGTCCGCCGTTTTGCTCAACCAGCTAGCTAGCTAGGTACCTTCCCAGCCAACCTACCCAGTACAAGTCATCTCCTCACCCACCACCCCCTGAGCCACCGTCCCCATCCCCATCATACCCGCACCGCCACGACCCCCGCCGCGCCCAGCACCACCACCCCTCCTGCGCCTCCTGCGCTCCGGACCAGCCCCGCCCTCGACGGACCCGGCATTGGGCGGCGCCTCGCGCACCCACCGCGCTACTGCGCCGGCCCGCTCCGTCAGGATCGGATACTCCCTGCCGTCGTCGACGACCCAGCGGCGGGGCCCGGGGGCGGGAGCCGTGGCCGTGACCGGTGTTGCTGTTGTTGTGGTCGCGGGCGCGGGCGCTTGCACGTCCTTTGCTTGCGGGCCTGCTGGTGGTGGTGGCGGCTGCGTCTGCGCAGGCGTCGCGGTGGCTGCCGCCGCCGCCGCCGTCGTCGTCGTCGGGTGGGTAGTAGCAGCGGGCTGTCCGGCGGAGGCGTCGTGGCCCAGCTCCTGGGCCATGAGCTTGGCGTCCAGGGCGGCGACGGCCTCGTTGAGGCGGTAGTCCTCCTCGGCGCGCATCTGGCGGGCCCGCACCGCTGCTCTGAAGGTGAGGTCGTCGTCCGTGACGCGGTGCTGCTGCTGCTGTTCGTCCAAGGAGCCGCCTGCTATTGCTGCTGCGGATAGCAGCGCCTTGGGCTGCTTGGCCGGCAGCGATGATGATGATGATGGCGGGGGCCCGGCTCCGGATGATGAGCCTTGGAGGAAGGGCAGCGGGGCGGGCGCACAGAGGGATTCCCACGCCCCCGACAACTGGATCCAGTTGTCGCCGCGGCGGAGCACCTCGATCCAGTCGGCGCGCGCGGGGGAGCGGCTGGCCTGGAAGACGGGGTAGCCGTCGGCCAGGCGGGCGAGGCGGGCGACCATGTACGCGTGTCGCAGGAGCTCCTTGGCCGAGGTCTGGGCCAGGCAGTGGCACAGGAGGAGGGAGTGGAGGGCGTCGGTGAGGAGCGGGTGGTAGGTCAGCGTCTCGGCGGTGGTCTCCTGAGCGGGTGGTTGGCGTGCGGGTACCATGTCGGTCCTCGGATACGGGGGGAGGCCAGCTGGTGGGCTGGCTGCGAATAGTTCCGACAGGGAGTACAAGTGGTACGGCATGTCGGTGCCCCTGGGGCCACTCACGGCCTGCCCGGTGGGTCGTGCCATATGAGGTTGGGAACGGGGGATGCGGATTCCGTTCGCAGTCTGGTTGACCTTCCTGGCAAAGTCTTCGACTGTTTCGATGGGAAGATCCGGCGAGTATTCAAAGTGCGAGAGGTACGCCATGTAGTCTCGCAACGCCCGCTTGGCGTTTGTCTTGACTAGCTTCCGGGCCGATTTCTGCTCCTCGAGGAGCGCTCTCTCAGCCTCCTGTTCCGCAGGGGACAGCTCCGGCAGCGATCCCGTTTCCACGGCTTCTCCGTTCCCGTTCTGAGCTTCCGCGCCGGCCGTTTGGCGCCTGCTCGGGGGACGCGGGTCTATTAATGCTGCTTTAACATGCTGACAAGCGATTGCGAGGTAGACCCCCGCTCTCTGGAAGAGCAGCTGGATCTCCAAGCTGCTTGGCTGCTCTTCCTCGCGCAAGACGACGTCTTCGTGCCTCCGAGTGCCACGCGGTTGTTGGACCTCGTGACCCGCAAACTCCTGCGTATGCGATTTCGGAGCCGTATGGGGCGCCCGGTACAGGCGGTGCACCCTCAACGCCTCGGTGAGATCCCTTGCAGCCCTCTCATAGTCTTCCTTGAACACCCGCACGGTTGCCCTGGTCCGTAAGGGTTCCCCTTCGGTGGGCCTGCTAGCTATGACCTCGTCCAAGGGACCGAGGCTCGTGCTCTCGGCCAATTGCCGACTAGGTATCTTCTCGTGGAAGAAGTGCACGTATTTCGCATCCTCGTCGTCCTTGCTCCTCTGCAGTACCAGCGACGCCACGTCTTCCAGCGTGGATGTGCTCTGCATCGTCGCCACGCTGGAAGCGATCTCGTCGAGGTGGTAAGCCTTGGACAGCTTCTGCGTCGCCTGTTCGCGCATCCTGTGTTTCCGTTCCCGACTCAGCTTCGTGTGCCCTCTCCCGCCTCCCTGGTCAAACCCCAGTCCCAGGGGCGAGTTGTGGTGCGGCGCATTGCCCATGCTCGACAGCGCGGACGACGCGATCCCGCTCGCGGCGCGCACGGCAAGATTCGTGGCATCGTCGACCAGCCGTCTGATCTTGACGAGGTCGAAGAAGACTGCCGGGTCGATGGGGCGCGGTCGGGGTGTGTTGTAGTTCGCGTGCGCAAGGGTGTCGAGTATCTCCGGAGGCAACTGCAGCCAAGGGCCGTGGAACGAGGAGATGTATCGCCAGTGTCTGCAAAAGTTCAGTTCTCTGTCAGCTCAAAGACTGAAGGACAGGAGGGGGCAACTGGGGCGCGGGGTTGCGGGGGATGCAGAAAAAACACGAGAGGCTTCTGGGGATGGATTCCGAAGGTTCTGAGGGGTCCGGCGGTGGAACCAATTGCGCGCAATGGCTACGCAGAGGGCGGAAGAGCTCACTTATTACGGCAGATAATGAGGGCCGGCGATGATGGCTGCGACGGCGGAGGTTTGGCCTTCGTCGCCTTCTTGGAGTTTGAAGGAAGGGAAGGTAGGACTGGCGGCGCTGACGGCTGCGAGGGTGGCGAGGACTGGCCATTGACCTGGCTCCCCTCCTCCGCTGGCGGCTGCTTCTTCTTCTTCGTCATGTCTGCGCACGAGCAAGCAATCGGGGCGACGAATTGGAGCAATCCTGGTCGGCGCACTCTGCGCGAAATCAGAGTTTGGCTTCCCGAGGTCGAAACGCCACGAGTTTCGCGGACATTGGTGGAAGGATCCCGTCTAGTACAAATACAAGCAGGTCATACGGTCGGCGCAATGGAACCTAGTCATATTTATACATATGTATTTGTGAAGGACTCATCAAGTGGCCCTCGGCTAGTCTACACGGTGTCGAGTGAATCCCTCGTCGAGTTTTTGAGTGACTATGGTGGTGTGTAGACCACGCACGTGATAGCCTCAAAAATGGATCCCTCTGCGAGCCACAGTGGAGTCAGCTCAGATCAGAGTTGAGTAGGTGCTTATCTGCATGTAACCTTCGATCTCGATGGGATACCGAGTGTTGCTGAGGTCTCGGGAGATTGCGTCCACTAATGCAGCCTGGCCAAAAGACTTTAGGTTCCGGTTTTCAATGCCAACAAGAGGACTCCCGGACGGGCCAAGTATGTACTGCACAAGGTAATTCTGTGGCCATCAAACGAGTTGTCCATGGTATGGCATTACTGAGAGTAGCAAATGTTTCTCCAACGGGTAACTAGGTAGGTTATTGAATGACCGGGCCCTTTGTCTACCTGGGTACAAGGACGTGGAAGCGAGCATCGCACACGCCTCGGCCAAAGCTGCCATCACTTGCCGCGAGGTAGAGCAGCCAACATTAGATACAACCGAAAGCCGCAAAATATCCAATGTTTTGACACTCGAGAACTTCTCTTCGTCCCGAGTTCATCCTCTAGCCCGTGATCGAGAATGCCACCCCCCAGAAGCAGGATCCTCGAAATGTTTAGACACAATGGTTGCTGAGCACTTGCCCACACCAAGATGGGAGGCGTGAAGGTAGGCAGGTGAGGTGGAAAATAAAGGGGACGGTAATACAAACCACAACCTACCTCCCACGACGAGTGACCGAAGGGTTGTTGGACTGGACTAGACTGCGCTGGGCTGGGCTGGGCTGGGACGATCACGGTCCAACACAGGCAAATGACAGGTTCGCTGACACTGTTTCAATTGCGCCTACCGGCCGAACTAGCTAAGCAATCTGAGACCAACTAGCCGGTGTAGAGCAACGAAGCATAATGGCCATGTCACGGCAACCCTGCCCAGTATATAGGAAACCGTGTCACCGGTTTTGTCCCCCATGCCGTGACGGCGGCAAAAGTTTGTCCCCTCTGTCCACGTCCACCCCTTTCCCCAAGGGCGGGGGGGGGGGGGAGATAAAAACGGCAACGCAGTGCAATAAATGCAGAATCAGAGACTAACCCCCTCGCAAAACAAGGCAACCTGTACTAAACGCCCGTATTTCAGAGCGATTTTTGCTGGTGGCCGTCAACGTGCTCTAACCTCTGCAGCCGAGCAGACCAAAGTCTCAAAGGGGAGCATCATGGAATCACCCATTGCTACCGCTACATCTCCTAGTTGGCCGGTAGTTTTTCAACGTTGCCCTGGCCATTTGCAAGCCAGTCAGGCTCGATCAGCTTCTCCTTGACCTGGAAAAGGAACCGGTACGCCGTCTTGATAGTGCCGTCACTAACGCCGGCTACCTGCGCGATCTCCTTTGACGGCCGGCCCTCGCCCATGAGGTGAGACGCCATGTAGATGCAGGCTGCGGCCACCGACAGTGGCGACCGTCCCGCCAGATCCGGCACCGAGGATGTCTTGCCTGCCAGGGCCCTCGAGACCTTCTCGATCTTCTGCGAGTTGCGGAAGCGCAGCTGGCTGCAGTAGCGGGCGCAGAGTTCGTCGGCACTGGTCGAGCCCTTGCCGTGGTACTTGTCGTGGGTCTGGTTCTTGACGACGTTGACATCCTGCTTGCCGAGGAAGGTCTCGAGCTGCTTGAACACCCGGCCAATCTCCTTCTTCGAAACCCGAGTCAAGGAGAAGATCTCGCGGAACGTGCGGGGGACATTGTTGTGCCGGCAGGCGATGAAGATGCAGCCAGCGATGATGGCCTCCTGGGACTTGCCCTTTAGGACTTTGGCGTCCTCGACGAGCTTGTAGATGTGCTTTGCAGCGTCCGAGACAGCCTTGCCAGCATTGATACTGTCTGTCAGAGTGCCAATCTCACGGTATGCTTGGAGCAGCGACTTGGTCGCCTTGTCGTTGACCATCTTGTTCTGAATATGGGATAGGTTCTTGGAACCTTTGCCACCGTCGAAGGCGATGGTCGTTTCTAGCTGGGAGCCCTCGAGTAGCATGTTGGGTGCGTCGCCGACTCGAGAAGGATCGTCATTGCCTTGGTCATCGTTGGAGAAGGTACGCCACTCAGAACGGGTGTCGATGATGCGCTCGCCGACCACGAGGCCGCACGAGCCACACACCATATCCCCAGAGGAGAACTCCTCGATCAGATTCGGCGGGAACTCCTTGCAGTCCGGGCAGGTGAGAATATTGTTGAGGTTCTCCCTGTATTCGGCTTCGGCCTTCGCGCTGGCTTCTGCCGCCGCAGAAGGTATCATCTTGGGCAGGTAGGAGTTGGCTGTGTAGGTTCCGCTAGCTTTATCGAGCGACTGTCGCTTGCTCTTCCTCTTCCGACGCTGCTTCCTGAGCTCGAGTCTCTTCTCGTCGACGACTTTCCGAGTATGGAAATCGGGGAACAAAGACTTCTGATATAAGATAGCGGTAGCGAGCTTATGGAAGAGTGGAGAATGCGTCTTGTCCGTGTTTGGTGGCCGTCGGGATCTCGACGACCGATTTAAAGCTTTCTCAAAGTCTCCCCTACGACCCCTTGGTGCTCCTGCCTCCACTCGCGAAAGAAGGAGGTGATGTCGATTGTCTCCCGATGCCACGGTCTGATGAGTATTATCCTTGACGTCGGTTCCGGTCGAAGCGGAGATCAATCCGAGGAGGAGAGGATGGTGGAGAAATGTTGAATATCAGGAAAGACCAAGGACGTTCAAATAAAATAGACGGGTGCCAAGGACAAAAGAATGTTCCGCGACGGCCTCAGAGAAATAGGTGGAGGCGGAGGCGTTGCGGGTGAGAAGAAAAGGTAGTCGCCGTCGTCTGAGGAAGAAAAAACTCGGCCAGCCGACCGTTCTGAGGGACCAGCGAAGGTGTCTGATGGCGTGGAACTGGATCGAGTCGAACGGCTTCAGAACAAAGAATAGTCGACCGGAATCGTCGAGTCTGCAGGATGCGGCTACGGCAGTCAACTCTGTGGGGATTGGCAGGGAGAGTTGTCGACGATGGTATTTAACGGCGAGCGAGCGACAATAGGAGAGCGGATGCGAAAGGTAGAATTGAGGCTGATGGTTTGGTTTGCCTTGCCACTCAAGTACAAAGAGAATGACAGTTGCTGACTAACCCGGGGAAGGTTCCAGGCAAAAAGTGGGCGCCAGTAACTTAGGCTCCATTGTTAGTGCAGAGCCTGCGGGGAAGTCACCCTGATAATTATTGGAGCATTCCGTGCTGTAATCACAGCGTATTATTGCCCTTGGCGGTGCTAATTTGTGCAATTCATAGCGTCTATCCGCTAAAAGTCCGCCGCACATTGAGACTTGTGGTCGAAATTCGGTGACATTCCCGAGACCTCTGCCATTAACAGCCCTACCTCAGCAAGGTCCTGTCATTGAAAAGCCGTATAGAGCCGCACTTTTGAACTTGCGACCTGTCACTTGACCCGAATCTCAAAGATGCCCCGAAACTCGGTTCAAACGTCAGACCAGTCCAGGCCGAACGGGAAGAAGTTAGACAGGTTGCCCGTTTATCTGGCGTGAGCGTGGGTCGGGCGGCCGAGTCCAAGTCGTCTGTGAACCCGGCAGCGATTCGAGCTGAGGCAGTGCCTGAAGTTGAGCAGCCGTTTGTCCCTTCAATGGCGGGCTTCGAGTTGACGAATTTGATCTGGCTCGGTCTGGTATCGGGATCTCGGGTGATGAGATCAATGCGGGGTGTTCACCTGGCGAGTTTGACCGCTCCCTTGTCATCCTTGCCTCCCATTCTTTCCAATCCTCCTTAAGTCCGGTATGCTTGCCATCTTGCACGTCGATCGAATGGCTGTCCGCCTGGCTACTCGGCCCGAAGGATCGGCTGGCGAGAGACTTCCGGATCATGATGCACCTCTGGACTTCTTCCTCATCCATCCGATCTTCGGCCGTCATCTTCGACCTCTTCTGGAATTCGTTCCAGGATAGTTGCGGTTCTCTTCTCCTCTCGAGTCGGTATTGCCTGCGCCTCAAGTATGCGGTGACAGACACAACGAAGGCTGTGGCGAGAAGCATGGTACCGGCAATGATGCCGACAGTGATCCATGTTTGGGTATCCGGCCTGCCGGGCTCCCGCCGCGTGATGCCGGCGGCGAAAGGGGTGCCATCCCTTTGTAAAATTTGTATGACGGGCATTTTGGTGGTCTAGATGCAAGGCAGCGGGATGGGCCGCAAGATCCACAGATGAAGATTGTGGGGATCGAGAGATGCAGCACCACCATCTCTTCACCCACCAATTATCCTGCAGAAACACGTCGATTCATTCTGACCTCTAGCCTGGGGCAGTCATCGCCAAGTTATATCCTTCTACAGTGCAGCACGCACAGAAGGCAGCCGCCTGTGGAATGCCCCGGCGCCTGAGAACAGGGGTCGTAGTAAGCCGAGCCACTTGGGGAACACCGTCCAGAGCACTGAATAATCCTCTGGGGGTGCACGGCACGGAATCCATTTTCGTGCTATAAATGGGCCTAATTCATTTATCGCCGCTCCGATCCATCACCAACCTGGTTACACGATCCGCACAGATTACCGTTAAGCCAACCATGAGTGCCAAAATGGTCTCGGCTTGGAAGGCAGTCTTCAAACTCTGTGGCACAGCGGGCAGATTGCGTTGGATTCTGACATAGCAACCAGCATCTTATGCGCCTACATTATAGCTTTGGCTGGTGGGGCGGAGCAGACATGGATTATGATGACTTGCAGCTCTGCCCTGCCACGACTTGGCTTCTATATAAGTACTGGGGTTGTTTTTGCCGGATTTACCCATTTCCAAAAATTACTCTTGCCAATCCTTGGTTGTGCAAAGATTCGGCTCGTCTGTTGGGGAATTATGTCTCTCATCCCGTCCGTGGTGGTGGTGCACAGGCTGCGACCTCGATAATAAGCGAAGGCTACGGCGTAAGCTAACTTTGGGGGTGGCTGCTTACCCCATATTACACTACATTGACCCGTCTTACATACTCCCCACACATCCCGAGATAATGGCGCTGAGTCGGCAGTGGACCACAACTTACTATGTACATACATTGTTATGTGACCGTGGTCAGGCTTGTAATCAACTGTTCACAGTAGAACATTTGGGGAGATCAGCCAAGGCCACGGACCTCAGGATCGTTTCAATATCGTGTTGATCGGTCTAGTATGCAACGACTCTTATTTTAGTCGCAGCGAACGGGATAGCTTTCTCCTATAAAGAGAGGCTTGGAACGACGCGAAAGGCGTCTGAATGACAGGCCTTGGTATTGATATCCTCTACGTCTCTCCTCGATCCAATCGTTAAGATAATGGTTTAAATATTTGTTTGTATTATGTATTTTGTATCCCAGGTGAATATTGTTGACATTGCCAGTGGGAAACTGACTTAGATGGTGATGAAGGTTTCATGACAACGTTAGCAGCTAAGTAATTGTCAAAATAATTCATCGATATTATGATGAAGTCTGACCTTATATTTGGCCTCTGTCTCGTGATTTCGTTTTATGTTGGCGTATGCCTGGCGTCTCTTTCTGCGGCCGAGTGGTGATGTCACGCCTACGCCCTGGTCGAAGGGCGCGCTACGCGCTGATCCCCGCCACAGATTGGCCAGTGTCGCCTCTCTGCTTGGTATGAAGAACACAGGGCGCGCCTTGTTCCTGGTTCTGTGAAACTATGCGGGCAATAGAGGAACTACACATACTATATATTCCTCTAAGATCACAGTCAGCAGGAAAACTCGCAACTCACCACTCTCCACTCAACACTCACTATTCACCGGCAACATCTCATAATGTCTAGCGCAAAAGCTTTGGCCGGAGACTTCCCGGTTCCAAAGTTCATCGAAGGTGGCTGCGTCTGTGGCGCGTTGCGATACCGTGTGGATTTCCCGGAAGACCATGACTTTAAGGCCGCAGTTGGTGATGCCCAGTGCCTTTCCCTCGGCCGGCGTTCTCCCTCGCTCGGTCATCCTCCCGCTAATACAATGATCCACCAGTCTGGCAGCTGCCAATGCACTCAATGCCGCAAGCAGACCGGGTCTCTGTTTTTCCTTCACCAGACTGTTCCTGCTACGGCATTCAGCTTCACGTCGGATACTTCGACCCTGAAGACATTCCAGGCCAGTCCTAAAGCTTACAGAGCCTTCTGCTCGACTTGTGGCACGTTCTTCTACTGGCAGCCCCAGTCGCGCGAGTACGTAAGCCTCGCAGTCGGCACCATAGACCCGCTCTACCTGTTCGGAGAGGGCTCCGATGGGGTGCAGACCGGGCTTCGGGAGGGAGAAGTTGGGCCTATTCCCAAGAAGGGCTATGGATTGGCCCTCGCCGGTGGGGGTGGGGATCACGGATGGTGTGCGAATGAGATACCAGGGGTTACCGACAACGTCCCCGTGCTTGGACTTGCTCGGGGAAGGAGGCTCGCTGAGGACTGTTGATACAGGAGAGACTGCTGAACACCGCTGGGAGGGCTGCAAGACACGAACGTTTCCAGTCAGAGTGGATCAGATTAAATTCAACATGATTCTGTCTTATGCGACTCAATGCACAATGCACGCCCACTACTTTATTACAGCGGATATTGTGCCAAATACCACGGGTATACAGCCAGAGAATGCCGAACTAGATATGCAAATGTCCCATCCCTAATCCAGCCCCCTATCATTCCCCCCTTTCGTCCCCCCAGGAATATTAATGGGGAAGGGTAGGACTCCGAATGAACACCCCTAGCCGCGGCACCATCACTTTCCCCAATTCGAATCCCTCGACTCGGCATCGACACCCTGCTGGACGCAACTTTCCGATCTGTTATTCTCCTCACCCGCCTTGGCAGCATTATACTTCTTAAACACCAACTCAACCAGACACCCAATCTCTCCCCTATCGCGACCCACCACCCCAGCAGCAAGCAGCGCATCCGTCTCCTCAATCCAGTCCCTCAGCTTCCTAAACTCGGCCTCATCCTTCTTCAGCCTCTCAGGCAAGCCCTGCCCCTTAACCAGCGCCAGCACCCCCGCAACCACCGTATTAACCGCCCCCAGCACCGTGATCAGCACAGCATCCCTCCCGGCCTCGGGCCCCAGCGCCGTCAGCGCCGCCCCAACCACCACCTGCGCCAGGTGGCTCCCGTAGAGCAGCCCGTCAAGCAACACGTGCCGCACCCGCTTCCGGCCCTGCGCCCGCACCACCGCCCCGCACACGCCTCCCCGCTTCTGCCCCTCCTCCAGGCCCCTGTCGTCGTCAGAGGATGGGGAGCCGATGATCCCCACGGCACGCCGGCAGATGAGCAGGTTCTCGTCGTGTCGGCGGCCGCGTGGCGCCAGTCCCGCCGGCGCGCCCCACGGGAGAGGTGCGCTCGAGTCTACCTTGGGGAGGCGGGGGTGGTGGGGGAGAGGGCGGCGGCATGAGGGTTGGCATGGGAATTGTGAGTGGTGTTGATGCGCGCTGGGTGGCTGTTTGTTGGGCCTGGGGTTGCGGGGGGGGGGGGGGGTGGGGGAGGTGGGGTTGGTTTGTGGTAGGAGCGGTGATTGCTCGTCAAGGGTTTCTGTGGAGGCGGACATTAGTGAGTGTTAGGGAGGGGGGTATTGAAACTTGATATATTAATAGGTGGTGTAGGTTGTTGGAAATTATTTAGATTCGACTGCCGAAAGGTGCTGTGTTGAGAGACATGTGATGGAGAGTTAGGAAGGTACCATTTCTTATCGGTCTCTCTCGAACAGTATTTTATCTTGTAATACAGCTCAATCCTATGACCTTGCCCATCATCGACTGTTATTTCCATGTTGGAGCTCTCACGTGGACATTTTGGAGGATCTGACAGGCGCCGGACAGGTGGTGGTCAGCAATAGATGTGACTTAGCCTTACAAATCCCGGAGGATGGAAGGTATGTAGGCAACATTATGAGAAGTCCGGTGCCCTTAGATAGTGGCTCAATTGCTGCGCCGCGGTCGCAAAGTGGTGGAAAGGCCATCGGGATTTCAATTTCGTCTCGGGCGAGATTTCTTTCTTGTATTCGGCAGATGGCATCACAGATCCACGGGGGGTGACCAATTTTTAAGACGACCAGAGAGGATCAGGAGACGCTGTCCTTCTTTCATGAGGACAGAAACTGTCAAACTCGGGATACGTATGTCGAATTGGGTAGTTTCCTTCAAGACCACCATATGGCAACCACCCAGGTACAGTTCTTCTCTCTCACCAGCCTCATGTGATAGGACGAAGATATATTTGGAGATTGCTCTCACACCGTTGAGGCTGGACTGGTCACCTGCGAGAGTTCGGTCTCACGGCCTTTCTATTTCACCTGCTCAAGGTGACCGAGCTTCTAATCATGAGAAGTGGGTTGGTAATAACATGACCCATTCTAGCCATCCGGGTTGAAATACACAGGGCTGTAGAACGCTTGTATTTCGGCTCACGGGATTTGCAATGTTACCTAAGGTAGTAGAAGGATAGAAAGACTGATTGGCATGTGCAAACATTAGCGAACAGGAGGGGCAAGGAGGACATGTTGACTGAGCATTGAGGTGGATTCGCAGAATTCGCAGTGAATTGCCTTTTTGTGATCAACCAAGAACTCCGAGGAGATATTCTTGCAGCACCTCTAGAAGAGCTAGCAGAAGCAACCTAGATCGCAAGGAAGAGAAGGGTGAGAGTGGACAGTTTGACACGTATAAATATGCTGTGTACAACCTACCCGCACTTGGTCTCGTTAGTCTCCGACTCCAGCCCAGAACAGCATCAACTTTCAAATCAATTAAGGCAGGCATCTACTTGACAGTAGAATGTTCCGGCACTCGTAGTTAAAGGGTCTTGACTGATTTCGGGGACGCCGTGCTCATGTCAGAGGTTGTGGGCGACATACCAGACAACCCAAAGTTATCGAGCCACCAGGGAGCAGCCCCCATATTGAAAGGGACTTCAACTGCTGTTAAATCGTTGATTATGGTAGTCAAAGTTGTTGTTCTTCAGACTTCTGTCTTTCGATAAACTCCAATTCGAATGATGACGTCTGCGATTCAGGGGGTCGCGCGGCTACGGGACGTGGATTCGCTGTTCAGGGACTTCTTCCACGCCGAGGAGGGGCCGTGCAAGAGGACGGACGGGATGTGGCTCGATAGGGTGGTGTAGGGCGAGAGGCTGTACCTAGAGAGGCCAGGGCTGGGAAGCGAGGGCGCTTTGGAGTGGCTCAAGAGGGCGTACATCGACGTCAGGAAGCTTGGAGAGGAGACTGGAGACGGGCTGTTTACCAAGGGCGAGAGGGCCGAGTTAAGGGAGCAGAGACGGAGGGAGAGAAGGGAAGATGTGGAAGAGAGTAAAGTCGCTTGAGATAGGCAAAGGCGTTCTTTTTGAGCGAGATGGATGCTAGGTCGTTTATCATGAGCTAGGTAGATGTTGAACACCGGGAGACCTTTGTTATCCCGTACCAATACACCGTAGGACAGGCGTTTTTTTAGCACGGCATATTGTGAATACTAAGTCACATTCTCAAATGGCTCCCCCCTTGGGAGGAGCCTCATTCACTATGCCTCACTTTCCCCATCACCCGCCAGGCCCTTTATATATGAGTTCAAGCAGTCCCAAAAGCACCAAAAAAGCCCGATTGGTGTAGCGGTAGCACAGAGGGAGTAGTCGCAGTAGGACGCTTGAAGCAGTAAGTCGGCCAAGTTATACCTCAGGTCCTCAGTTCGAATCTGAGATCGGTCAATTTTTTTTCCCTTTTTTTCTTTTTTCTTTGTTCCTCCTTCTTAACTCTATCTTTTAGTTCTCAAATTCCCCCTTCTAATTACCATTTTGTATATATGTTATTGTCTTTCTATCTGTCTGCCCTTGCAGGTTTGTGCTTTCTCCCTACTAGCAGCGCACCTGTGGTCTAGTTGCTTGGGAAACGGACAGAAGATAGGATTTAGGAATTGGGAGGTCCAAGGTAAATCTAGAAGCAGGTCGCACTATTGAAGAGCACGGAAGGATACACGCTTGCATCGTTGTTAGCAGTGGTGCCTGGAAGCAGGCATATTAGGCAGGTCCTTGAAACAGTGGGACAACGGACTATTCTGTGCCTTGGACGCCCGTAGGCGCTGAAATGAAGGGGTACGATGCTTCCTATTCTGCAGTGACACTTGCTGGAATGTTGTAAGTAACCCGAATTCGAAAGAGCCTTGGCCGTTTGATGCAAGATTCAAGGTTGAGTAGAACCTCAAACGCTTCGCTTCTGCCTGCACCCGTACAAACGGCGTACTTGCCTGGAGAATCGAAAGAACCACTCCTCGGAGGCCAGAGGCCACACCGGCATTTTCCAAGTTATTTGTTCCGCCGCCCGCAACTACCTCGCCACTATCCTTTCTCTTCCGAGTTGCTATTCCCCGTTCTAGACCTTTCGATCGTATTCAAGTATACCAATCTATTCATCTCATTCCACCAACGCTGCATCTCGTCCCTTCGATACTCTCGTACACCTGACAAAAGAGCTCATCTATCTCCATTCATCTTTCTCGTTCATAGACTCTATCACTTTCGATTTCTTCGACTGCTATTAAAACACATCTATCTCACCTCCTCTAACCTGATTCTGCACTCTGCACCTTCCCTCTTTCCTAACACGACGTCAACACCATGGCCCCTTCTGATTCTGAAGCGTCGATCATCATCGGCATCGATTTCGGAACCACGTAAGCAAAAACGCCCCTACGTTCCTTCCTAGCTGCCATATACTGTGTTCTAGGCAGTCGTGACTCAATGCCTTCGCTACTCTGGGTCCGATACTACCTACCTAGGTTTTCCGGTGTGGCATGGACATGGACTGGCAAGGCCGAGAATTCGGAAATTATTACGAGCTGGGAGTCACAGCTCCATACTAACCAGGACATGGAGAAGACTCCTACGGCCCTCCATTATGGCAGCGGTTCTCGTCGTGGAACTGATATTACCTGGGGCTATGATATCTCGGAGGAGAAGGAGCCCATCCGTTGGTTCGAGCTACTCATAGTTGACGAGGAAGGTCTGCCGGCCGATGTCCGATACTCTCCTCATATAGCCAAAGCCCGCCAGCAGCTCAAGGAGGAGAACAAGACGCCCACAGAGGCCATCAGCATCTACCTCCGCAATCTGTGGAACCACTCTATCAACGTTATCACCAGAACGGTGAGCAAGAGTTTGGTCAATTTCTCGCGGTTCCACGTCGTCATCACTCTGCCCGCCATCTGGCCGCAATATGCCCGGGCTAGATGCGGGAGGCGGCCGGGCTTGCCGGCATCTTGCAGAGACGGATGGTAGGCGATACCACTCTCACTTTTGTCTCGGAGCCCGAAGCTGCTGCACTTGCCACGCTTGCAGACATGTCTGGGAGAAAGAATATCAAGGTATGGCCTGTCTCATTTGCTGTGGGTTGCGTCGGCGCTGACTAGTATCTAGAAGCGTGATAATTTTGTTGTGGTGGACTGTGGCTGAGGCACGGCCGATCTCATCAGCTACAACGTCGTCACGCTGGACCCGATGACAGTTACAGAGGTGGTCAAAGGCCAAGGTACGTCTGTCCCGTCGCTGAATGGCGCGAAGCCGGCAGCGTTGCCACCACATTCGCTCTCGAGCTCAACTAAATTTGCAATATCTCAGGCGGTCTCTGTGGCGCAATATTCGCCGACGAAGCATTCTCCAAGCTTCTGGAGAGCAAGTTCGGCCAAGCGGCTTGGAACAAGATGAAGGCTGCCACCCGGGTCCGCATATTACATGAAGAGTGGGAGCAAGGTATCAAGTGCCAGTACGACGGCCGCGACCGCACCTGGACAATCGATATCCCCTTCGAGTGCATCGAGCTCAGTCGCCGGCGCAGTCTGAAGGAGCTACCTACCATCAAGTTGACGGCCACAGAAATCCGCCAAGTGTTCCGCACCGTTACCGACAAGATCGCCGCCTTGGTATTCGAGCAAGTCACTGCTGTTCAGGAGAAGCAAGGGGAGAAACCAAAGGTACGGCCATAAGGCATATCTCGTCTTTTCTTTCTCTTTCCCAACCCCTCCCTCCCCACTTTTGGCATAGTAATGACAGACCCATTGTTCCCAGTATGTGATTTTGGTCGGCGGCTTCGGGCGATGTCGATTCCCCTATGAGGACTTGAAAGAGCGGCTATCGGAACAGGGAATCGAGGTACTACAGTCGCGAGGCAGCGGACCGTGAGTAATTATATCCCATTGATGGACACATTTTCCGATTGGCTAAGAAAAACATGCAGCTGGACCGCTATCTGCCGAGGTGCTGTTATCCATGCGACCACGCAGCAAAATCTAAACTCGATCTTTAAAGTCGACGTGCAACATCGCATCGCTAGAGCAAGCTATGGGATCCGAGTGTTGTTGAACCCTTGGGATCGCCTTAAGTACCTAGAAGAGGACAAGGTGTGGGACGACAAGGAACAATGCTTCAAGGCAAATAACCAGATGAGCTGGTTATTGAAAGTGGTTTGTGTCCAAGTTTCAACTCCGGAGGTACTGCTGTCTAATTAAAGGTTGTAGGGCGAGCGTGTCAAGGAGAACAGCCCTATTCGTCATCGGTACCGTCAATTATACCGTGACCCACCACGTCACATCTGGGAAACAATCCTCGTTTCGACTGGTGGCTCTCCCCCAACGCGTAAAACGGCGTCGGTAAGAGAGCTATGCAAAATCAAGTGGGAGGCCATCCCCGACTTCACGTCCTTGCCCACTTTCACCAACAGTCTTGGCGAGGTCCTCTACACTCTCAGATTTGAGGTTGAGATGACCTTCACGGCCGGATCAATCGACTTTGCCGTCTACCGCAACGGCCAGCGATAGGGGGCGAAGAACGTTACTGTGGATTTTCTGGACGTCGGCTTGATGGGTGACGCTTGACAGCTGCTACTTGGAATGGGACAGGTAGACCGCACAAGGTTTTAGAGGCAAATTTGGTGCGCATATCTCAGTTGAGGGAATGGGAAATAGACTCGCTTTGTTGCCCTGAGCTATGTTGACTCTCTCCGATGCCTTCGTGTTGCAGGATGCCAGAATCTCGCATCATCTCATAATGAGGTTTCCAGGACGTCACAAGCCCATGTAGCTCCACTACTCTGGTCCCAATAAATGGCAGGATCAGATGTTGCTATGTCCCGGTCACTACAACACTATTGTTGATACTCCCTTCGCCTCCCTCAAAAAATAGGGGGAGAGGGGCCGTGCTCGGTAATACGTGACCATGTTAGAGTTTAGACCAGTGTAAGCCCGTAATTGTATTTCTATACCACCAGCAAAGACTTCTCATGTATAGCATAGCACCAGGCATTGATCTTTGTTATTCTGTTGTTTCGCATTACCCAGGCAGAAAGTCCAGGATTTTACCATGTATTACTGAGCGACTGCTGAGATGAGCCAAAGACGAAATAGGAGAGAAATGATGCAGCATTGGGGGGAAATAGTAATTATGATCAGTCAAGCGTATTCAGAAATGGGCGATTTGACAAGCAGAACTGTGTATTATTCTCAATCGTCTTGCAACATTGATGCATGTGGCCTGCCTGAGATTGTGTCTCGTCTGAAAAAGCGAGAAATAAAAAAAGTCCCTCCTGGGGCCTCCACGTCCAGGCACACGCCCCTCCTACCTCCCTTTCAAGGATTACCACCCGTATCACCACGCTCTAGGAGCTTTTTTTACCCTGCGCATCTTGGTGGTTGGCGTTACCACAGACGATCTCGGGCTTAGGCACGCCACAGACGCCCTCGGGCTCAGGCAAGCCGCAGACGCCCTCGGGCTCAGGCAAGCCGCAGACGACCTCCATCTTCTGAAGCACGAAGTAGGAATTGTAGTTCCTGCCGTCTGAGCTGCCGTACTTGACGAGCCCTGGGATGACGGCTAGATCTACCGCCATGGGGGATTGGCTATCCAGATCTTGTGGTTCGCCGAACAGGTCCCGCCTCTTCATGGATCCTTTGTTGTATTGTAAATTGTCGGAGAAGCGAACGGGCCATACAACAAACTCGGCCCTGGACTTGCGAAGCGTCAAGTCTAACGCGCAAGCAGAGGACATGATGGGGAAGGTGCACCAAACGTCCTGGCCGGCGTCGGGCAATCTGAACGGCTGCAGGAGCTTTTGGATGTCGGCAGTGTGCCTCTGCATCAACTTGTCATTGGGTGGGCTAAGCTGGCTTAAAAAGGCGACAGACCTGGATCGCCAGTCGTGGAGCTGACCCTGCAGAGCTTCGGATTTGCCAGCAATACCTGAGAATCACGGGTCAGCAGTGCCATGAGAGCCATGACAGTCAAGAAAGGTGTTGCGAACCTGCCGCGTAGCCATAGACGCCAGTGAAGAAGGACTTGCCCAGGTCGCTCGCCCAGACCGGTGAATCCTCGGAGAAGACGGAGGCATGGAGACATCTCCAGATCCAGGCCTCGAATAGCGTCTGGGCCAGGTAAGGATTTTCAAGGAAAGTTCGCGGGTCTGATACAATGTCCTGGAATATCGCCGCCATCTCGGGGGTGGTGGCCCCCGGAGCCACGACGCGTACCAGGTTTTGGCGGACGAAATCCCGGACAAGGTACCGAAGGTCCGCCCACTCCTTGCAGATTTCGTTGTCGGCGACCTTGAAGGTATTCCGCGACTCGAGCGCCTGCGCATTCTTCAGGGCGCGGCCGAATTCCTGCTTGCACTGGGCTAGGGACTGGTCCCGTTTCTCGCGCTTCTGTAGCAGGTACTCCTTCTCCTTCTCAAGCACTTGAATCTTAAAGACTTTTATTCCTGATTATTTCGCTGGAAGACGTTTTGGCGAGTCTGGGTGCCCTGGGGAGGATCGGCGGTGGCGGCCCTAAACATCCCCGACACCCCCGAGAAAAGCCCGGCAGACGACCCGGCCTCACGTGCCGGCTGGGGCTCCATTGCATACATCTTACCCCACTCAAGCTTCGCAACGCGACCCTCAAGCGCCTTGGTCCGCTCGAGCAGGTCCTTGACAGCCATGTGGCCCAAGTCTTTGGCCTTCGTGTTCTGCGCTTCCTTGCGCGGCCCCTGCGAGCCCGAATATTGCGTGGACCGATGCTCCTCACTGGGAATGGACGGCGTTCCGACGCGGTGTGGCTCCAAGTCCATCAGTTCGTCCTCGGACATTTCTGATCGCCCTCGTTTCTTATCTGGTCGGGGATGCCCAACCGAAGGGGGTTTGGCGGGGCACGGTTGTGGTGGGTTCTGCCCGGGCGGGAATTTGCTCTGATGATGCTGGGACATGGGGACTATGTGTTTTCTGGCCGAATGGATAGGTAGGTAAGGTAGGTTGGCGAGTTTGGCGAGCGTGGTCACTTCCAGTTGGTGGTGAAAAGAGTTGGGCCTTAGCGGAGGAAGGCACTGTAGTAGTTCAGCCAGAAAAACGTTTGGCCTGGTAAGAAATAGGTGAGTGGGAGGAGAGAAATCCCGCGAAATATGGGGGCGGGTGTCCCTCCTCCAAAAGACGCATCATATTAGAGTCATCGTTGGCGCCACATCCCGACCAACCGGGGTATCTCTCCATGTCGACCCATAGAGAGCTGGGTTCAAGCAATGGCTCTTCTCCCCATGCAACTTCCCGAGTCAGTTTCAAAATTCCAGGACCAGTTGGGCTAGCGGCCCTTAGCAGATACCATGGAATCCGGTTGAAGACCAAAAGCTGCAGCTTCTCTGTTCCCCAAGTCCACAACGAAAGTGACCGCCGTCTCAAATGTCGGTTGAACTGCAGTCTCCCTACGAATCCCACCAATGAGACCACCCTATGGGCAATAGGCTCAAACGCCTGCAAACGAGCAGCGCGGAGATTTTCCACTCTTTGTAGACTTCCTCAACGCGTAAGCGGTAGTCAGGCTGGCCTGGGACCTCCAGGCTTCCTCATTCTTTATCCTTGATACAGAGTTCTGCGTCAAAGATAGGCGCCCCCCAACAGTATAAAATCGTCTCATAGTCAGGGTCGTCGTTTAAGTTGGCTGCGTGAAGATTGCAAACGAATGGCTCATTCCCAGAGCCTAGCAGGAGCTCTACCACGCGGATGTCGGTGGAGTCCACATTAGATTGCTGCAAACCATCTCCGTCTGATTGCTTCCATTTCCAACTCTCGCGGCATAGGCGTAACAAACTTGTCCACCTCGTCCTGCCAAAACTCATTCATCGGAGCAGCATTCCAGGCTGAAGCGTATTCCCAGTACGGCGGCATCCACCCTGCCGTTTCCCAGTCAATGATACCCACGACTTCGTCACCCCGAACCATGATGTTGAAACTGCTCAAGTCGCCATGTGTGAAGACGGGTCTCGGCCACGGCTCATCGTGGAAAGCGCACAGCTCACGAAGCCCCGTCGCAGATGTGTCGTCGAGCTGGCTGGCCTCGATCCCATCTCGAAGCTCCCTGTGAAAGTCGTTGATGGTTCGGAAAGGACCCCAGATGGACTTATTCGGAAGACGTTCATCAAAAATCGGCCCACCGTCGACATTCGCGACCCCGATGTCGTCTGGTGGCGGAATGTTGCGAAGTTGGTTGATCATTGATTTTAGCTGCTCTAGAATTCGCATCTTTGACTCTGGCGACCGGAAACCCCAGCCATCATTTGCCATTGTACCGTCGATCCTCTCCATGACAATATACGTGATAGCCTTGTGTTTGAAGGCGCAGTATATCTTCGGGACTGGTATCGAGGTATTCCGAGATACGAATTGCATCGCGTTTGCCTCGGCGAGCGTTGTGAAGCGTGATGCCTTGATGCATAGTTTGGATGTCACATAAACAATTGATCCCGAGCCTGGGCCTGAAAGACGAAAATACCGATATCGCGTTACTCGGTACGCGAAAAGGGTTAAAAGTCGGTTCCAAAAGGTGGCGTTGATGGACTTTGACCCCGTGTCCACCGTCTTCGGGGGTTTCGCCATGTATTGTATTGGAGATGAGAGAAGCAGAACCTTTTTTCGCACGAGGAGATATTGTGACCACATGCACGCAGCCGGCGAATGGTGCTGAGCGAATGAAAGGAAGTCAATTATCCCCCATTTTGTTTGCCGCGGAAAATTCGATTCCGTGCCGCGTCGTATTGGAACGGCGAATCGCCGTGGTCTGGCCAGGGCAGCGGGCAGAGTAGGAGGTCTTCTAGCCTGCCAGCACTGGTCCGGCCAAAAGTCCAATCCAGCCCAAATCGATGTGCCGGTCCTTTGATTCTGGGACCATCCTCTGGTTGTTGTTTTAGGAGGTCTCTTCTTGCACGGAATCTGTTAGAGGCCCCCTCGATGCCAAGTCCGTGTCTTTATTGTGTCTCTGCTGCTCAGTGGTTTCTCGAGATTTTGTATTACATTCAAGGCCATCAGGTCTTAGACGAGCGAGTTGCTTCGCACGCGTCTTATCTACGGTCCAACCTAACGAAGTTTCATGAACGCCATGCGTATATGCAGCCACAAATGGCGGGGCGGTTAGCCTGAGGCAGCATAGAACGGCAACACCCATAGCCGGGCGAGCCAGGGATATCTCAGCGTGGCTCAGTCTAAGGCGGCGGCGAGTGCTCAGGTCCGAAGGAGGAAATGTAATTTCCTGGTGACGAGATTGGGGTCTTGTTTAACCAGTAATTCATAGACTGAGCCTCCCTCTGATTAGAATCTCCAATGTCGTCAACTAGGTAAGCACCCGAGATAATTCAAATTTTAAGGGCGGACACAAGGAGCGGTGGCTTCTCGCTCAAGACCGGAAGAGAGAGCAGGGAACCCCTTCATGCCGAGGTCATTCATAGTCATCGATCGATCAGGTGCTTCGGACAGGAACAGGGCGTATAATACGGAGGGAGACGGCCGTTGATATCAATCGAAACCTAAACGTGGTTCATAATCGATGCAGAGAGATGTCGAAAGATCTATCAGCAGGAGAAGAATAGGGGGCTCGAAGGGACTCGGATAGAGCCACAGAAGGCCCAGGATTCCGTCTTTGAGAGTGTATCCCACCTTGATATCCATATTCTCAAGCTCGATTGTGCAACTCGTGTGTTTCAAGAGTTGCTCTCCCATGATCCATTTTCCCTTGTTGTAACAAAGGACAGTGGAGGAGAGAGCATGGCAACTGCTCGGTGATGATAAGTCCTTCCAGATCCAAGCCACCTTAACCGACCTCCCTTCCCCGACCTCTCTTCCACGACCTGATTAAGCGGATCTCTGACTACCCGAGCACACTTCTGTTCCTCTCCGCTGTCTTCCATCTTCTTCCGAATTGTGTACCTTCCTCCAAGAAAACTCTGCAAAGAGAGGATCCTTCAGGTTCTTTCCTTTCATCCGAGAGCACAAAAATCTTGGTCCTCAACCTCCCATCCTCGCGATATTCCTCCGAACTACATCATCGCCCCGATCATCCATACCATAGGGCAAGCACCTACTACGGAGGTAAGTACGGGCAATCTCAGAAATCCGCCATCCCATTACTCTGTTCGGATCCCAAGGGCATATCCCAGGATCCCAGATCCAGGTGATGACAAAATAAACAACTAACCAAGCCGCAGACAGTCCATTTCTCATCGATGGGCGACGCGGGAATTTCACCGGGCCAACCAGCCGACCCCGTTGGGCGGCTGTTTTGGAACCTAGGAGCTCCAGAGGCCTATTACGCGAGCGAGAATGACGCCGCGGGAAACCAAATAGTCGTGAACGCTCTTCTCGACTTCGTTCACAAAATGGCGCGTTCCAACCTGCCTATGAGCAATATTGCAGAGTTCTACCTCCTCATTGCTAAAAAGGCACTTGGTGACTTGGGCCATACTGCGGACCACTTCATCCAAGACCTCGCGACAGCCGCACAGCGGTTCCCTCTGGCAAGCCTACCCTCCGTGAGCCAGAGTCTGAGGGATCACCAGGAGACTCCCGGAGAGGGCCCGAAGAAAGACCATCCTGACCTGCTACCGCTTGAGGCTCGCTGGCACCGATTCGCTGAGTGGAGTGCCCAAGGCCGACAGGATGGGTACAAGGAAGAAGCGCTGACCACCGATTGGCAACTTGGCCTCACCAAGAACTGGGTCTACGAAGAAGCCCTGGATAAGTATGCCAGCATGGGCCTTCCGTCGGCTGGGCCAAGCAACTGCGCATTCTGTATGAAGGAGAACCCCGACTTCGCCTGCCACGAGTGTTGTGTCATGGTAGACGGAGCACACCTCCAGACCCAGTATTGCAGCGAGACGTGTCGGACCAAGCACCTGAACGCTCATGGGAACGTCTGCCGTACCCGGAAGGAAGTCTTCAAAGCTACAAGCCTGATCCATGCAATCCTCCGACCGTTTTTCCGCCAGACATACTACCGACCAACCGGCAGGGTTGTGGCCAGCCGCCAGGGCATTCTAGTCGTGAGCTACCCCCGGGACGTCGACCGATACACCCGCGCAGCCACACCTGAAAGCATGGTCCGTGACGATCACGACGGGCCGGATTGGACGCCTCTGGGAATGAATGAAATGCCGCCGCCGGTGCTGAATCGCGACTACCGAGACAACACATTGGCGCTATCTCCCGCCCAGCAGAGGAGAAGCCAGGAGCTCAGCCGAGTGGGCAACAACCCGCGAGCCTTCGTCGGCGGTCTCGTCATCGGGCGCTTCCCCGCCAAGGCGGTGAATAATCGGCACCCGACGACCTTGACCAGGCCCGGGTTGCCGCATGCACTGCCTCGGGGGCACAACTACTGCGGCGGCCCCGGCACCAGTCTCGGCTCTCTCACCCAGGACGTCAAGGCAGCGACCCAGGAAGCGCTCCACACGCTTGGGGGTGCGATACTTGAGGGGGAGAGGATAAAGCAGCAGATCCTCCAGCGAAACATGTATACCATGGACAGCATAGCCCAGAGAGTCATGTTCCACTTGGATGGTGAAGCGGCCATATATTACGGGGAGAGCGCAGCGGCGCTGGCCTATGGAATGCCGCTGCTGAGCGAGCTGCTGATGCGTGAGTTTACCACTTCTCTTCAACTGTCCTAGGCAGAGTTAGACTGACAAGCAATTAGCCATGTGCTCCAACATTGAGGTAGTGATCGTGTCGCCCAAGAATGCTCGCGTCTCTGTTACTTGGTGCGGGCGGCAACTCACTCCCATTCGTCTCGGGGGCCCCGAGGATGAGAGGGCGCATACCCAGCCAGGGGATACCGTCCGAAACAACATGTTCTTTGATCATCACGTATTGCGAGTCACCCTAGCTACGGATGAGCGGTTCGCGATCGATTTCACCGGCGGTCAATATGGTTGGAAGGAGCAGTTGTGTCTCTGGGAGCAATACGAGTCCCAGCGAGTCCACCGCATCAAGTCCATCCAAAGCTTTCCACTGGAAACCTTCAAGCCGCCCTCGCCGCGTGAGTACCGGGAGGGCATCGCGCATCAACTGCGGCTCAGCGTCATGAACCGTATCCTGGCCCGAATCAGGGATCCCATCCCCAATTTCAACTCGATCCGCCCCATGTTCGACGAGGGCTTCCACATGACCAAATACCGCTGGGGCAAGATAATCAATGCCGCCATCCGAGGCGCGAAGCGCGCCCACCGTAGGTCCGGGGTCAACCGCCTGTACCTCGACGAGGAGGGCGTCGTCCAGGTGACGACCACGCCGGACCAGGGCGCCTACTACCGCCGGGTCTGGCTCGCGCCGGAGGAGTTCGTCAAAACCACCCTACAGCAGTACGGCCCGATGCTGCGGCTCTGGAAGCTCAAGTGCGGCGACCAGCGGCCCGTCACGCCGCCCTTCGACCCACCGCGCCAGCGCCGGGTCTGGCAGTAGGCACGTGGAGGAGACCAAGGTGGGGGAATATTTTGGCGTGGATGATGCCGTTCCCCCCGGTAGCCACTCGGGTTTCCTGGGTATGTCTGCTCGCCTCTGGCGGGATGGATGGCAGGGGTTTGCTCGTGTTATTTGAGAGCCAGTCCGCGTTGTCTCCTTCGGACATGCCGATGTGGTAAAGATTAGTTGATGGTGGAAAAGTCACTGCTTCTTATGGAGGTGGTTACATATTACGATTGTCGGAGTACTAATTCTCCTGGACGGGCATTGCCAGGATTGTCGGATCACCCTTTTGGGATCTGTATTTGTTCGATTAACAGCTTAAATAACTTGCTCACGGGATGGCTTCGTGAGTTGGCTGTTCTCCCTGAAGTCTCAACAGTCCTGCTGGTTGAGAGTGCCACGGATATCCTCCACTGAGTGAGGCCTGGCCATGTTTGTAAAGTAGTGTAACCAAATAGAAAATCATTCCGTTATCTGTGATTGAGGTTCCAGTGAGCAGTTTTTGTGTGGTTGGCAGTCTGGACGATCAAATTCCCATTAAATGATGCACAATACATAGCTGGCTGCCTGCCAGGGCAGGTAATACAAATAGAAGCTCCCTTCACGGTTGATGATTGGATGTCAGATACATGTCAGATAAGGCGATGAGGCTCCGACCCACGTGATGGGCTGTGTTGGAAGCTAAGCCTATTGCGGATTAGCGCAGCCAATTTCTGTCACGTCGAGTTCTGGACGCGAAAGCAAAAACGTAGGCAGACAGGCGCCCGCGATAAACACACTTACGAAGAGCTCAACAAATCGCATTCCCCCATTCATCCACGAGTACCCGTTTCCTATTCTTACCCGATTGATTACCGCTATAATTGGCCTCTCGACACACGTACCTCTGTAGCGCGAGCTGCCGCCGGCGTTCACCAACCGTCGGACTGATTCTCAGGTGTCCCGAAGCAACCCCCCCTTCGAGGTGGTCCCGCTATGACATAAATATCTCGTGCCATCACTCTTGCAGTCGATAATATGGCGGGTCGCGCGCCGCCGCAGGGCTATATCAGCTCGTACGCGCCACGATTGCGCACCTACAATAACTCCCTTCTCACTCCCGTCCTCCCCAATACCGCCCCATCGGGTCCCTTGGCACGAACGACCAAAAGAGGCACTACAATCATCAACTATGCCGAGGATGGCTATGATGACTACGACTACGATGACGATGATACCCGCCGGCGTCCGACCGGTCTGCGGAGCTTACGACGGGATGACAGTGTCTCCAAGGTCGACCCGAGCGAGAAGGTCGGGAAGGACACCTTTGAACCAGTCGAAGTACAAGGCATCTGGCGCGACTGGATGGTAAGAACACGCGGTCCAAAGTCGGACGCGCAAAATTACGCCCAAGCCTGTCTTCCTCAGACTTTGATCCCAATTCGGATCGACGTCGACGTCCCATCATTCATTCCTGCTGCGCCTTTCCCGCTTGTGGCCCCCAATGTGGACCCCAACAATCCGGTATATAAACCACAGGAGATGACGGTACCCTACCGATTGAGGGACACCTTCCTATGGAACCTCCACGAAACACTAATGACGACAGATGTGTTTGCGCAGACGCTAGTCCAAGACCTTGACCTTCCCAACCGCTCCGCCATGATCGCAGAAATCAGCAAGCAGATTCGGACCCAGTTGGAGGAATATGCGGGCGTCGCCCTCCATCCACTCTTTCACGCCCAGAATCATCACAATACTGCGCCGGGAGCATCAAAGCCCGCGACCGGCCACGAGCCAGCGACACCGGCGCCGAACCACTTGTCCGTCAGCCGAGCAGATACTCCTGTGGGCAATGTCACAATGCCATCCACGCCGTCTAAGCTGGCTCCGACCACTCCGGCCACGGTTCGTACCGCCAATGGCGACATTACGGCGAGGGCCTCGCCAATCCCGCCTGATTCGGATGACTTCAGTCCGGATGACACATACCGGTGCATTATTAATTTGAACATCAACCTCTCGTCTCAGGTCTATACCGACAAGTTCGAGTGGTCGCTGCTACACCCTCCTGGAACCGCCGAAGCGTTCGCGAAACAGACGTGTGCAGACCTAGGCCTAGTTGGAGAGTGGGTACCCGCCATGACCCACGCCATCTACGAAGCAGTTCTCCGGCTGAAGAAGGAGGCCTGCGAGTCCGGGGGTTTGGTATCGGGCTGGGCGCTCGGCGGCGTCTCGAGCGCTGCGGACTATCCCAACGACGCTGCCCCGACAGCGGGCGGGGAAGGCGCCGGGTGGCGGTACGACCCAGAGCACCTCGCCGACGAGTGGGAGCCCAAGATTGAGATACTCTCGAAAGAAGAGATCGAGAAGCGCGAGGGCGACCGGGAGCGGCAGATACGACGGCTCCGACGTGAAACCGCGCGGTTTAGCAGCAATACCGGTATGGCCGGTGGCGTGCCGGCCGGCTTCGGCTTCGGCGGCCTGATCGAGCAGGAGGAGGAGCGGATGGGCCGGGGAGAGCGTAGCAAGAAGAAGAAGCGGTTCCGAAGCCTGTCCCCGCTCGGCCGGTCGGGGACGCCGGGCGGGCGTATGACGCCGGACGTCGGCGGGGCGGCGGGCGGCTACGGCGGGGGAGGCACGCTCGCGGAGAACGAGCGGGCGACGTGGCGCTGCGCCCATTGCAGGATCTGGGGAACTAGTGTCTGGGCGGTCCGCGACGGGCCCCATGGCCCAAGGGTACGTACAACCGAGAACACCCCGTGCTTTCCGACGTGCCTCGGTCACCCGAGTTCAACGTCGGCTTGCCCTCAGCCATTACTGACTTGTTCGCAGTCTCTCTGTAACAATTGCGGCTTCTTGTTCGAGCGCGATCGGAAGCTCCCCCGGTGGGCCAAGAATCTGCATTTAAATGATATGCGGCAATTCTAGCGGAATGAGCCCCCAATACAGAGCAGAAAACTTCCCGAATCACCTATGCCGCGCTCTTCCTCCTCACCCCCCCTTTGATTGTTTCTTGGCGTTAGGGTGATGGTTTTCCAAGGATGTCTGGGGCGCCTCGCCTTGTTGTTGCCCTCAAGGAAGGGAACTGGCGCACTTGAAGGGAGGTCACCAGTGGGTGATATCGGCAGCAACCGGGGGAGCATAATGGCTGAGCGATCGATGACCCACTATCCAGTGGGCTGATTCGTCTCATCAACTACCTCTATAGGGTTTTGTATTTTTCACTGCGTGCGGCTACGTTGGCTGGGATATCACGCTGGCGCGGCACTCCTATGGAGATAAAGAGTATCCTGTACTACCAATTCCTACTTAACCTCGAGCCTCGTCACAAAATGGTCTGCCCGACACTGCGAGTCCAAGAAGGGTTGTCGCTGCCGAGTAGCCCGGGTGTCTGGAGTGGTGGTTTTTCGGGCCCGTCTGTAAGATAGTGTTGTGCGTGCTGTCATGCAATTAGCCCTACCTAGGTTAGGAATCCTGACTTCTGTCATTAATTATTCTAGTCCACCAGACCTTGTGCTTGGTGTTGTGCTTTGCTGTCCAGACGCCCCCTTTCCTATCCAAGTATCCTGTCTATCACTGATCTTATGGCTGCCACGGAGGTAAGGACGAGCTCTTTCACTTGGCACTTGCCCGACATGATGGTGGTTAGATTTCTTCTCCATTTCCTAAGGTTCGACTCGCTAGAGTCTCAGAATGTTTGCAGGGACACCTTATGACTTGATAATCATAACAAAGCCCGAGAGTTGCTCGTACAATTCTTACAGCCCCTGTGCCGTCCGTCAAAACGGCATTGATATCGACTTCGATTGCCGTTGGGAATCGGAATTTTTGCTTAAGGGAAACATCAAATCTACTCCAGGATTCATCCATAACAGATCAACAAATAACTTTTTGCTCTACACCAGACCAGAAGAGCCCAGTCAGCCTCTCGCCACGCTTTTCTGCCCTTCTTTGCTCAGCATTACCATCCTGCCCCGAACTAGTCCACTCTTCCTGATAGCCTTCGACGATTGCGTCCACAACACCTTTAGATATCGGCCGAGGTTATGGCCCCCGAAGTGCCGCTGGCATGGTCCGACCCTGCTCATTCACCCCCCGACTCTAAATTCCCTCCGGGCGAGGGCCAAAATCCATGGTCCGCGGTTCACCCCGGCACCTGCAACGGGAGAAAAAACCAAAATTAAGAACTGAAGCGTGACGTGACTTATTGGGGTTATCGTCACGCTTTCCCTACTTTATTTATCAGGGGATGCCATTTTCGTCCCCTTCTCTCCATTCCTCAGTTACGACTTTGCCAATATCTCGTCTGTGCTAGCCCCTTATCCTGTGTTTTCCCCTATTCGCAGAGGTCTACGTTTTCTTCTTGTTTTCCTTTCAAAAAGTCATATTTGGTGGACTTGCTGTTGGAACTTCGGTGGATGATCGTCGGTGTAGTAGTAAAACCATGATCTCAAGTCGGAACTCTGCACTGGAGCCCATTTTGCGACCGTATCCTCTGAATGGCAGCTACGTCTCTTACTGATGGGTGAGCTCCAGATCATGGAGATCTGGAATAGGGAATGGGGCATGACTGCCTCTGTGACCCAGATGCTATATGAAGGGTGCTACCCACCATGTAATTTGCTGTGTTTTGCAGCAGCAATGTCATGGTTGTTCTCGTGCATCTCACGTTTTCACATTTTCATTATATTTTGTTGAGCAGAGAGTTTGTTTTATTTTTGGCCTTTAAATCTAACGGCTCAGTGTACTCTACAGCAATACTCAGGGGTTGAATGACAATCTGTCTGAGGACCAAATGAAATCTTGCAAACCAAAAGCCAAACAGGAGAAGGAAGAGGGAGCACTCCCAGAGAAGAGTGCTCTAAGAGAAAGGGGATACCCCCAGACGGGGGTATTCCAGAAAAAAGAAATAAGAGAGGGGGACATACCTCCAGAAAAAAAAAGATAGGAAAGAGAGAAGGGGGAGGTGCCAGGGGGCCAATAGGCCTCCCAGGAACCATCCTTCCCGTACTCACCAGTCTGCAGATGTCACAACTCATTGGGCCGCACCCTCCCTGACCGCTGGGTTTTCGGTGTGACGGGAAACCGCAGGCCTTGGGAGGGCAAGAGCCTCGAGAGACGCCTCACCGATTGCACCGAGGGCCTGGCCGCGCAGAACTGGGGTTTGGGGCATGCCCCTCGCAGGCACCGAACCCAGGCGGAGTTCTTCCCGGCGGACGTTGATGGAGCGACCGCGATCTTCCTCCGACTCGAATCCCGGCTGACCCTCCCTTGCCCGGTTGAATGCCTTGATGTGGCGGGCTCTGAGGCATGCGGAGACGCCCGCGATGCCCACGATGAGGAAGAAGGAGCCGAGAGCGATCCCCGCAATGGCGTACGGGGAAAGGCTGCTGTCGGGCAGCATGGTGTGGCCGTCCTCGGATCGTCGGACTGGATTCTTGAGAGTCGTGGAGTTGAGGCGAACGGGGCCCGCATTGGCGGCGCCGATGACGAAGGCAATAATCAGGAGGAGCATCAGGTCCGTCATTTTGTAGTGTCGTTTGATCTCGACTCACCTGACTCGGAGTATCAGTCTTTTCTGGGGGGGGGGAGTATGTCACTTACCTGGGAGGAGTGTCCTGTTGATCATGAGGAAGGAGAGATGCAGTCTGGTGTCCTGGCGTGGAATATATAGTCGATGAGGCTGGCCCCGGCGGCTTGTATAATACTTATTGTTCTTCATTCTCTCCCTTTTGTTTTGCCTTGTTTCGTAGTAGAGCATGAAAGAGACAAAGGGGGATTCATGAGTAACAAAGAAACTGTCCGAGGACGGTGAGCTTGTTTGAGCTTTGGCGACAGTACAATGGACGACACGGATTTAGACGGTGTCAAAACGAAGATAGTGTTGGCCACATGTCAAGGGGCAGGAGAGACAAAGAACTCAACCCAAAATCAAAGGAGCCAAATTCCACCGCCCAATGATGGACCTGATGGTCAAGAAAGGAATTCAGGACCATCACTTGCTGCTTGTGGCCGCCACGTGATAGATGGTTACATTAAACCAAGTGGAAACTGGAACGACGTTCCTCCGTTGAAGTGTGAGATGGAATGCCCGGCTGCGAGCTGAAAGTGGAATGTCGGCCACCAGTTCCGGCACGAGAAGGCAGCCCAACCTTTCACCAATTGGACTGGCCAACCACACATGGATACCTTCTGCCCCATGATTATACGAAACTTGCCTACGGTTATCGGCGCTTGGACTGGATATGACCATCGATCCCTTTGTTTGCTTGATTGGCCTGTGGCGTTGAGCTTGGATCCCTCCTCGGATTGGATCCCCATTGAGGACGTCGCCCCGTTCGTGGAAACCGCCACTTTAATCACGTCCCAGCAGCTTGGTTGGCGCAGTGACACTACCCATGGTTCGGTCGAGAGCTTAAATTGAAGGATAGGATCTATCCATGGACGGCAACTCCGCCATCTCTCTAGGCAAACAGGTAGGTAAGTACATACCATGTGGCAATCATATGATCCGGGGTAACTTGACAAGCACATCCTCGCGGTCAGCTCAGTAATGAGTAATTAGATCGCATACACCGTTCCTGCCTCCTGCCTGAACTCTATTTACACAATACGTTCCCAACCCTCCAAGCCGGAGCTTCCACAGCCTGCAGTCTTAGCACTGGTCAAACCGTGTGTCTGCCCAGCTGGAGTAGAGTTGCGTCACATTGCTGCAAGGGCATAACGGCCAGCGATCCGCGATCTGGCGCTTGTATTATAGATATGCAACCTAGTGTGCAGGCTGCAACCCCATCATGTCGCCTCGTCCAAAAATATCTCACGGCAAGTTCGGGCCTACTCTTGATCGTGTTTACGCCTTCTATTGACACATTCTAGATCGTGAGGGCTCCCTCTTGGAATGGGGAATGCACGGGGAACGGGTTAACGAGGGAGGCTCTGCAGTAACGATTAATTTCCTATGGATCTGCGTGACCCGGCTGGTCTTGACTTCGCCGACGGCTTTTGATGTTGTTTGCGTTTGCGGCCCTCTTCTCGTTTTCTCCTCTTCCGGGTGCGACATTGGGTCTCGTCAGCAAGCTAGCGGGCAGTTTCGCATGGATTATGACATGTGTACTGCGTATTCCTGTAACATGGTCTGGCAATTGTAGGATCACGGCGAGATGTCGGACTCGATATGATGGCCCCGCATCATGCCCATTGACATTGACAGGACGGCGGCGCAGGCTCGCGCTTAGCACCTGGGAAGAAGGCGTTGGGGGACGTAGGGACCAGGGACCAGGGACCGGGGTGAGCATCGGTCATGTGTGTGGCTGGATTGACCTGACGGAAGCAATTACCGCTGATGAGACCTCGGATGGTTGCTTGGTGGTATCTGCCAAGAACCGCCGCCGCAGGAGCTTCCGCCGGTCACTGCCCTCTTTGGAATTAGGGCATGCGGCTCGATATTGGATAAACTCGGTACCGCCACGCAGGCGCTACCGCTGTGCTGTGTGCATGACGGATGCAATCTCAGCAAATTGCTCCGTACGTGTTTTCCTGGTTTCGCTGGCCCACCATCCCGGTTTCTCTCTTCATCTGATAGTAAAGCTTATTGTTGGGACGGGAGTGAGGCTCAATTGGTGTGTGGAGCCGCTTGACCTTTATCTTTGCACGAAATGACGATGAGCCTCTGGGATTGGGCTCCTTCGCATTCAGCCACCTGGGGAAGCGATTGCGGGGGTTGTCATGTTAAGCCGAGTCCCCCTGTCAACGCCGGCTGTTGGGAAATTGGGGGGGAGGGAAGGATAGCCCTAGCAGAAACTGGGGGAATGCGGGTGGCGGCGATTGGACCGGCATACCACAGAGCATCAGGCTTCGAGATCAACGGCAGTTCGGAACGCGGGCGCGAGGGGACGGGAGGCGTGGAAGAGGTGGGCCTGGGCCTTCATGAGGGGATGGATGAGAATGGGATGAATTCGAATTCGTCTGTTCACGACAGCCGGGCAGGCAAACAAACAGGTACCTGGGTACCTACTATGTGAATGCTAGGCAGGTACACGTGTACGTACATCGTACCTGGACGAGCCCCGGTCGAGCCTTCCCGATCCGTTCCCGGCAATGAGCCTCCGTTGGCGCCAAGAACCAGGGCCCCCCGCCAATGAGCTGCAGCTGGCTGACCCACTTCGGCACCCCTGATCAGCTTTTGCTCTGTCTTCGGCCACGGGATTGTTCCGTCCCACTACAAGCGCCCCGGACAGGGTGACATCGTCACCAGTGTAAACCCCAGTCCTAACCATTTTGGTGCGCCCATTCATGCCCAGGTTACTCCCCCGCGAACAGGACAAACAAACCCGGTTGTATCCAAAGGGGCAACGGCGAACCCGCCCAACCCCCAAATCTGGCATGCGGGGTGCGACTTAGCCCCTTGGGGTCACTTCAACCTGACTCCGAAAGTTCGTGGCCATGAAGCTCCAATTTTCGTATCATGGCTGGTCCTTGGCCCCTGGACAGCACGTACCACGCATGCCTCGCCCTAACCTCGCTGGGCAGTGGCGATGGCCGGTCCGGCACCTTTCGAATCCCCGCGGGCCGCAAGCCGTCTTCATAGTGAGGGACTGGGGAGACTCACGCCCCGCCCTGGCCATTGGGGTTGGGAGGTGAACAGAGGCCTGGTCGGGGGGCCGAAGTTCCTGGTCTGAGAGTTGCTTGGTCTGGGGCCAGGCACTCACTTCTTAGCCTTCCGGTCCGTGTATCTACGGGTCTGGGCCCAAGCCCGGGCTGGAGTAGGCCACTCTCGAAAGACATATATATACACCTCGACGAGACCCGTCTCCATCCAACTTCTTAATCCTCCAACCCGCTCAACCCAACCATCTCTGCCATTACTTCTCCGGTCTCTCCAGCACGTTTTCCAACATGTATGCCAAGTTCGCTGCTCTCGCCGCCCTCGTGGCCACTGCCACTGCCCAGCAGGCATGCTCTCTCACCACCGAGACTCACCCTTCTCTGAAGTGGTCCAAGTGCGCTGCCGGAGGTAGCTGCAGCTCCGTCAGTGGTTCCGTCACCATCGACTCCAACTGGAGATGGCTCCACCAGACCAACAGCGAGACCAACTGCTACACTGGTAACCAGTGGAACTCGACTTACTGCGCCACGGATGCCGACTGCGCTGCCAAGTGCTGCCTCGACGGCGCCGACTACGCCGGCACCTACGGTGTCACTACCACCGGCGACTCCATGTCGCTCAAGTTCGTCACCACCGGTCCCTACTCCAAGAACATTGGCTCCCGCATGTACCTCATGGAGTCGGACACCAAGTATCAGAGTTCGTATTCTCCAAGCTTGACTTTTCCCGGGCCTTGAATATGACGCTAACTAGCTGCCTAGTGTTCACTCTCCTTGGCAACGAGTTCACCATGGATGTTGATGTCTCCAAGATTGGATGCGGCCTGAACGGCGCTGTCTACTTCGTCTCCATGGACGCCGATGGTGGTCTGTCCAAGTACTCCACCAACAAGGCCGGTGCCAAGTACGGTACTGGTTACTGCGACAGCCAGTGCCCGCGTGACCTGAAGTTCATTAACGGTCTTGTAAGCATCAGCCACCTCTCCCCCACCAACCACCTGCTTCGCTCACTAACCTCACCTTGCAGGCCAACGTCAAGTCCTGGAACCCTTCCAGCAACGATGAGAACGCTGGGTTCGGCGACCGTGGCAGCTGCTGCTCCGAGATGGACATCTGGTAAGGCTCCCTCCCCCAAAACCACCCCGATCTGTCTAGCCAAGTGTTGCTCACAATTTACCAGGGAGGCCAACAACATCGCCACTGCCTACACTCCTCACCCTTGCACAACTATCGGCCAGTCCATGTGCACCGGCAATGGCTGCGGCGGCACCTACGGCACTGACCGGTATGCTGGCGTGTGCGATCCCGATGGATGCGACTTCAACAGCTACCGCATGGGCGACAAGAACTTCTACGGCCCTGGCATGACCATTGACACCAAGACCAAGCTCACCGTTGTCACCCAGTTCCTGAAGGGCTCTGATGGCAACCTGTCCGAGATCAAGCGGTTCTACGTCCAGAACGGCAAGGTCATCCCCAACTCCGAGTCCAAGATCTCCGGTGTTACTGGCAACTCCATCACTCAGAAGTTCTGCGATGCCCAGAAGGTGGCCTTCGGCGACAACGACTCCTTCAAGAACAAGGGCGGCCTCGCCCAGATGGGCAAGGCCCTCGCCCAGCCCATGGTCCTCGTCCTGTCCATCTGGGACGACCACGCAGCCAACATGCTCTGGCTCGACTCGACCTACCCCGTCGACAGCAACAAGCCCGGTGCCGCGCGTGGCAGCTGCCCCACCACCTCGGGCGTTCCCAAGGATGTCGAGGCCCAGGCCCCCGGCTCCACCGTCGTCTACTCCAACATCCGCTTCGGTCCCATCAACTCGACCTTCAGCGCTGGCGGCACCGGCACCAACCCCAACCCCCCGACCACCACCACCAACCCTCCCAACAACGGTGGCGGCAATGGCGCCACCGCCGGCCACTGGGAGCAGTGCGGCGGTATCGACTGGAAGGGAGCCACCAAGTGCGCTAGCGGGCTCAAGTGCACTGTCCTCAACGACTGGTACTACCAGTGCCTGTAAGCGGCCGCAGTTGCGGCGGCGATGGCGCGGGAAGAACTTGAGCCCCGTACGTCGGGGCCAGCTTCCGAAGGGGCCGGGAACAGCAGCACCTTGAGACGAATCAAGCTGCGTCGCCGGCCGGCGAGTATGACGGATCGGGTCACAGGGGAGGAAAAAAGATAAAACACACTTGCATGGCATCGTGTGATCCTCGGGGGCTTTCGATTTCGCATGCTTGGCAGATTCAGCTGTACATATTTTCAGTCTTGGATGGGGGGATTCCTTCCTTCGTATATACACTTTTGCATCCTCATACTTCCCAATCTTGCATATGTGAGTTTGGTTCGACGTGACACCAACTAATTATGATCCAAGGAGTCCTTTCATACTTCGCTGAACAACCCAGTCCTTGAGAGCAGAGAGGTGCCCGAACAGGAAGCACCGGGATCCATGTTCTCACTGTAATCGAGTTTGACAGAAGCAGAGGGCTTGCAGATTTCATAAGAGCATCCTTAATAAGGCTGGGTGACTGGGGTAACTGAAATCAATATCAGCCTACTAGTAGGTAATATACGTTCGTCGTCCTAAGCCTCCTCTACTTCAACTCGAGAAGTCTGGATAAAGTTACTCCTACGAAAAATACAACCAAGGACATTTCAAATCCGAATCGCTTCTATCGTTTAAAACTGAATGAAGAGTTGAGAGGGGTCAGTTGTATAACTCTGAATTGGCAACACCATACGTGTGCGTGCCGCATTGAACACAGTTTGCAGTTCGTATGGCCAGCTAATTAGAACTCGTTGTTTGTCGTCTTAGCACATAATTCTCACCATTGTTGGCCCATCCAGTCTTGCTATCAAAACCGGGATTCTTCACTACCATTGCCTACTAAAACCCGCACATAATTACAACATTCTAGTATATTCCAAGGTTCATCGCGGAAACCAAACGATGTCACCGATGAGACGAGACTCACCCAGACCCATCCTCCACCCCCGACCCAGCCCCCTTCAATCCCAGATCATGATCAAACACAACAAAAGGCACCCCGCCGCCGCCGCTTCTCGCCCTCACCTTCTCCAACATCCTCTTATTCTCCCCCACCCTCGCCCCCGCCTCTCTCCGCCTCTCCTACGTCAGCACCAGCGGCGGCGGCAGCGGGACACCGTCGGGTGGCCGGAACCACTGCTCGCGCGGCACTGCGGCGCCGAACGACGCCGCGGAACTCGGCCCGGAAAGGCATGCGGTCCAGCAGCGCCTTGATCAGGCGCGGCGGGAGACCCACGGCGTCGACGACGGAGCGGTCGGCAGTCAGCGAGCGGAGCACCCCGTCGCGGCCCAGCGACCAAACGCCCCGTCAGCGTCGGGTCGTGCTTGAAGTCGCGGAGGAGGCGGCTTGGCTCGAGCTGGGCTGAGGTCGCGGGCGACGGCGGCGGGGAGGGGGCGTGGCTGGGGGAGGGGGGTTGGTTCTCGAGGGATTCTTTGGGTGGGGGATTGGTTTGGGATTCCATCTTTGGTTTTTGGCTGTTTTTGGGGATGACGGGATGGGGCGCTTGGGGGGGTGAGGCAATGAGACAAAAGAGGATGGATATAAAACCGGTGTAAGGATGTCTCTACGGTATGTTACATCCAACGTCTAACATTATTGGTTGTTTAAAAGAACCTATATGTTGGAGCTTGGATGGAGGATGTAATTTCTACGTCAGCCATAGGGCATGCCTGGCACTTTGAGCGCCGTCACACATCACAGCTGGAAGGCATTTGCGGACCATTATTTGCGGACCGTGCTGCATAGCCGCATGCATGAATCCTTCCACCAGTGCCCAGTGAGCGGCAGTCATAACGGATTTTAATTATGCTATCCAATCTAATCCATACTATCTTGTGCATCTTGCATATTGACTTGGATACCCTGGGGGGGGGGGGCGCGCCTAGATTAATTGGATGCCGTGAATTCAGGGGCCCCTGAACGGTGGTTTTTCGACTAGAGATACATAATAAAGGCGTGCTCTCGGACTTTTGCAGATGTGCTTTTCAGAATGGGCTACGTCTGGACATTAATCAGCAATATATCACAGTCTCTCTCTAGACTGCGTGGTCCACCCATAGGCTCTTTTAGGTGTGTTCCCCTCGCGCACTCTAAGTTCAGTTGAAGAATAGTGGTGGATTCAAATGGATCAAGTCCAAAGCAAGAGGATTGATTCAGCAGGTGAGAAATTCCTTAATTATTCTTGCTTGAACCATCCAGCGGCTCTACTTCTCTTGTATTTCCAATATTTCCATCTCCACAAAGGATGAACATCAAATTACCCGGCCCTTAAACCACCTCGCTCTTATTCTCCCTCTGCACAGCGACGGCGATCTCATCGTTCTTGCCGTCATCCTGGCCCCCAGCCGCCCCCCGGGCGTCGGCGCCCATGCCCACGCCCAGCATCTGGGCGCCCTTGTCGGCGTGGTTGCTGCCGCCGAAGAGCACGTCGATCTCCTCGAGGGCGATCTGCTTGGTCTCGGGGATGAAGAAGTAGACGAAGACGGCGAGGACGAAGTTGATGGCCATGAAGAAGAAGAGGCACTTGAGGCCCTCGTTGGCTAGGAAGGTCGGGAAGAACTGCTGGAAGATGGTGTTTGCGACGTTCTGCATCTGCGAGCACATGCCGACAGCCTGGGCGCGGATGTTCATGCTGCGAGAGGGGGGCGTCTTCGTTAGCTAGGTGGACTCCACGGCATAGACTGGGTAGAAGGAAGGATGCGTACCTGAAGATTTCCGATGTCCAGATCCAGGTGGCGGCACCCCAGGATGGCTTGTAGAAGAAGATGAACAAGAAGAGCAGGAACACAATGGCGATTCCCACAGGCTCGGACTTGGTGCCGTTGACGTCTGGCGTCGCGATGCTGATGATAGGAACGAGCACTGGCGGTGGTGTCAGTTGATTTCAGTGTGCTGTAAAGGAAGCACAGGCAGCACTTACTCATGCAGAAACCCATTCCAACAGCACCAACCATGAACAACCATCGTCGACCAAAGCGGTCAGCGGTCCAGACTAGATTTTGCACCGTTAGTGTCGTCGTCGGATGGTGTTAGTGTCAAGGATACAAGTGGTGGTATTTACCAGCGTTGAGAGTGAAGAGAACTGGGATGACAGTTAGCAGGGGCGTTTCATGGCAGCAAATAGAGAAGGGCAATCTCCATTACTTACTTCCAAAAGTCGCATTGAGGGCGTTGATGAGGTTGATGGTCTGGCTCGAGGTCCAGACCTTCTTGTAGATGGCGGTGGAGTAGGAGTTGAGAGTGCCCTGGCCAGTAAGCTGCTGGCCGATGTTGAGAATGAAGGCGAGGTAGAGACGCTTGCGGACCGAGGGATCCTTGAAAAGGGCGCTGTAGTTGCTGCTGATGGCCTCCTTCTCGTACTCGACGGCCTCGCGGATGGCCAAGACCTCCTCCTCAACCTCCTGCTCGGTGTCACGGACCGTGCGGAGAGCAGCCCTGGCGGCCTCAATGTTGTTGTTCTTCTTGATGTGCCACCGTGGGCTCTCGGGCTGGAAGGGCAGCAGGATTATGATGATGGCAGGGACCATGAGCTGGAAGATGACCACCATCCTCCATTCCCATTCGCCCAGGCTCTCGCGGTGCAGCGAGCAAGCGTAGTTGATCCAGTAGGCGATGAAGGACCCGACCGAGTAGAACAGCTGCCAGAATGCCATGATGTATCCACGAATATGCGCTGGGGCCAGTTCACCAATGTAGATAGGGCCGGCAGTGAGAGCCATGCCCTGACCGAGGCCGATGAGGACTCGGCCGGCAATGAAGCAGCCAATCTGGTGCCGCGGCGCAAACGCCTGCATGAAGGTGGCGATGATGGTCACAAAGCAGCCGATGCCCATCCCCCATCGTCTCCCCAGGTAATCGGCCTACCAAATTGGTTAGGAGAGAGAGAGAGGTGTCAAGACTGGATGGATATGAAACTAACAGTAGGACCACCGATGAAAAACCCGGCAACAATAGCGCCAATCGTGTAGGCAGTGTTTATCAGCCCGATCATGTATGTGTCGGTTTTCTGCAAGGCCGTCAGCTCGAGCCCACGTCTTTGCCGACAGGCACATGTGGGAAAGGCCTTCACCATACCGGATTCAAGTCGAAGTAAGCCAGCCAATGTGGCGACCCCTGGACTGAGTTGAAGACTGACGCATCGTATCTTGATCGGCTCTGGTTAGTTGCGACTTGCTCAAAGTGTCAAGCGTCGGATAGGGGGATAACCAGAACTTACCCGTAGAGAACCATGCACATTGCCGCCACCATCGACACGTACCTGAGCCGATCCTGTTAGGCATTTTGGGGCCGCATCATGTGTGGAAACGCAGGTTGTCTCACCAGTTGTAAACTCTCTTTGAGGTGACCATCTTGGCGGTGTTGTGCAGGTGCTAAACCTGGCCGCTCCACGTGTGTATACCGAGTCCTTCTGTTGCTTCTTGTTCAGGGGGTGTAACACTGCGAAGTGAAGACCAGGACCCTCGACTCCAGTGCTTGATGGGAGGAAGAAGACGGGAAGATGGCTGGCAAGTCAGGAGAGAAGGGGAGACGCGACGGGCTTTTAATGCCTTGTCGAGAGGCAGGTCAGGGGGGTGCTAAGACTAGCATCTTGCAGACTTGCACGAACTTGGTTTGGTGAGAAGTTCGACATGGACCTAGTTTGGGGAATCTGATTCGTCCTCTCCTCGGTTTAGGACGGGATGAGCATATGCTCGCTCTAGCCACTACAGCACCTAGCTCCATGGCCAACTGGCTAGAAAGTCTCCACGAGAGAGCTAACTACCCCAGATTCGCCTAACCTTGGCCGTTGTCATGGAGGAAATGGGCAGCGAGTCATTCCACCAATGAGAGTTTCGCCACGAGCGAGTCCCCCGCCAGCGGCTCCGCCCTTTGCCGGATCTGCATTCGGGGCTAGTGTCTGTTTTTGCTTGGGGGATTGAGGTTGAAAGCTTACCTCTGAACCATCCATTATCTAGCTATTCGCCCATACCAGTGAAGCTTCGAAGCTCTATTACCCCGTACCCCGTAGCCCGTGCGGATTAAAGCTCGACAAATTACCCCAAAGTATCGACCTCCCCACCCAGCTGCGCCTGAGCCGGGCCGCAATTCTGGGGCTGATTGAGATCGAGGTTACTTTCCGTGACCGCCGGCTGTTAAGCAATTTCGGTAGTAATCATGGCAGCTTAAACTTTATTCCGTTTCTAGAAGGATATCAAAGGCGGCTTGAAGCCACCCTGGATACCACAATTGTGTACTTTGGGTTTTTCCGCGAGCAACACTAACAGGCCATAACCTGCACGGATTTACATGCTTAATGTCGATAGCTCTGTTCTAACATCTAATAAATTTGCCATCGACATGGTGGCCCATCTTCTTGGGATTCCAGCCCTGCAACCAAAATATTTTCCAGCAATGAGCGTCAAATTCCCCACAAATAGGGCGGGGGGGAGGCGCCATGCCCTTCGAAGCGTGATCTCCTAGCCTGGTCGTTTTAGCTTGAGAGGCTGGTGGAATTTTTTTCAAACGTTTTGGCGGCACTATTGGAAGGGAAGGGGTCATCCCCACCTCTCCACGACCGCATTGAGCTATTGCTGCTCAAAGGGGAGGACGTGATTGGTGAGGCTATGGACTCGAGCACACCCCATGACTTTTTCCGTTCACCCCTGATCTAGTCTTGCTCGTGCTCGTGTGGTGGATACACGTCGCTCATGGGTGAGCGGGTTGGGGAACGGGTGGATCCGGCTTGCCAGACTTAAAGCTGCCGTGCGAGGAATCTTGGCGGACAAGAAACACCGAAAGTGTCGACGAGGAGAAACTCCAATTGCACAGACAATTAGAAAAAATATTGTTGATGGGAAGGCTGGCTAGCCTCGAGCCTACTATCCAAGTATTACCTGTTAGGTAGCCCCTTGCTCTCCGATAAACTCCATCCATATAGGCGAAACGCTGATTGTCAGCCCGGTGAGGTGAATTGTTTGCTCCTCCCCCAATTCATCCTGACATGCCTCTCGATCAAGCCCAAGCGGCCTATACCAGGAAACTAACACTAGCACAACCTTACAAATGTTGTAAGTGGATAACGGATAGCTGGGCAGCTCTCCCTTTTCACAATCGTCAATCCTTCTGAGTGATAAACATTACGAAGCTTCAAGACGACTCACCATCTAAGTTGCCAAGGGGCGTCCACCATCCACCCCCTTCGAATCGACCTCACAACACAAACACCAGCCAACCAAAACCACTCACAGCCCCCAACCAGCCAGCAACACCCCAACCCCAAAGGCCAGCCCAACCCCCCATCCAGCCGCAGACCCCATCCCAGACCCTCTCCCCACCACCCCGGAAGACCCACCGCTGACACCCCCACCACCCCCGCCCCCCGCGTACCGCACCTCGAATTCGTAGCTCTGCCCGGCCGGCGCGCACTCCGTCCCCGCCGCGCACTGCATGACCTCGCTCCACCGGCCCGACGCGCACCGCTGCCACGAGTCCGTCATGCAGTCCCACAGGCCCTCCGAGCCGGCGCAGTCCGAGCCGGGGGTGCGTCGTCCGTCGCCGTCGCGGGGCTCGACTCCTGCTGAGGCGGTGCTGTTGTCTGTGTGCGGGGCTGCCGTTGCTGGTTGGGCGAGGAGGGAGAGGCCTAGGAGGAATAATAGGAGGAGGGGGGCAAAGGGGAGGGGGGGGGAGTTTGGCGGGGCCGGAGGCATTGCACGGGCGCGGGGATGAGTACCGGGAGTAAGTGGGGCTGTCGGGGGATCCGGGGTGGGTCTTGCGTTCGGACTTGGGAGAGTTGCTTTGTCGGGGTACAGTTCCTATGCATACATGCACGCTCTGAGAGAGGCATGAAGCATGCGAGTAAAGGACGGAGATGTCATTTCCGACAGAATTTTTTCCCAGTTGTGCCGGTATCCGATCATTTATTCACCCACAAGTGTGCGATTTCGGGCTTTAGGCCCTGGTGGGAGCCACCTAATATGCAGAATCGAATTGGACGTGGTCTTTTGCCATTGGAGGGCGAAGTTTGGTGGCAGCAAAACTTCGCAGACGTGGAAAAGTTGGGCTTGGTGTGGAGATTGGGCTTGGCTACCGTGTTTGAGACAATTTAACCAACCCAACAGCAAAGTCTCAAGCCTGACAGCCTCCAATTGCCCAATCGTTGTGTGTAAAGTCGAGTGCTTGGGCTCCGGCTAAGCACTCGGAAGAAGGACTTCGTGGGTGTTGGCCATTAACTAATAGCTCCTATAGCCAATTTGAGACTCTGGCTCCTGTGCAGAATGCCATGAACCGTCTGTTGCAAGCTATATTCATGACAAAGGGGCATCATGTTCTTGAACATCTCACGAATGTGTTTGGGGTTTGTTTTCACTCAGCTATTGTATGTCACTAGAGAACTCACATTCTCTCTAAGAAATGGAGAAGTGTAAATTTCGAACGAACCACCCCTTGTACACGTTTCTCAGGAGCAAAGTTTCCGAAGAGCGCGATTAAACAGGGAGAGGGTTGAAATGAAACTAATTACGCTCCCTCGTTCCTACTGGACCCCCCCTTTCCTTCTGATCATGCGAGAAATATTCGTTCAACCTTTGACACAGAGGCACATACCTTCAATCATCAACAACAAAGAGATGAATCCAGAGTGCATAATCGTTAAGTTTCTCTAAAGCAGGCGAAACAACGTTAATCATAGTATTGCATTAGCTTTTTTGTTGAGTGTTCTAGAGATAAGTAGTTTTGCAATCGGGATTGAAATAAAGTTGTCCGGGCAGCATGAACAGATTAGTTTAATAACCGGCAGTCTTTTCTGATGACTTCCATGGTCTTGTGGTCTCAAGGTATGGATTTCACTTCGCATCTTTCTTAAATGCTCTGTGAAAAGTCTGGGATCGTTCGGATTGACAGCCCCAAGAGCAAGACTTGATTCAATTCTGCAAGGAACAGCATCTGTTTTGGTCACAGCTTGGTGGATAGGTTGACTATATCTAACCTGCTCAGTCAGTTACGAGTTTGAAGAGACCGAGGAGCAGCTGCAGTCATGTTTTGATGGAGTTGAATACGCCAGACAGGAGTAGCATAAAGAAACCGAGCCACACTCGTTGCAGTACAAACAAGTTCTTTGGCCCGCATACATGCCGATTTTTATCTGATCGCTCTAGCTGCCAAACGTCCTCTCCTTGTCCTTGATAGGCAAGTCAGAGCCCGTGGTCTTCTTGTACTGACCTCGGATGTAGTCCGAGATTTGCTCGTCCTTGGCCTGCTCGACGGCACTCTCATTATCCTGAGGACCCTGGCCCAAAATGTGCTCCTGGGCCCAATCGACGCCTGCGACGACGGGTAACGGTTAGCAACGTTCCAAGCCGGCGGCCAGATTGTATTCCACCATCGCATTGAGACAGACCTTTGTCGAGCATATCCTCGTTCTTCTCGCTCTCGCGTCCACCGCCAGCTACGCTGTTGATCTTGTCCATGAAGCCACCGCCTGAGGAATTGGACCCCTGGCCCTGGGTGTTCTGTCCCTCGGCCTTGTTGCCACCCCCGGTAAACTTGTTGACGAAATCCATCTTGGGCTCTTCTCTCAACTTTTGGATTGGAATATAGTGTTCTCTGTTCTAGGTAGAAATAAGCAGAATTTGGATTTGTTTACGAGTAAGGAGTCGGAAGCAGCAACGCTGTCTTTGCACCAGCTGAGCTGAGACACCTGGCTTGTGATGTCACTAGCTTCCTGATCGATCTATGGGCTACCTAGGTTGGCAACCAGCCTTGGGTACCTAGGCACTGCTAGGGAGTAATGACAGAAGGATTGCTTCCCACAAATTCAGAGGACCTACGTCAACATTGTTGCCAGCCCCCACGTCATGATACACGCCCCGACTGGGGGTCCAACGCACAGGCTGTGGATTTCCACATGGGTACCTAGGTACCTAGAAATCCAGCACGCATCACACTCAACAGGTCATGAGCCCTTAGGCTTCCAAAACCGTGCATTTTCTTAAGATCCACGTTATTTTCAGATTCTATTGAAGCCAAGGATTCTAGGGAATATTTTGATTATTTCCTGCGCGTTATATTTAACGTGGTCAAACAAATCACCGGAACGGATTCACCTGCCAGCCAGTACCCACTTTTCGATTGATCGACTGACTCTTGGCTAATCACAACCCACCTTTCCCCACCCTTTCAGATCAACTGAAGCTTGTCTGATCAGCCCGTTTCCGAACGACCAATCAGCGTTGAAGCTTCGTAAAGGTGATAGCTTCAAGATGTCTGAAGAGATTCGATACGATATCCCAAAGGTCCCTCTCCTTAAGGGAGAGGAGAACCTCGAAGAATGGGACCAGTTACTAAAGCTGGCGTTGAACCTGCTCAACTTGGAAGAATACATTGAAAAGGAGCACCCTTTTACCCCGGAGACGAAGTCGAAGAGGACGATGGTATTGTTCATTCTGTCAAGCTCCCTGACCCACGTTCGAAGTCAGTTGAAGAACGCTGGATGGGACGCTACAGACGCGAAGATGGACCCGAAGAAGCTGTACGACCTGGTCCACAGGGCCATTCCTAGGGTCTCAGAGGGCGCAGCTGGGCAGCTAATGAAGCAGCTCTGCGAGATCAAGCGGGTCAACTTCGACTCCATGGCCAAGTTCCAGGATCGAGTTCAATATTTGAAGCGGCGGCTCCAGGAAATGGGCTGCGGTATGGAGGAGAAGGCCATGATGTGGATTGTGATCAATGGCCTTGAGGGCTATGAGAATCTGCAGAGATTCCTGATCAGGGACCTCAACGCGGGGACCCTTGACTGGGAGAAAGCTGATGATTGAGCTTTGTGTGCTACCGTAGCAGCGTAGGTAGTTTATGTAGCTGTGGGTTTCCACACGTAGAAATCCACCACCACGAATCTCGAACATCGGAGACGGCTTTTTCCGTGTCCGCGCGAACCCCACCGGAGTGGAGGTCCACTGCTGGCCCGAGGCTCAACTCCCAAAAGGTTCCATGATATTCCGAGAAGTGCAACGGTCTCTCGAGATAGACGATCTCACTCAGCCTCCCCCTTGATTGCAGGTATGACCTCCGTTGGCATAAAGGTGCCTGTCTGCCCGCGCATGTTCGCCGACTGACCCAATCCGCAGCGTGCGATTTCCCATACACCATCCCGAGTTCCCGCCGTACGTTACCGACCACAATGGACTACGTCGAGCAGCGCATGGCCCAGGAAGCGTCCAAGCCCCCGGGCGAGAGCGAGTACGTATCCTCCGCCGCAGCATGAACTAACATCCGCGGAGGCTCCCCAAGCTAACCTCTGCCCGCGCGCCCGCCTCCGCAGCTCCTCCATCTTCACCCCTCTAAACATCGCCCTCTTCGGCATCCTGCTCTACACGCTCTACGCGCTCCTCCTCCGCCCCTCGACGCCGGCCACGCTCCCCAAGGAGGAGCCCGCGATCGTGTTCCGGACCTTCACGCCGCACACGCTGCTGCCGTACAACGGCGAGGCCGGCGCGCCCGTGTACCTGGCCGTGCGGGGCCGCGTCTTCGACGTGTCGAGCGGGCGCAACTTCTACGGGCCGGGCGGGCCCTACGCGAACTTTGCCGGCCGCGACGCCTCCCGCGGCCTGGCGTGCGGGAGCTTCGACGAGGACATGTTGACCAAGGACCTGGACGGGCCGCTGGATACGCTGGCCGACCTCGGGAGGGACGAGCTCGAGGCGCTGCAGGGGTGGGAGGAGAGGTTCTCGGAGAAGTACATGGTCGTGGGTAGGCTGGTGGCGGTGGGCGAGGAGGAGAAGAAGGCGTGATTGTGTGGTCTGGGGAGGGGTGGGTGTAGGGGATGAGGTCGATGTGTCGTCGCGAATTGCGTGGTACCTCTTTCGGGCAACTGTTTTCATGCGTCGAGGGTCGCCGTCTCCCATCCGTGTTCCTTACCGAGAGGGAGGTTGCCCGACAGCTGAAATCCAAGCCCAGGCGCTAATGTAACACGTAGATCCTTCGATCGTTGTAGGCCTCAGATCTGGGTGCCGTCGGTATGATGGTTTATCTTTCTTACCTCATATTCTAACCGCGAGTCGTTATGGATGCTGCTGCCGTGAGAAGTCATCCCTGGCTACCTAGAGCAACGCCTTACTCCCATATAACGGGCCATTTACTCGTAGTATGCCTTGACCAAGGGATATCCGTTGTCCCTCCTTGGGGACGGAGAGTCAATCTGTGGAAGAACCAGACTCCTCGGCCGTCTACTTCGTTTCCATTCCATCCGTTTACAAGCTTTCCAATTGCAATTGAGCCTTCTCTACTTTACCAGGGAAGTATACCGCCACTGCCTGAGGCCCCTCCTGGAAGTTCACCAAGGTGAATTGAATAGCTTAACTGGATTATTAGCAGTAAGAGATCCTCGGGTGGATCAAAGTTAGATCCGTATGCTAGGTAATTATATACCTACCATAATAGCATGATGGGAACTGGAGCGAGGTCAGGGTTCGGTTGAGAAGAAAACCCTACTCTCCCCTCTTTCAGCACTAAATAGGCAGGTAAATGACTCGTGGGAGCCGGCGTTCTCCATGGACCCCAAGCTGGAGACTATGGCGTACACTAAAAAAGGGAGAAACAGCCCTGTCTGGTCGAGAACCTAGATCTGGAGTTCCTCTTCCAAGGCCAAGATCCCTGTCGCTCAGGTCTCCATGTGACGCGGTGGATGATGTAATAAGGGTGGCTCCAATTGGACCCCGACCAATGGACACACCTCGGTACGTACGTACACCACCCTTTGGGGAATGCCTAAGTCCCCGGGACGGCGCCATTGACAGCTTTGTCTGGTCGATGCGATTCAAGATGGCTTGTGTCAAGGGAGGGCTAAACGGCCAAGGAGAAGCCGAGGAGGAGGAGGCAATAGCGAAAGGGGAATGAAATCGCGGTGGGGTTGTCTCTAACCCCCGAGATCTGATCCTCCATCTCAAAGTTCTCATTCTCTCTGTAATTTTATGTTGCAAGTCCATCCCTTTCAGACTCGTCATCACGGGCATCTCTTCTTCCCTCAAGTCGCCGTCCTTCATAGAGGATTCGCGTCCCAAATTAAGAGGCTGTGGCGTGACCTCATCCCACCCACTTCCCCCCCAAGCTACCGTAAGCGAGTATGGGTGGTGGCGGTCCCCCTCATGAGCCCGTGATCACAGGCTCAAGTGATCGCTCGCCACCGACGCGCGCCATGTCTCTCGTGAAGCGCCCACACCGTCGCCCAGACAGTGAAATACGCCCTGCGCCCCCGACCCGTCCCAGCTTCCATCACCAGTACACCAGCGATCGACTCCGGGAGGGCTTCCAAAGGCCGCCCCCACTATCCATGGCTAGCAACATCAGGAAGGACCGCAAGTCCATATTCAAGGAGCTGGGCCTGGACGCCGCCGACGACGACGACAACAACGAGCGGGGCGACACCACCACCCGCGCCGCCTCCTCCCCCGCCGAGGGAGACCACCCCCGCCGAGCCAGCACACCAGGCCCCGACAGCGGCGGCCGGGCGGCAGCAGCAGCAGCCCCCGGCATAAACAAGTCCCCCGACAGGAGGCCGTGGTACGCGAGGCTGGCCGCGGGGGGAGGGCGGCGGCCGAGGGCGAAGTCAGTCGCGGGTGCGCGCCCCTCCCCCTTGCGTCTGGTCTCGGGACGCTCGTCGTGATTTCCCCGCTTCCCGCGCTCATTTTGGCCCGTTTCATCCTTTCCCGCGGCCTTTTAGTTATGGCGGTGGTCATCAGACGCCTGCGCTCGATGGCGCGGGCGCCGGTGAGAAGAGCTCGGCTGAAAGGCTGAAATTCCCGAGATTGTGAGGGCATGAACGGGCATTTGCCTCGAGCCAAGGGGGCCGTTGGTTGGGCGGAACGTAAAGCACGCCTTCTGAGCTGGGTGGGCCTAGATGGGTATGTTCTGACTTGTTATGGAGGGGAGGCGAGCTGCTGGTTCGTTGCTGACATACGACGATAGGCAGTTGATTGTTAAGCGGCACTCCGCACGTCTTCCAGTGGAGGTTCAGGCGAAGACTCGAGACAGGATAGGTTACGGACAGATTTGAAGTAGGTCCTCGTCCCCTTAGATATCGGATAGCTCCTGCTAAACGATATTTCTAGAAGTAACGGCTTACACGCATGTTCCGACAAAAGCCACTCGCCCCGGCAGGGCCGTTTGGACTTGAACCCGAATCGTTCGACGCAACAGTGCCCTAACAGTGCCCTAGAGACCTTGCTCGAGCCGACTTGGCCAGGCCCAGGTGATACCGATGTGCGCTCTCAGCTGCGGACTATCGAAGGAGCTATCTGTAGGCCATCGTCCAGGTGGGCTGCGATAGATGACACATCTAGAAGGGCCAGACGACCTTCTTGTGTTCGAGATTCGCTGGAACTGAAGGGGAGTTATGGCCGTTTTCTTCTGTGGGAGGGAAATATCGGAAACCTTCTCAGCAGACTGGGAAATGAGTCGACACAAGGAAGTGGGAGGTTTGGGACCGGGATGACGACACCAGCAGTGGTTTGGCGGGACAGACTGCGGTTGGATTAGGCCGGGGAATCTCCTCCCCAGTTCAGTGATTGCGAGAGCTGAAGGAGCTCGATTGCCTCGAATAGACTGGGGATAGGGAGAGTGAAAAGGGACATGGGTGGTCGTGCTTGACCATGAGGGAGGGAATCAACAGAGCCTGGGGTTTTGACTCAACCGGCCCATGTAGTCCTATATATCTGTGATGCCATAGCGAGAACACACGAGTTGACCACGTACTTTGGAGACTCCTGTTCGTATCCTTCCGTGCCCGTTTCAAACTCACTAGAAAACTGAAGGCCAACACCGAACTGGAAGATGGCTATCACGGTGAAGAGTCACTCGAATAATGTTGAGAGGTCATGAAGACATTTGGCCTGATCAAGGCCATATAATATTTGGCTAGCACCCAAACTGGGCGATTATATACACGGCGCTGCATGTCAGGCAGCTTCGATATTGGGACAAGGTCCAAATCAGCTTCCGTAACTGTATCTCAGTCCGCGTGGCTGCTCCTAGCCTAGTCGAGGTTGGAGACAAGACGCCCAAACCTGGACTCAGCTACCGACTTGGCCATCGACTCTGCGAGATGGCGCCAATCGTCACTGGACGAGCCCGGGCGCAACTCTGAGCATGTTTCTATGCACCACGGCGAGTGAGGCCGATAGTACCTCCATGTGGTGAGCAAAAATGTCCACGACACAACGCCAGACAAAGGTGTCCCGGTCATTGTGACTCTCCCAGGATTGTCAAGTCCTCTCAGCCAAATGACAGACGTCCGTCTTGGTGGGGATGATCTTGGGCGAAGTATGGGCCGAGATACGTCCGGAGGAGATTGAGTATCCATTGGGCTTCTTCCGACTGGCCCCTTTGGGTGAGGTGCTGCACAGTGTCTAGCCCAAAAGACATGATCCGGACATGGAAATTGGACGGCTGGGGCTTGAGCCCGTTCGCTGCTGTTAGGGCGGCCGGCGTAGGTGTCGAGGGCAGGAGGAGATTCTGCCAAAACGATTCCTTGGAAAGGAATTCGACGGCCAAGGCGTGGCTCGGCTTGGTGGGATGGTGAAGGTCGAGGTGGGCACGTACGAGACTCTTGGTCCTGCGGATGTGCTCACTAATGGCGACATAGGATTCGAATAACGGTTCAGATGGGCTCGAATACTTCCAAGCTTCCACGGTCGATAGCCATGCGAGGCTCCTCCACGGACTAAGCATGTCTTGGGCAAATTCCGGGCTGTCCTTCAGCATCTCTTCTCCACGGAGTATTGATGAGTATGCGTCGTCGAGATTCCTAGCGCCGACAGATCTGGTATAGACCAAGGCCTCGAGCAGAAATGATGCCGCTGGCTGTTTCTTGACCGTGGCTGGCCCCTCTCCAGCTATCAGTCTCGCCAGCCAAGCCCAGGCCAGTTCGTCCAATCCTTCTGCAACGAGGAAGGGAAGTAGGAATTTGATGAACCTCGGATGCGAAACAAACGATAGGTCTCTTTCCATTCCAGATGCCCGCAGCCATTGAAGCACACGGAGACCCGCACCCGATGCTCGCATGCCGTCCTTCATCGATGCCGTTGACGATTGCATTATGTCCCGCCGCGCTGCGATCAGGCAGCCAAGCGCGCCCTTCATCGTCATCATTCCCTTAGCGACCGCCTCGTCGAAGACGTCCATTGGGTCCCGCTGCGCTCCTACCAACCCTGTGGTCGCCCGGGCCCGAGGGTCATAGTTGAAGAGGGGGTTGGAGAGAATGGCGCGGAGGTGTCGGTCTGTAGGCCGTCGGTGGGCTTCTTTCGCAAGGGTCGGCGTGGGAGATGCATAGTAGGATATTGGCACGGCCGGGACGGGCGCGACCGATGGCTCATCGGGTAGCCAACCGTGCTCCTTGTCTAGGTGTTTCCTGAACGAGGTAGTCAGGGCATTGAGTAGCTGTTGGGATTCTCGCTTGTTCAGTGGGAGAGGTTGGTGGATCGGCGGGAAGATGCTCTTGAGCGAGCTCAGGGGTTTCGTTTTGAACATCTCTTCGGAACTGTACTGGTGCCTCTCGTGATCAATCGACTTGGGCAATCAATCGGGGCTTCCTGCTTTTCTTGTTCGGCCGATGATGGCATGATCCCGTCTTGACGGTGCGGGCCTGGGACCCACTTCGGATGGGGTAATTCCGAATTCCCACTCCGTTCTGTCCATGCCGGGTAGGTACCTATGTACCCATGTAGTGATACGCAACTAACGATCACCAATGCGTTCGGCTAGTATCCGTATAAAGCCCTGGATGGTGCTTGGTTTGCATCGGCCATCAACAAGTATGGAGGGAACTGGCTGGGGACGATGATAATTTCGGATCCATTCCGGCCGAGGTTCAGGCTGGCCGCCTTTGTTGGTGCATAGAAATTGCAAAGGCATCAATGTCGAGGCCCAGTGGGTTGGACTACACAGGTGGCCTGTTCTAAAACGGAGGAGGGTGGTAATGGGTATATATTCCACACTAAGGGAGCCATTCAGAGAGAAATGTCATATCAAGTCACGTAAGTAACTCAGTGAAGTAGTCTCGCCGCGGATCTCACATTACCAACTTCGCTCTAATGTCCAAGGATGCCTAACAGGATGCCAGACTCTCTGCTATCCGGGGCTTGGTCTCGAGAGCCGACGCCGAGGGTGAAATTGGAACTACCCAACAGGCGACTAATCCGGAAGTTGAGGATGAGAGAAAAGTGGGGCAAAACCTCAGCCACTTATGCCCGCGCCACATCATTCCCGCCGATGGGCAACTGCAATTTGAATGCGCAGGGATGCAATCAGCAGTTGCTGTTTGCAGAGTGAGTGGTGGCTTGAGTATCAGTTGATGGTCACATCAGTTCCAACCATTGACCTGTAGGTTCCTTGGTTGGTGCTGTTGGTAGCATATCTGGAATGCATGGCTTCAAGATCTGCGCAGCACGCTAAGCTTTCGCCTTGCACAGACGGAGAGCTGCTCAAGCCGACAGCAACCAATCAGGTGACGCGATGTATCAGAGCTGTCCTCCACTGCCGCGAATATAAGGATTGGGAGCAGTCACCAAAAAGGAGGATGTTGTTCACTGCGTAAATGGTAGCTGCCGTCAGAGAATAAATTAAAATACTCTGTACCTGGTCACATATTCATAGGTATCAATACCTAGGTACAGTACGTAGGTATGATAAGGGAAAATGGGTTGGAATTGGCGTTTGCTTGTCGCCCTAAGCTCCCTCCCGTTATGCACTTTCGCGCCTTGTTGGTCACGCCCCAGCCCACACACCCGACCAACCTGACCTTTTTATTTTAGTGCAGTTTTACGTACTTTTTTTTTCAAGGTGGGTGTCCTGCCACTTGCATGCAGGTGTTGCAGGTGGCCTCTGCTCAGCTCTACTCTTCTTTCATTGGCAGTCTAATCTTGAGTCGCCAAGCACAAAACCTTCCAACCTTCGCCTTCTCTCGCACCACGCACACAATCACACATCATCATCCATCACCAGTCTTGACGACCACGGCTGCGCGCAACAAACCCCTCCATCTACAATACCCTTTCTTTCCTCCTGGTGTTTAGTCTTCATTCAATTGCCTCCATTCCACTGGGCGACTCGGCTGCCGGCTTTCCCTCTTGTCCTTCCTCACCCTCATCTCAGCAATGTCTGAGGTCCAATCCAGATCAGCCGCCTCGCGTGGTAGGGGCTCTGGTCGCGGTAGCCGTGGAGGCGGATACTCAACCCGCGCATCGACCCGGCCTTCCAACAAACCCGCCGCCACGAATGGCGACTCGAAGCACGACGCCGACTCCAGCTTGCCAACCCTCGATGACGAAGGCGATGTTGGCGAGCTCAAGCAGAAGTACGGAAGCAAGATCGGTATGATCAAGGAAATGTTCTCCGACTGGTCTGATATCGATATCCTCTACGCCTTGCAGGAGGCAGATGGCGACGAGAACGTTGCTGTGACGCGCATTGCCGACGGTGTGTACTTTATCTACTTCGCTGCCTCCCTTGATTGCCCTCCCCTCCCCTCCTCACGTGCGCTTATCACCCGCCTCCCTTCGGGGGCATTGCTCCCCTCCCAACTCAATGCACTCGGTGACTGACTCGAGCTGTTCATTATAGGAGCCATCTCACAGTGGGGTGAGGTTTCGAAGCAGAAGAAGGAGCGCGCCCGCCCCAAGGGGAAGAATGACACCTTCACAACTACTACTGGCGATTCGGGAGCTGCCGGAGGTACCAGGCCTGCTAGAGGTGGCCGCAATCCCGTAGAGGGAGCACGGGGTCGCGGCAGGGCTACCGAACGCGGAGGACGCGGTGGCGTGCGCGGGAAGCCTGCCCAAGTGACGACTAACGGCACTCGGTCCAAGGAGAACCCATTGTCTGTCCCTACCGAAGAGTCACCCGCCTGGGATGCCACCAACACTACCGATAGCACGGCCGGCTGGGGCGATTCCACCTCTACTCCTACTACTTCTGAATCTACTGCTGCTGCTGTCGCTGCTCCCGCCGCCCCCGCCACCTCTGCCACCTCCGCTGTTCGTCCCAAGCCCACCGTCGTTCCTGATGGTACACCGAAGACATGGGCCAGCATGCTGAGACAATCAACTGCCGCCAAGCTCGCCCCCAAGGCAAAGGAGTCCCCGGCTCCCAAGCCTGCCGAGAGCGCTATCGAACCATTGCCCCCAATTGAACCTACTCCTGCCGAACAGAACCCTCCCACCACTGGGCAACCTACGGCCGAGCCTGCTAGTGAGCAGGCGCCATCCGAGATCCCTGCCGCCACCAAACCCGAAGTTGCCCTACCACCTTCGACCGATCGGCTTACACAAACGAACCTGGAACATGTTGATGATGAATCGCATCCTCCCGAGACTGAGACAGTCCGTAGTGAGGCGGCTGATTCATGGAATCCACATGCCTCTGCAGTCACTACACCCTTGTCTGGCCTGCCACCGCAGCAGCAAGCTTCGCGGGCGGCTTCAAGCGGGTTTGCGGCGACTGCCATTAAGGCGACGGAGCGTAACACAGCGCGCATTCCGAGCTATCAGCGCCGAATCCTCGACCAGGAGGAGGCCGTCCGCATGCCCGGTAACCGTGACCAGGTTGACCGTGCAACTGTCCAGTTTGGTTCCCTCAACTTGAACGGGCCGCTCGACGAGGACATCGATGGCGACCGGGAGGAGCCCGAGACTCGCGCCCAACCCCCCGTTGATTCGCCTGTGGCCCATCCTCGAACCTCGCTGCCCCCCATCCAACCCGCACCCGTCCCGGAACCCTACGCTTCGCAGAAGCCCGCGGCCGCCCTCCCCCCGCCTTCTGGGCCTACTATTGGTACTGCGCCACTCCCGTCCCAGTTCTTCCGGCCTCTCTCAGCTAACGCAGCCTTAGCCGCTCCCACCGCTCCTGTGTCTCAACCAGCCTTGGCTTCACAGGGTGTGTTACCGTCATACCCCAACCTACCACCCCCATATGACCTATCGCTAACCGTCCCCTTCGCGCCAGCAGCACAAGCCGCGGCCCAGAACACGCAGCAGTTCGGGCGTTTCGGACAGGCTGCTCCCCAGGAGCCATCGTCCTTCCCCTCGCAGAAGCAGTTTGACACCTTCGGACAGCAGCCAACTGCCGCGGCCGCCACGCAGAGCCAGTACGAGGGTGCTTTCCCCAGCCAGCCGCAGCAATCGCAACCCCAAAGCCAACAGCAGCCGGGAGGTGCCCCGGGCGGCGCTTTCAGCTCGGCCTCTGGCGACTATTCTTCTTACTACACGGCTGACCAGCACAGCCGAACGCCCTACAACTACTACAACCAGCAATTTGGTCAACAACTTCCGGGTGCGCAGGGTCAACAGGAGGGGTTGGCTTCTCAGCAGCCGCAGCAGCAGCAGCAGCCGCAGCGCTCATTCAGCGGCTACAATGCTCATCAGAACGATGCCCTGAACCAATATCCTCAAGGAGGCGTTCATAATACACAGGGTCGTTACGGTGCGGCGTCCGCGGTAGAGCCGCAGACCAGTGGCAACACCACCCCGAACCCATCTGTGACCCAGGCCCAGCAGCAGGCCGGACAGGGCAACCAGGCCCAGTCCCACGGCCAGCAACAACAGCCACACGACTACCCTTACAGCCACCCGTACTTTGGGAGCCCGTACTACGCTGCCTATGTGAACCAGCAGTACCAGGGAGGGTATAACCAGGCTGGTTACGCTGGACCGTATGGCAAGGCCGGTGCTGTATACGGCCAGCCTCACCAATATGGGATGTCGCCACAGGGGCCTTATGGCCATGCCTCATCCCCAGCCGGCGGGTTTGGCCAGAATTCTCTGCATAGAGCAGACAGCGCCGGTGTTGCTGCCGGGCTTGGCGAGTATGGACGCGCGGGGTCGGCGCAGTCAGGAAACCAGCCGGGGCTGGGTGCCACCGGGTTCAGCGGCATGCACGACACGTTTAGCCGCGGAGCGTCTGCATACCAGTCGCAGGCGTCGGGACAGCCATTCAACGGGCCAGCTTCTCAGCAAGGCAACCCTCCGACGGTGAACGATGATCTGAAGCCCTTCGGCGAGTCGAAGGCTGGGGCTGGACCAAGCCCGTCACTCGGTGCCGCTGCCCGACCGGGCTCTGCCACGAACAACGCCCCGGCCGGACTTCCGCCGCCGCAGTCCAACCAGCAAGGCGGTCTTGGGATGTCCGGATACGGCGGTTATCCCAGCCATCTTCAGGGTCACGGTCTTCATGGAAACCAAACTGCAGCCGGCGGCTATGGTATGAGCGCCAGTGGTGGCCAGGCCGGCCACAGCAATACCCCATATGGTGGATACGGCGCACAGGGATTTAGTGGCAGCTACTATGCCAACGCCCCGCGCGGTTGGGGTGGAAACTACCACTAATGGCGTCGTCGTCGCCGCTGCCCGATAACGGACTGGGCCATGACTCGTTCCTAGGTCGTGCGGGGCTTGCCAGGCATGCCAGACGAGACAGAGACATGGCATGGTCGTCGATGATTTCTCTCTACTCGGATGTTTGTGTGTACGATTCTCTCGATTTTAGGAGCACGGAAACGAAGAAGAAAAGGAACTTCAAACGACCCACTTGGGCTGTGTTTATATTTTTTCGGGGCTCGTTCTCGAGGCTCTCGACAAGGGCAGATCGATCCTAATTCCGGGGACGAGAGGTTAATGCACGCTCTTTGCTCCTACCAACCGTCGTTCCTTGCCAACCCCCCCGGGGTTTTGGTTTCTAATGGCTCACTCCACTCGAGGAATATCAAGGGGCCTACGTCCTCGGCTTGGCTTGTAAGGGGGACGGATACTACAAGCCAAACCCAGCCGAAAGAATCACGCTTTCTGATTTACTTTTTGGGGGTGACGGCAGTCGGTTCCGGTCTATTTTTGCCCAATTCCACAGACTGTCGCTCAGGCGTACGCAAAAGGAGATGATGATGGCTGAGGTCATTTAGAATCGTTGAAAAGGCTCCCAAAAAATCGTTTCTGATCTTTTTCTTTTTCTTTTTCTTTCCTTTTTACCTTTCTTCTCTCTCTTGGGGCAGGGGGCGGTCTCGCACAAAACACACAAAGATTGGTAAAATCATCGGGTTCATTTTTTTGGACGGCGCGAACGCGTTTGGGCCGCTACGTGTCCACTACATATGGGAATGGTTTGATGGCGAGGCACGGGCGGGATCAGGGATAGCATCAGAAATTTAATTGATCTCTCGTTTGGTGTTGGTGATTTGCGTCTTCGGCATGTTCCGTGACTTGACGTGACGTGACTGCGTGCATTTTGATCCTCTATTACTTTGCTGTCTATATTATGGTTTGAGCAGTTTCCATACACACTGAGAGACGCTTAGGTTGCTGGATGGTTCTCGACCCCTGTTGAGGACAAATCCCGGTCCTAACTTTACTTCGGGCTGGGTAAAGAGCGCCCGAGTTGTCCGCCTTCAGCACATTCGTCTTCGACAGGGCAAGAACTCCAAGGCTCCGGTTTCGGTTCCGACGGAAACTTTGAGCCGGATGGGTATGCAAGAAGTCTGTAGCTTTACTGCCGAGGGAGATGGGTCTGGTTTGTAACAGACGGAGCATTGTTCTCGCATGGGTCTTGCATAGAACTGCAGATCGGGAAGAAAGGTTCGATGACGCGGGCAAAGAGAGGCCTCGGGGAATTCCTATCTAGCTTTGCCACCATGCAGACAGCAATTGCATTGATTTCTCAACCTCACCTCACAGTTTGAAGTCTGCGTTCCCCTTCTCCCACCCCATAGGACTCTCCTCCATCCCCGCCACTCGTTCCGCAAGCTGCGCCTTCAGGGTCCGCGATCTCTCCGTGCACAATTCGTACATAGTCGCGAGGTTGAACAGCAGCGTGTGGGACGAGTAGCCGGCGTCGACCATCCCTTCCAGAAGCGACTTGCCCTGTTCGTGTGCGCGCGGCCCGGGTCAGCATGGGATCACAAGCCAGGAACAAGGGGGAACCTACCTCCTGGATCTCCCCGACGTAGAGTAGGCATACCGCCATGTTCACCCCAATCATCTCATCCTCTGGTCTCTCCGCCCTTAGCTCCCGCCAGGCGGCCAAAGCCTCCCCGTACTCCCCATCCGCCATAGCGCACAGCGCAGCAACAATCTTCTCCCCGACCTCCCCAGGCCCAACACACGCCCTAGCAGCCTCCACATCCCCGACATGCAACCACAACAGCGCCCTAGCGAAGCCCACCATGGCCGCCCCACCGTCGGACACCCCGCCCCTGAGCGTCTCGAGGTGCCGCGCCGCCCCGGCAAGGTCGCCCATCTCGACGAGCGCGCCCGCGACGGCGACGCCGAGCCCGGCCAGCCGGCCGCGCCAGAGCTCGCGGGCCGAGTTGTCGCCGCGCGCCGTGGCGCCGCGCAGGCGCGACCGCGCCTCGGCAGCCAGCTCATAGTAGCTCGCGACGGCGCGGCGCGGGTCCGCGAACCCGAGGGCCTGCAGTCGCACGGCCAGGACGCGGAGAGGCCACGGCCATGGCGGCTCTTCGTCGTCGGCGGCGTCGTTGGCGTCAGAGGTGGTGGTGGTGGAGGAGGAGAAGAAGCTGGGGCCGACGACGTCGCCGAGGGCGCGCGCCTCCTGGGCCGCGACGCCGACGGCGACGCCCGAGGCGGCCGAGAGGCCTAGGCAGGCGAGGCGGACGTGGATGAGGTCGAGGATGCGGGCGTGGTCGGCTGGGTCCGGGGGCGGAGCGCCGCCGGTGCCGGAGAGCTCCTGGGCGGCGGCGATGGCGGCGGCGCGGTAGTGGCCGCGGGCGAGGAGGTCGGGGATGGCGGTGTCGGGGCGGGGCTGCCGGGGGGAGTTGCGGAAGGGGGCTGGGATGGAGAGCTGGGATAGCGGTTGGTAGGTCTCTGGGCGGAGGAGGTGGGATAGGTCCCGCTGCTCCGGGACGGAGGGTGGCGCGGCCGGGGAGAGTAGAGGTCCGCCCATGGGGGATTGCGCTGCTGAGCGGCGGTGGGGTGAGGTAGGCCCGGGACTGGCTGGCCCCCGAGAGCTTAGACGTGACGCTGCTGGCGCAGGCGGCGAAAGTAAAGGCGCTCTATGATAATAGTTTCAGGACCCACCGAGATTGGTGGACGGGGTTGATGCTTGGAGCACTTACTCGTCGACATCAAGAGGGCCTTTGGTTGACGACCTAGGCCGAGTGGCTGGCGATTGGGAGGTTAGCAACGGAGGTTATGTGACACAGAATTAAGCTCTTGATGCGGGAAAGGGCGTATGCAATAATTTCGCATGCGCCCGGGGGTGACTTGGGTGAGTGGAATTGAGGGTCTCGCCGTTGCTCTCGGGGTACCTTTTGCAGCCGATCGCGTCCGTGTGTGCCCTTTTGGGGCTGGATTCTGTGACTGCTCCATGCTTCACTCATATAAGGATAGTCATCGTTAGATCTGGGTGTGAATAGGCTTCTCGTTACAACTTGTTAAGGCTGGAATCTATGGAGGTTGAATCTGAGGTGGGATGAGAGAGCCTCGGCAGCTGATGGCAGCTGGCAAAATGCCAAGCGTGGGCCAGCTGTGACGTCGTCTGCTCTAGCCCCATAGGTACCTAGGTATATAAGGACTTTGTAGCTCGTCTGTTTGTTGACTGAGGTACTTGAAAACATACAATTTTGGTTGGCCCAAGCCTTGTTTCGCACAGACATGGTTTTCCGGTGCTGGTTAAAGGGATATTGAATGCTAATTGGCAGATTGTAGGAAGGTTTTCTTGCAGGAAAGAGGGTGGAATTGGAAGAAATGGAAACTGCATGATCGCGTATTCAATTCAAATCGAACTCGTGTGCCACTTTTGCGCACTGACTTTGGTAATTGTTTATATAAGGCCAGGTCAGAGCTCGCCTTCGCTGGAGGTATCGTAACTGCCTCCATCAAATGCGGTTTCACTTCCCGCCAAGAATTTTGATCTCAAGACACTATCCATTTCCAAACCCCCTTCTACCCAGGAGAGTGTCTACCAATCTGGCCATTCCAAACCGTTCTGCAAACAACAAAAACAATATAAAGTCATCACAATGCCCCCAGACACAAGACCCGTCGATAGACGCGACAAGACACACATCCGCCCCCTGACCGGCGCGCCGCCCGAGCTCTCCTACTTCACCGCGAGAGACTTCGCCTACGGCCGCACGATGCGCAACATGCAGATCTCGGGCTTCCACCGCTGGGGCTATGTCGTCATACGCACCGCGTCATACAACGAAGACAACAACCAGCTCTGGGAGCCGTTCCTGGCCCACCTCCGCGCCGTCAACGATCACGACATCCCGGCGTTCATGCTGCCCCTGCTGACGTGGGACGTGCTGGAGGACCGAGACCTCGAAGGTGCGGGCGTCGAGGCTGCGATTCGGCAGTTTTCGGCGTGGCGGGCCGAGGTGTCTGTGGAGAGGGATGGCGAGGGCGCAGATGATTTGCTTGTGCGGGTGGGACACGTTGCGCGGATCCGGTACTTTGTCATGGTTGACGATGAGAGCCTAGCATCTCTGCGTGAGGCGGAAAGTGTGGCTAAGGCTATGCCTGGCCGCCGCCCGCTGCCACCGGTCAAAGTGCGGGTGGTTGATGCAGGATGTCCGGAGGGGGTGGAGCATTTATTTGGATTCGGCCCTTTCGATCCTGGTTGTCAAGAAGCAGTAGAGGCGCAGGCCAGTGGGCAGGCTAGTCAAGGTGATGGAGAAGATGGTGAGGAAGATGAGGAAGATGACGACGTAGACGATGACAGTGTAGATATGTCAGACACGCATTCGCCAGTAGAGGGATGCACAAGCTGGGATGTGGGCTGGATGTGGGTTCGGACCAAGTTTCTCCTCAGCTTCTCCGACATTCTACAGGTAGACCAGGGTTGGAGCCTCTTCTACGAGCGTCCGCCAAAGGTATACTAGTTGTTTAGGTAGACGGGATATACACGAACACATCCCCAACTCTTCACACTAGGTACCCATATAATTTACGTATCATCACTTGGCCTACAGATAACTAAATATACCCCTGTACCTAAACATATTCCTCGTCCATGTCTCACGCCTCGACAAGACTGGTTGAGCTTCAAACTCCAATACACACGTAGTAGGATAGCCACAAATTGAGACAGTCAGTCCCAACTTCGGAGTTCCACGAGTAGAAATCGTCGAGCTCGATGCCGGCATCGTCAGCGATAGACCAGCACCCATCGCCGTCCGCTACCCTGTGCCATTTGGTGCAAGATCTGATCGCCCCGGGCTGCGTAGGCGTCGGGACTGCCCCTGAGGACGTAGCCGAGGACGTGGCTGAGGCAGTCGTCGAGGTCACAGTGGGCTCGTTGGAAGTGTTTTTTTTCCGTGTCTGAGGTCCCTGCGCCGTTCGTCGAGGTCACGAGGGGCTCGTTCAAGGTGCTTGTTGCCGTGGTGGTTGGCAGCGCCGCCCGCGCCCTGCTGCTGCTCGTCGCCGGGCGCGTGAAGCTCGTCGAAGGCGCGGCGGCGGTGTAGCCCGGGTAGGCGGCGATGTCGCCGACGGGCTGCACGCAGTACGACACGCCGAGCTGGAGCTTGGTGCACTCCTCGTCGACGCTGGGTTGAGGAAGTAGAAGTCGGCTAGAGGGGTGTTGGCGTCGGCGGCGAGCTGCGCGCAGTTATCGCCCGAGGTGATGTTGTGCCAGAGCCCGCATTGCCGGTTGGACTTTGGCGCTGCGTTGGAGGGGATGGCAGCGGTTGTTGGTGCGGTTGGTTGGGCGGTGGTCTTGCCGCCCGGGACCCTAGGGTGGGGAGGATGTGGTCAGCTGCCGGCAATAATAACCCGGGCCACGCTCCATTGAGTGAGCGCATATCATGGGCGGGGGGGAAGGGGGGGGGGGGGGTTTCTTACCCAACACAGATGGACCAGTTGACCCAGCGATTCATGTTGATGCATCTCTCCAGGTTGCTGTTCCATGAAGTCAACTCCATCGTTGAAACATTGTAGGCAGCAGCAAGGTCATTGCAGCTATCGCCATAGCCAAGCATGTAAGTAAGACACTTTTCGGGCAGGCATAGCGTGTCCCTGGTCGTGATGTCGTTGCAGTATATGTCGAGGTTGTTCAACGCTATTAGACCATAGGTCGACACACTATGCGCTGCCGCGATGCTGCCACACGAGTCTCCCGCCTTGACTGTAACCGAATCGCCCACGCACGTGCTTGTCGAAGTAGGTGCTGTTGCCGTCCCAGCTGCCATCCCAGTTGCTGTTGTTGCGGTGGAGTTGAGCGCGTACTGCCCCGGCGTTGCATACGCGTAGCCGGTGGCGCTGCAGCTGGACGTCGCCGAAGTGAACGAGTCCTCCAGGTAGCGATTGTAGGCGATGGGCGCCTCTAGCTGCAACTTCATCACTCCAAGCATGCAGTCCTCGCAGTCATACGCGCCGGTTGAGTTGTCGTTGGCTGTGTCGTTACGCCACTGAGCAATGTCAGTGTCGCAGTACTGATCTGAGGACCAGTAGAACGTTAGTCATTGCTGGATATAAAACGGAACGTAACGGACTTGTCTTTGTAGCATGAGACGTCGTAAGCAAATATGTACTCGTCGATCAAATATGTTGCTTGGTACATTGTCAATCAGTGTATTTCAAGCATCAATGGATATGAGCACAAGGTAGTTACCTGGATAGGCAATATCTCGATTGACCATGACATCTCCATCTGCCGTGCAGGCCGTCTCGGCGGTGGACTTCAAGCTCGTCAACGACGATCTGCAACTGTCGACACACAGCTCGGTGAGGACATCCTCAGCCAGAAGATTGCCCGTCTCAACACTATCACGCAAAGTTAGAATATGTATAAACATAGCTTTCTGAGCTGGATCAGCTTCAGCAAATTCTACCTACACGTTCTGTGCGGCTTGATCCAGGTAGCTCGAGCACTGAACCGTCTTGTTCAGAGCCTGAATGCACGTCTTACTCAGCCCAGCAAACGCAGAGAAGTCGATGAAGTGCAAGGAGTCGGAGAGCTGTTGTGCGAAAACAAACTGAAGGCCAGTCGCTGCAACGATGAGAAGCAGCATTGATGAAGGCGCCATTGTAGCAAGTCAGGGAGAAACGGGTAGGGAAGGGGCGGGCAGGCGTCCGCGGGGATTGAGAGAAGGGCCCTGGGATATCTTTGAGCAGGTCGGTAAACTAAAATAAAACGGGATCGAACTGGCTCCGTCCTGTGAGGCTCGCTGGTCGAAGGCACCCCCTGGTTAGCCGCTCGACTCGAAGGGTCAGATAGTTACACCTGAATTGCCGTCCTCGCGCCTCGCGGCAACCGAGATGACTGAAAATCATGCCTCAAACCCCGCCAGTCGCGCAAGTCCTTGGCATACAGTTTAAAGAAGAGACACGCGGCAGGAAATGAACGCCCAAGATGGCAGATTGGGGGTCCTTGGGAGTTGCGTAAGGCCTCCTGCAGCAGCTGCGGGAGAAGCTATGGGAGGAGCCAGTCTCAAGTTTCAGAACTGCGCCGCCCAAACTTAATCTACTTGCGGTCGTTCCTTCTATAAATCTTGGCTTTGAGGTCCAGGGATAGAATAGCCGCCCTGAACTAGATGGTATGATTCCGCACCGAACACTTTGATTGTTGCCATGGGCGCTTAACCAACATGTCAGAATAACTGGTCCCGAATTAATAGCCACTAATTAATTATGTACAATATTCCCCCTCCCCGCCAGGATGGCTTGGATTAAGAGAGTCACTAGAAGACTTAAAAGCACTCCATCGAGCGCTCTCGCATCAATTGCCTTAGCTGCAGATCAGGGAAACGGTTGATTGCCCATCCCCGGTCGCTCGTTTGTTCTCTCTCCCCGTTTCGAGTCGTTTCCATAATGCCGAAACTCTTCCTCTTTGGCCTCCCGGCCGGGTCTCTTGTCGCTCTCTTCTGCGTCTTGCTCGCGCCACTAATATGGATCGCGCCCGACTTACACCTGACCCCCTTCAAATCGCACCTGGGTAGACGTAGCCCGACCTCCTCTGAAGCCGCAGTTGTCCGGGGCGTAGGATTTTCCGTGCTGCCACTTCCCGGGGCACTCGACAGGAAAGACTAGGATGGCTCCTGCAGTGCTTCCACTCCATGCCCCAACGGCGCCTGTTGTGGCGCGAGTGGGTATTGTGGATATGGTGTGTGATTTCCTCATGTCTCCTCCTGTCTGTCTTATGGCGAGTTATCGTGTTAACGAATAATACGACCAGGCCCGGATTTTTGCGCCGACGGGTGCATCTCGGACTGCGATGCCCATGCTGAGTGTGGCGAGTTCGCCTTACCGGCTAACAAGACATGTCCACTGAACGTGTGTTGTGTACGTGTCGACTAAGGCGTCCCTAAACCGCTTGAACTCTTTTTCTTCTTCTTTTCCACTGACTGGTGTTTGTGTCCGTTTCAGTCGGAATTTGGATTCTGTGGCACTACGACCGACTTCTGGTTCGTTCTCTGGTCCCATCTCGAAAAGAAAGCTGAGGTGCGCCGTTGTGCTGACGTGGAGGACTCATAGCAACGACAATTGCCAGAGCAACTGCGTCGAACACCCCAAACCTCCGGCTGCCGCCACCGGCAAGGCCCTCTCTAGAGGCGATTGTCCCTTGGCGTCAGTTGGACACTCGGTATTTTGTTGACGCATAGGGCTAGTAATTGGTTACTACGAGGGGTGGAATGCCCGGTCGAAATGTCATCAAACGAAGCCTGAAGACTTGCCGCGTGAGTTCTCCCGTTCCAGCCCGGCCGCGCCTTGGTGCAAACTAGGCCTCCAGTTAACTCCAATGAAAGTGGGCGCTCTCACGCACATCAACTTTGCATTTGCATTCGTCGATCCTGGTACCTACGAAATCGTTTCATGGACTCCCAGACGCCCGACTCGCTCTTCTCCCAGACGACAGCGCTTAAAAACATTAACCCTAACCTGAAGGTATTTGTCAGTGTAGGTGGCTGGACTTTCTCGGATAACAATACGGCGACGCAGCCGTTGCTTGGTATTATCTCGGCCGACGAGGGGAAGCGCGCCAAGTTTGTCTCCAACACGATGAAATTTCTGAACCGTCATGGCTTTGACGGCTTTGATTTGGACTGGTGAGTTTGGGGACCGGGCGATGAAATGAAACTGAGCTTACTCCTTGTCCACTCCTTGCTAGTAGTTAGTACTTGGTTCGAGTGCTTGGCTCGACATTACATTGAAGCTGACAAAGGGCGTTATAACAGGGAACACCCAGGCGCCCCTGACCGCGGTGGGAAGGAAGAGGACACCAAGAACATGGTGCTTCTCTTCAAGGATATTAGGGAGGCCATGGCCGCAGTCTCGAGCTGACTTTCACCATCCCGGCATCCTACTGGTACCTCCGGTGGTTTGACGTCCCGGAACTGCTCAAATATGCCGACTGGACGAATTTTGTGAGTGTCTTTGTGACATGTGGTGTCCTGGAAGGATAATACTGACCTGATCTTCTTTGTAGATGAGCTACGATATCCATGGGATTTGGGATCGTGAGAGCCAAATGTGAGTTTTGTTAGCCTGAGTTGTTCCTCATTGCCAACCCCTTAATCCCGACAAGTGCTCTAACCCTAACCCTACTCCCCTGAATTTGGTCAACAATGGAAGGCCCCCCCAGCGCAACACTTGCTTGACGATCTTGGCTAGTTTCAAGGCACTAACACTCGATAACATGGTAGCGGGAGCATTGTGCAGCGACATACAAACCTCACCGAGATCAAGTTCGCAGCCGCGCTCCTCTGGCGCAACAACGTCAATCCATCGAAAGTCACTCTCGGTTACGGTTTCTACGGGCAATCTTTCACGCTCGCAGACCCGTCATGCTCCAAGCCCGGGTGCGTCTTCAGCGATGCAGCCAAGCCCGGAGTGTGCACCGGCACTGGCGGCTACCTGGCGTACTACGAGCTGATGGACATCCTGGGCAAGAAAGACATCACCCCCGTGTGGGACAAGGAGGCCGCCGTCAAGTACTTCAATTTCGACAGCGGCCAGTGGGTGTCGTTCGACGACAAGGAGACGTTCAAGCAGAAGCTGGACTGGGCCAACGATGTGGGCCTCTCGGGCGCGCTGATCTGGGCTAGCGATCTGGACGACTATGACTTCTCGGCGCACACGGGCCTGTTGGGGGAGGACTTCGCTAGCAACATCAAGATCCGTGAGGAGACGATCAGCGCGGCACTCAGCGAGGCCGAGGCGATAACGGCGATGGATGCGAGTCTCGACACCTCGTGCTACCGCGTCAAGGACTGTGTGTCTATTGGAATGTTTCATTGTGACAAGGGGTATTCGCAGATGGGTTGGGATCTAGAAGGGTGCCAGGCCAACTGGCCATTTTTATATGGCGTGAGTATACCATCTACTGCCCCTTTCTTCATACATAAAATATATACATGGATTTTCTAACACTCGGTTCACAGGGCTTCGGGAGACCGATATGCTGTAAGACGGCCGTGGCACCCGAAAAGTGCATGTGGCGAGGCGACGGGTTAGACTGTAACGGACAGTGCCACGATGGCGAAGCTACGCTCTACAAGTCCAAGAACGGCGGCGCGTTCTCAAGTAAGGGGACTGTTGAACTGCAAGATCTTAGGCCGTGTAATCGTGGTGAGAAGGTTTGTCCATCGTACCTCGTTCTCCTATACATGACTCTCGCCAGTATAAGAAGTAATAATACCTATTATATCAAGCACCATAGCTAACCTTGACCCCAGGCATTCTGCTGCATGCAGAACAACTTTGCACAGCTTACAAATGGCTGCTACTGGTCCGACTGGTGAGCCCAACCTGCTTACTGCATTTTAATAATAATTCAGCTGCGTGTTCCGATTCTGACATATTGTCTGATGTGGACAGCGGCGACAAGTGCAAGTACGGCGAGCTCGACATTGCATCTACAATAGACCTCGACGGCAAATGCAACAGCAAACATAATGGCAGGCACTACTGCTGCAAGGGCATCGATAAACCGCTGACGAACTGCCACTGGGTAGGCCAGGGTGACTGTGCGGACAACAGTACGTCTTCGATAACCCCCTGACTGTTGACACTGCACTATGAGTGCTTTGCATCTATCTAGTGGGCTCTGACTGCATCATCTATAGCTTGTAATGCGAAGGAGGTGACTCTAGCTAGGGACTCGATTGGAGACAACAAGTGGAACGCGTGCTTGTGTAAGTTGCTCTTCCCGTCTCCCCTCCTCTCCCCTCCCCATACTGGTCGTGTGCCTGCTCACCTTAAAGATACCTTACCCCAGGGAGGCGCAAGAAAGATTTGTGCTGCACAGTCAACACCCAGGTCACCGAATATAAGTGCGCCCGTCAAACATGTGACTACGACGGCGATTTCCGCTGCGACATAGATCCCGAAGCTGATGACGAGTCGCTCGACGAAACTGATGAGAACGGGAATGATCTCCCAGAAGATGAAGTCGCTGCCCGGTCTGAGCTGCTCGCTGGCAAGGACAAGGGCAAGGGCAAGGCTAAGGTGTTCAAGATAGAACTCGTCATCGACAACATCAATTTTATCGCCACACTTGTCTCTCGCCTATGGCCCGGTGCCACGCATCTGCACGACCGCCAGCGAGGCCGTAATGCCGTGCCGGCAAGCGACCTCATTTTCCAGTAAGGACTCCCCTAGGCATGGAAGGCAGAAAGACTAAATCCTCTGCATGGAAACTGACGAGCCCCTTTAGGCCTGACCGCAGCACTTGCTCGTCGACCGAGATCATCGTAACCAGGCGGAAAGACTGGACCAAGAAAGAGATCGAGGACAAACTTGACACAGAACACAACCCAGATGTAAGTGTGCCATCGCGCCAAAGCACACGTTTTTCCCGTACCTCGTTCTACATCACCCACGGGATCTGACGCTGTGCAATAATTACAATTCAGGCTCAGTACTCTCGCGACCTCTTCAAAACATTGGGGACTGGAGCCCTCCCCAATGGCCAGAACAGCACGCAGCCAGTCGTGCCGGTAGCTCTTAGACTGGAACGCAGAAACCGCGCTGCCAGCCAACCTCCCGCGAGCAGGCGCATCACGCACACTTCGGCGGCCCAACGACTACTTCTTCGACCAGTTCGGGTCGCAGGGCAACCGCAGCCCCATGCTACTCGCGGACCGCGAGATGAACCAGTTCAAGGGGCGCATCTTTAACATCGAACAGGACGCGATGGCTAGTGACACATTTAGAGACAACCTGGCTGAGGTCATGAACAACAACTTCCACGGCCTCCTGGACGAGCAGGCGGCCATCGAAAGACTCTTCAACCCGATCCGCATCACCATCGCCGTCTTCCGCTACATCCGCCACCCGGACGTGCTGCCCGTCATCCAGGGCAACAGGCGCAAACTGCTGGAGGCGACGCAGCGCATCTCGGCCAACGTGCTCACGCTCGGGAACGCGCACGCGCTGCACGAGGAGTTCGACTCCCTGTGATACGCGGCCAGGACGGACCGGGCGAGGGATTGGGTCCAGGATCGGCTGGTCGAGATTAGCCAGGCATTCAGCGACTTCAGGGCTGAGAATGACGAGATACATCCCGCCGAGAGACGTGTGTTCCACCAGATAGGGAGGTTGCAGGATCAGATCAAGTACATAGAGCCGGTTCCTCAGGACCCCGAGGATGTGGACGACGAGGATTATCCGGACTGAGTGTGGGGAGTGGTATATAAAAATCAAGTTGTAAAAGACTTTGGTAACTTTCTTCATATACCTACATATATATGTTCTGTTTACGGTTGGGAGCCTATTACCGATTCAAGGGATGCGCAAGGTCAAAGATAAGAGATCAAATACACGCGCCTGTTTTACATCATGATGGACACAAACATAGCCTCCAAGCCACAAAAACAAACCCCTCCGCCTCTACCCCCACTCATTTCGTGACAGCTTCAACGCCCTTCACCACCAGCCACCCGGCCAGCAAGGAATGCAACCAGCTACCCAACGAGCCCTCCAACATCGTGGGCCGCTCATCCAACCTCCTCCACATCCACGTCTCATTAACAAACACGACCTGCTCCGGCCGCTCCGCATCACCGGGGACCACCTCGACCGCCGCGACGATCATCCCCGTCACCACGGGCCCACGGTACCCCTCGGGCGCATCCAGCATCAGCTCGACCCTCTCCTCCCCCCGCCCGCCCGGCCCGCCCGACCCGCGGTACGCGACCGTGTACACGCCATCGACGCGGTCGCCGGGCCCAAACGCCAACCCGTCGATGTACGCCGGGGCGAACGTGCGGCGCGCGTCCGGCCCGGCCGCCGCGCGGATCGCGAACGACTGCGGCGTCCGCGCGAACGCCTTCATCGTCGCGCGCACGTAGCTCGTCAGCAGCAGCTGCTGCTGCTGCCCGTCCCGCAGCGACGCGGCCGCGACCGGGTGCGACACGAGGCGCTCGTACGCCAGGACGTAGTCCTGCGACGCGTCGTCGGCGACCGCGGCGGGGAGCTTGGTCGGCCGCTTCACCGATGCCGGGATCGTCTCCCGTGCCTTTGAGTTCTCGTCTGCGGTGGGTTTCCCTGCTGCTGCTGCCGCTGCTGCTGCGGGGAGGCGTCGCCCCGCCGAGGCCACGGTGCGGCGCGTGACGGTGCGCTTGAGGTAGAGCAGGTAGCCGGTCTCGAGCAGGACTGGGGTGAGGAGGACGGCGAGGATGGTGCCTGCCGTCCGTGGAGATGGAAGTGGTATGTTTCTTGTGATTGTCATGGCTGCGAATGAATTTCGAGGAATGGAAGGAGGTGGTGAATGTGGTGAGGTCTGGTCTTGGCTACCACTGAAGTTGGGCTTTCAAGCGCTGTGATGAATCAGCTGAACCGCCAGCACGATCCCGGACAATTCTCGTATTTCGTATTTCGGGCTGGGTGGGATGAGGTATCCTTGGATACTCACGTGATGACCCGACCCAATACCAATGTAGCTAAGCCTGCTTTTGGCAGTAAAAGGGGGGTCTTCTTGGGGTACTTGACGATTCCCCGCCGGGGATTCCCGACTTCCTTTCCTTTTTAGTAGCTTCAATATATAGCCCAAATGAGGATACGTTACTCGCATTCATTGTCGATAGAAATACCTAACCCAGGGCCAAGAAGCAAACCAGCCACTGATTCAGCTTTCTGATCAGCTAGCTTTAGGCCAGTAACCTAATTGGAAAGGCTAGTCCCGTGCCTACCACTGACTTTGTTAGAGAATGAAGTCGCACATTTAGAGATCACGTGGTAGGTTGGACGGCTTTGGAATTAGGTAAACTAAGTATCCGTCGGCTCTCTTATACAACCACTTTAGGTATAAATTTTATCTTACGGCCGCCTATCTAAGAACCTCGGTGTTTTCTCTCGACATCCGCTACGGTGTCATTGAATTAAACCGCATACTTCGTGTCCAGGAGGCCCACCTTTCGTCACGACAGCTGAGGGTGGAAGACGGGCACTAAGTGCAAGTTGGCTATAGCAGTACCCTGCATTTTTCTTGCAGCTATGCCTGATCTGAAGCGTAGCAAGCGTTCTACGCCAGATAGGCAAACCATAAGTATCTGATCAATGTCTACGTAGGTATTTATTTGATTTTATTTAATTTGCGTTGGACGGGGTCCAAGCAATACCTAGTGAAGATACTCAATCCGGCGATACCCGCTGTAACTACCTTCTTTAAGTACGCGTCTATAGACTAATTATAGACTTACCTAGGTTACAGGCTGTTGTGGCAGAATAGAGTTGCACGCTTGAACCAACTGTCCTGGCTGTTCTCTGCACTTCAACTGGAGAGAGAGTATACCTACCCCTCGCAATCATGGAGCTGCTCATTTTATCTGAAGTGTGATATATTCCTCTGGAAATAATACCAGCCCGAACACTATACGTTAAACACAACGAAAATATGTAATAATATATACAGAATATTAGAAAAATACTCGCAACTACTCCAGCGTCATAGGCTACCTATGTACAGGGGAAGGAGGGGACGCACGGAGAAAAAAAAGAAGGAATGACATCCGATAAAAAGCATAAGTAGCCTTCAATATAGGCGAAGCTGGATTCAATCACTGGCACTGAGCCCACCAGGGGCTTTGAGTGACGCAGGTGTAAGGCGGCTGGCACTCGGTCGAGCCCTCGTACCCCTGCCCCCCGCACTGCCCCCACTGGGGAACAAGCGAAGCGGTCGGGGTCGCCTCGGACGAGGTAGTCGTGCGCGTCGTGAACGTGGTACTCGCCGTGGTCGTCGTGGTCGTCGATGTCGACGTCGGGACAGGTCCCCCTCCCTCACCGTCGAGGGCCGCGACCACGGCGTCGAGGAAGCCCGGATTCTTGTACACCTGCGACATGTCCCAGACCATGACGCCGGCGAAGCTGGAGAACTGCATGGAGAACTCGACGACGGCCGCGAGCTGCGGGCCCGACACGTACCCGCCGCCGGCGCCCGCGGCGCCGGGGAGGCCGAGCAGGAGCTTGACGTCCCTGTTCAGGCTCGTATTCTTGGCCCAGTTGTCCCAGACGTCGAAATTGAAGGCGTTCTGCGCCGCCGCGCCCGGCACGAAGTTGGCAGCCCCGCACCAGTTGTTGTAGAACTGGACCATGACGAAGTCGAAGGCCACGGCGCCGTCGAGCATGTCCGCGTCGGCCGCGTCCGGGTACACGCACTGCGGTGCCGCCGAGAGGTAGAACCTCTTCCCGCCCGATGCGGCGCCTGTGGAGGCGGCGTCCATGCTGGCGCGCAGGCGCTTGCCGAAGGGCGCCATGTTGGACGTGGTGGACTCGAAGTCGAAGTCGAAGCCGTCCACGACGGCGCTCCCGAACGGCCGCGGCGCGGAGCTGTTGCCCTGCTCCGGGCCGAACATGGCCCACACAGTGTCGGCCCACGTCTCGGCGTCGGAGGCGGACGGGAAGCCGCCCTGCGTGTAGGTGGCGCCGCCGATCGACAACAGAATGGTCTTGCCGTACTGGGACTGGCAGGTCTTGATGTCCTCCCTGATCTATCGTTAGCGGGTTCCCCTCCTGGCTGAGCTACCAAGTGTTTAGGCGCTGGATGGGCATACTCGATTTCCGGGCAGCGCAACAGACTTGTTCCCGGGAAAGCGGTACAATTGTCGCTGGCGCTGGCAAAATTGACTGTTGTCGGATCGGAAATAAGATTCAGAAAAGCCAATGGGATGATCTTGTCAAAGGTCAGCAATCCGTCTCAGAGGCTTATTTTCCCAGCCTCTGCTGGTCTCTTTCAACTAACATCAATATCGGTATCTAAGTCTCTAGTCAGTTATCTGACTTCGAGTTGACTCGACAGCACACTTGAACCTACTGGCACAATAAGCTGAAAGGCGATCTTGGGAGCCACTTTGGCCGTACGAGTTTTGTCCTAAATTTGTATTCAGTAAACATCTTACGACGACATCATGGGAACCATGGGGGTTCTTCATACCCCAATATACCGCAATGTTGCTCGTAGCGCCAGCGTTATATCCTGCCCAGACCCGTGGGACAGTGAAGGCGAAGCCGACGAGCGGCACAAATTGTTTGAAAAGCATGATAGTTGGAATGTTGAAAGGAGTGACGATATTCCAAGTATGGACACGAATGGAAGACGACAGCCAAGCCCGAAACTCACCTCTTCAAATTCTTTGCTTGCTGCTGAGCGACCAGGAAAGATGGGATCCCCAAGTGAGAGATTGGCGTGGATTATATACCTATTTCACATACTTGATCAACTCCCCCTTTTCCGGTAGACCGGCATGGGAGACTGGATTGTGACATTGCTCACACCTGGTATTGGCCGTGGGCGCAATGTCAGGTGGGGGGCGGTTAAGGGGGATGCCAATGGTCATGAGAGCCAAAAATGGACAGGTGAAAAAGGAGGAGCAGAAAACTCGGTGGTTACATGATCCCTCCTCGAAAAGAGAGGATGTTCGAAGCGCCAGGGGTATCGCCGGCACTTCTATGGGGCGCCCAGGTTTAAAATCCAAAAGCACCCTTCACCACCCACGACACATGGATATGTATCTTATTCTAAGTCAGTATCGATCGCCGGGGCTGCGCATTTTTAGCCTCCCTGCTGCCTGGAAATCCGGCATTTGTGTGCCATGAGACGTGCCCTTAAGGGAGCACAGTCCTGGCTTATGACATGGCTGTCTATCCAGATCCGCTGCCGGATTCAACCAGTAGGAGATAAAAGTCTCGGCGCGATTGGCCGCCATGAGGTCAGTTCTCACAAGAGCCTCGATTGGGGGCCGAAAGGCGGGAGCAGTGCCGCCAATCTCGGCCAAATTTCGCTGGCATGTGGATTGGATCCTGCCCGGTGACCCCTTGCATGCCCAACTTCCTGTCTTGGATTAGCTGTCGACGCCAGCCAATGGGCCTCGCCCTTGCATGCAAGCATTATCTTCAAGGGCTCCTCCAAGAAGTCCAGATCATAGGCCTAAACGGTTACACACGACGGTCGTTGCAGTCCTCGATGCACCGGTGCTAGTGCTCAAGGGAACCCTACGTTTCTTGCCCCGTAACGTTACAGCTCCATAGCAAACAAATCCAAGGCTTCTCAGCTCAATTATCAATGACAGCTCACAAGTCCTGGGAACAACTTCCTGCTAATTTCGCACTCTCTCATCGCCTGGCTTATCAGAACCAACTCAGCCTCATATAACCCTGGGTCTATATTGCACACTGCTCCCGCTAGCCCTACCATTAAGGGTTGTATGGCCAGAACAGATAACGGTAAATGGTAGATAACTTCCTCAAGGTCGTTACTTTCCTTCTGGCCGCTGAGGACGCCTCTTTCTCGTCGCTCCGAGGTCCAGGTGAGGACTTGCAGCCATGGATCATAAGCCATGGTAATGTATTTTTCAAGGCGTTGCAAACAATCAGCCCTGCGACGATAGCATCACTCGAACCCTATCTCGTTGGTAAACATAGAGCTGCGAGCATCTACGGATTGCAAAGGATGGACAACCTCGGCCTCAAGGCTGACGACACATTTGTTCTCTGCGATGCCGGAGGAGAGTCTGTTCCCCTTTCCGCGTCTCTAGATCACTGCTCTGTTCTTGCTAATCACTCCTCCGCTGCACAGGACCGTCGACCTCGCGTCCTACAAACGATAGCGTCTCTGAAGCCGCATGTGAGTCTTGTGGGCGCCGGGGGCAGTGGCTCGGGTGGCCTCTGCGGCAGCAGTTATCTCAACAGGATCCTCGATCATCACCTCCGGCAGACGATGCGCGACTGCCCCCCTTGGAGGGACAGATGGCAGAAATGGGCCATCGACAGGTTCGAAAAGTACAAGGAGTCGTTCACCGGCAACAGCAAGAAGCCCCTCAGGATGATGGTCGAAGGGGCTCCACAGCCCTCGCCACAGAATCATCGACGGCGTCCTCGAAATCCCAGCCGCCGTTCTGCGAGACGATATATCAGGCCTGTCATCACCAATATCAAGACTCTCGTCCGCAAACAGATTGACGAAACGGCTCGGAAAGGGACTCTGGTGAAGCAAGTCCTTCTGGCTGGTGGCTTTGGCAAGAATCCGTACCTCCTGAAACAGCTCAGAGAGATGGTCTCTGCGGAAGGGATCCAAGTCCCCGTCATTTCCAATAGGTAGGTCGTCTACAATGCATGAGAACGACTCGGAGCTTGTCTGACATGGAGTGCCTTTCAGCAACACTGCCATTGTTCGCGGTGCTTTGATTGCCCGCCTGGCAGGGCAACTTGGTCCCCGGGAGGGCTTCAACGTAAGCGTCGCTTCAAGGCCGGCGAGTCAACACTATGGCACTCAGTGCTATGTGACGTTTGATGCCGCGAAGCATGGGGACGGAGCAGAGCTGAAGTACGCGATCCCACTTGCTCACCGACTCCCCAATCGAATCACTGACATCAACTGCTCAGAGAACGAAACCCGTCCGGCGAGGGCTACCGAATTTATGTCAACCAATGGTGGGTCAATAAGTCAGAAATGATCGCGGACGGGGCGTGCAAGGAATTCCCTTTCACATATTCCGAGGAGACCATCAGGGGGCCTAATTGCGCCCTCCCCTGCAAGATCTTTACCTGCGAAGCAGTCGACCCGCCCAAGTACCCCGGGCCTGGCTAAGGTATCTACGAGCTCGTGACGTACACCATCCCTCTTGATCAGACACTTCCCGTCAACTGCAGGACTGAGATGAGGAATGGCGTGTCGTGGACTGTGGTTCCCTTCAAGGTGGAGATGCAGGTTCTCTCCGCCAGCCTGAAGTTCACCATTGTACTGGGCGACCGACAGCCACAGAAGCTGCAGCCTGAGACGGTACGGTTCGAATCATCAAACGACATCCCATAGGACGGAGGAGTCTCGGGGGTTCGGAACCAAGACGCGTGAAGGAGAAGTAATTACTGATCGAGCCGTCTCATAATCTAATGTACCTATCTACCAACGTATCCCAGGAAATCCCGAGGACTGGGTGGTTCCAAAGTCCAGATGACCAAGGGCATGCTCTGCACAAGTAATTAGCCCCCTCCACCTTACAAGACATCAGCTCCGCATGTCCCAGCTCCGCCTCCAGCGGATTGACACCTCGCGACAGCTGCAGGCGGTCCCCTCCGAATCGGAGCGTTCTTCGCTCGCGCGCGCCGAACCCATCTGTCTCCCGGGGCGACGGTGGCACTTCTCTACCCCGATCCCTTCTCTCGCCGCGAATCTGTTCCCGGGCGGCGGTGGTGTGGGCCCCGCCACCGGCCTCGGCCCGGCAGTGAACCGGCCCGTGGGCACGCAGGGCCCCTTCGGCGGCGACTTCTTCTCGCCGTCGGAGGAGGACAACGACGAGCGGCGCGACGGGGCTGACGAGTACCCGTCGTGGCTGCTCGGGACGGCGTCGCGCCGGAGGCGGCAGATGCAGATGGACAGGACAATGCTGATGATGGCGTACAGGCCGACGATGAGGGCGATGGCGTCGTTTTCTTCATGGTCGGTGAGGGACAGATGTGTCGGCATTGGATTCTATCGAGGGGGTTGGCATTCGATGAGAGACTGACTGCCCTTCGTGGACGAGGGGATATTGCGCGTGGGGCCTGGAAGCCCAGGAGACTTCGGCGCGCTGTCAGCTTCGTTTGGACTGAGCGATCATGTGAGGGTGAAGAGGACAAGAAAGAGGTGCTGTCGCGCGATCCGCGGACATGTATAAGCTACTCACGCAGAGATCCCACGCTTCTGCAGCGCGCTCAGTTGTGCGACGTCGGCGTCTTTGGGGTCCGAGACAAGCAACTCAACTAGTTAAGCCTTCTGTGACATCCACGTTGTCAATCGTATATAGAAAGTTGTCAAAAGGGTCGTAAACATGTTGTTTCCATTGGAGAAAGAAGAAGAGACAGGTTGTAGCCTTTCGACTGACGAAAAGCAATCGCCATTGATGTAAACAAATACCAGATGGAGACACCCAGCGAGACTGAGGCATGAAGGCGTCACTTAAGCGCTCCTGTCTGCCAATGAGACAGGCCAACCTGCAGGCGGTGGCCTAGCCTTCCGACCGCGACATAATGCACTGCTGGGTGTCGCTCGACAGGTCTGTTACACTGGCGTCGTGGCGTTTATTGCCAAGGGTCTTGGTGGAACTGTTATCCAAAGGTGCCGAGGCGGAGGGCCTTTAATACGTCGACAAATCTCAGTGCCAGTATCTAGCAAATCTGGCGATGAATGAAAATGAAGGCACAAAGTCCTTGTTAGGCCCTAAGGCTAAATTAAGCAGCTGGCACTAACAGGAGATGGCAAGAGAGAAAAAATCGGGGGAAGTTTAAGAGGAGGGAGAGGAAAATGTGTACCTAAGTAGCTGATGTTGTGTCGCGATAAGATGCAGGGTATGGCATCTATAGAGTTATTCTTGCTGCGTAATTACATTATAAACACTGGGACGCTTTGATCTGCTTGCAAGCATGATTAAAGCTACAAAAATAAGAAAAACAATATCATATTTGTAGTTCTGGTTATGTTAAATGCCTAACAGATAATTAGACTTCTAACAAAATGTCCAAGGCTCACAAGTCGGCTCCAGACATGCTTGTAAGGGGAGGAGATCCTACCGTACGTTTCGGATCCGACGCTCTGCGTTCCACCCCCTTGAAGACTTGGGGGGGTGGCTTTTGGGGAACCTTGTTCCTGCAGCACGGTTGCGCGCGCGCCCTCCCCCCCCCCCCCCCAATTCCGGCTTCTGGGCATACCAAAAGTAATAGTTATAATACCGATGCACATTGTTCTCCCGCAGCGACGCCCTCACCCTTGCGGCCCAGACCTCCCTCTTGGCCGCGGACAGCCCCAGGGCGGCGAATGGCTTCCCCATGACTGAGGGCAAGGCGTGCAGGGCCGCCTTGCGCGTAAAATAGCTTTCCATCCTAAAACAGCGTCACGTCACTGTCAGCGCGCCGGGCTGGCAGAGTCGAAAGGGTCGCTCGCCGTCATCTTCAGCATCGCGGCATGCTTCATATCCTCCTTGTTCTGCTCGAGGTCATCATTGGGATTGGGTAGCGGCCGGGCTTATACGAGTGATACCGGTGCCTGTTCTCGAAGGTGTGCGCGTAGACGCTCGAGGTCACCGAGGTGGATGCGTTGGACGAGGTCGCGTCCCAGCCCTGGGTCAGGAACTCGTCCCCCTCTTCCTCCTCGGCCCCGTCGACTGCCTCGATCAGGGCGGGGTCGTCTGCCGCTGGGCTGACCGCATCAGGGGTGGTGGTGGCGGCCTCGTCCGGCGGCGGTGGGGTGCTTGGCATGGCGTTCTGGGGCGGGCGAACGAAGTCGGCTTTCCGTGCTTAGCTTCCTAGCGGGCGGGAACTAATGCAGGTCCGCTGGTGCTGTCGTAGATCACCCAGGGAGTAGATAGGTAGGAACGGGAGCAGAGGAAAGGAAACATCCGAAATCATGAAAGCCAAGAGTCCGTATAGTCAAGGATTTTGTCATACACTCCGCTCGGAAAGCACCTTTAACAATAGGTCGGGTCGAATGTTTGTCAGACCATGACATGTCCAATGGCGGAATCGTCGCCTACGATGCCTATGCTCCAACATTCCCCAAAACTGGATTCCAATCCGGATGGTTTCCATTAAAGGCAGGCACTTAGAGCACCCAGAAAGGGGCATATACCTGATTTGGCATGTTCTGCAGCGGGAAGCCAGGTGTTGGGTGTGGGATGGGATCCCTTCTACATCATCCAGTCGACCGCCAATCGGAGGCGACTCGGATGGACAAGGTTCCGCTCGACTGATCGTTTGCCCCATGAACTCGTTGAGTTGGGTGCGGACTCAAATCCAAATCCCCGTGGTCTTTGACGCAACCTTTCGAAAGCTATTTCGCTCGTTGGGCTTTCAATGAGGCATGGAGGTATTGCAGTTTGCCGAAGTTGATGTTAATTTTACCTCAGAAAACCCAACTCGGAGTTTCTTCCCTCTTACCTGCATCCGAATATGGTATAGAAAGGGTGGGATGTCTTCCCTTGTAGACCGAAAGACATTCTACTCCCCGTTCGGCATCATTTCAACATACTCACGGCCTGCTAACTCATGAGTACGACTGATTTGTTCCCATGTTGCGGTCCATGGTTGGAGACGACACTCACGATCCCAGCTCATCACAGCTGAGGCTAAAGGTCCCCTAGCAAGCCATCAATATCATCCGACATCGCCACGATGCGCCTCTCGCCCCTCTCACGTTGCCTTTCCTCGCGCCGGGCCTCCTGTGTAGCCCTCCCGATCTCCTTGGGTTCTTCTATGCTGCGCGCCGGTGTAGGAGGACTTGCTGCTCGAAGCCCATGCCGAACCCAGTTAGCACGGCGTCTTTGGCGACATTCCAAGAGGGAAGAGTGCGCAGAATGGTCTCTTCAACGTTTCGTCGTCCTTCTCAGCCTCGGCGTCGCCGTAGTTAAAGGTCTCGCGACGATTGGGTGCTGGCTTTTTTCCAAAGACCTACAGGCAACGACACGAGATTTGGTACTCTCCAACAAGAGCTTGTTGCGTTCGAGGTACAGTCATGTCTCGGCCCTGCTGGAGATCGGCTGGTCCCAAGTAGCCTATGCCAACCTTGGAGACGTCATAAGATTTAGGGTCGCCAAGGTCCCAGGGCTCGACAACGAATCCCGACGTTGCCACGATCTGTCGTAATGAATCGAGGTCCATAACATTGTTTCTTTTGAAGCACTGCCGGGGTCTCCTAGTACAGTAGATGTCTTGCATTTCTGTTGCTTCTCCTGATTCTCGCTAGGAACGTCAAGGAGGATGAAGCGGGAATAAGAAAGCGGCTCGACGGTTTGGTGCGAATGCTTAGTAGGTTTTGGTGTGCCCAAGCGATGGATATCTATCATGGGGTTTGTATCGTAACATCTTTGATGAGCCATAGCTAGGTTAGGATTGTGGCAATTCTCTTTTTGACCTCGCATTTTAAGAGTAATTATGCTCCTGATAATCGTTCGTCCAATCTCCTGTATCACTATGAGCAGCCATTGGTTACGACGCGGGGATAACTTTAAATATTAAAGTTTAGAAGAACATCCGTACCATTGTCTGCGAGTTCCTTCCGGCATTTGTAAATATTGGCTGCCTTTTGCCTAGTTCTTATCGTGGTTTGGACCCATTTTTGTTACGGACTATGGCGGTAAGGATCCGCAGAATGGATCGGCAGAATGGATCGGCCTTGACGGACATACGGCCTATTTGGTTTATAAATTTCCACTCTTTTCCCACGGTAAAAGTCATCCCGTCAGGAAGCCGGTATTCAGGACTGGAACGGGCTCGGAGCTCAGCCTCCGGACCCTCTTGATGGCAAGTATTATATCGCTTACGGAATACTTCCACCCATAGTTAGATCTTAGGGCCTTAATCCGTACGCTTCAGTAATATAACATCAGTAGCCTTATTTCTCAATAGTTCTCGCAGTAATCCGTAGTGAGATTGTTCTCATGGCTCGTAAGAACAACGATGAACCATCGCCTATCAGCAACGACCAAACTCAGTTATTTATTCATATGCACATTTCCATGGGGTGAATCGGGTGTTTTCCGTGGGTCGGCCTCACTTGTTTCTTCCGTGCCGGACTTGGCAAGAATCCATTTGGGATTTGCGTTGCCAAGAGGGACACTATCAACTGCCCAGTCATTCAACGAATATACGTTGTATTTGAGGGTAGCCAACTTACCTGATCTAGCTGAAGTCCCCACTCTCAAGGCCCCAATTTGCCGATCGACGTTTCGACTGCCTTGCTGCAACTCTATATTTTATATTGATGACGAGACCGGACCCTTTATAGGCTATTTTCGCTTAGTACAATTGGGTTGACTGACCCTTATTCTCCCAATCGAGCCGTGGTCGGTGAGGACCTTCCAAATTTCATTTGGAGAACACACCATGCAAAGGCTAGAGGCTCGGCATGGAATCTGGGGAAGGAACTACGGGGGAATGGTATGTGAGACATAGAGGTTAAGTAGATAAGGTGCGGCACATTCTTACTACTATATACTGCCTTGGCCCATCTTGGCTTCCCCAACGCGCCGCGGCTCAGTCTGTAGGAACGCAAAATTACAAACGACAATGGGTCACAACACTGTCAGTATGAGACGTCTAGTTCTCCTGGGCAGCGCCCTCGTGTCGACGGTGTGCGCGCAGAGCTGCGTCAGCGTGACGGCGCGCTACACGCCTCAGTTAGGCACCGGCTACACCGCGAAGCCGATCCTGAACGGCTTGAAGAGCCCCAGAGACATGATTTTCGACAAGCTGGGTAACATGCTCGTCGTGGAACAGGGCGGCGGCGGGATAAGGTATATCAAGCTGATGGAAAGCGGCGACTCGGTGTGTGTTGAGTCGAGCAAGACACTGATCACAGACTCCACGGTGAGTGGCCTCTCGAGACCCCCTTCGAATTGCCAGGGCGCCCAGGTCTAACAGGCGGCTGCATAGCTCAACCACGGCATCGACATCACAGCCGATGGCAAGACCCTGATCGTGTCCAGTCTTGCCAGTGTATTTGCATATACGTATGATGCCGAGACGGGAACTGCCACGGACAAGAAGATAATCATCAATAACATGACAAACGGCGGTCATCAGACCCGGACTCTGCTCATCTCAAAATTGAACCCCGATCTGCTGTTGGTCTCCCGCGGCTCGGATGCCAATATCGACGCCCGTGCCGGCGATATCACATCTGGACACTCGACCATCAAGTACTACAGCATTTCCGCGATCCTGCAGACGCCTGCCGACCATGCAAAGGACGGTATCGTTCTCGGATGGGGGTTGAGAAACAACGTCGGGCTGGGGGAGCACCCGATCACAGGCGGCATTGTAAGTTCTCCCGACTCGCGACTGGAGGCCCGCGTGTAACCAATGTATGGCTGACGTCGTGACCAACCAGTACTCGGTCGAGAACTCGATGGACGACATCAAGAGGCAGGGCAAGGACGTACACAACGATAACCCGGCCGAGGAGCTGAACTACCACGGCGTTGTAAACGACACGGACAAGAACCCACTCCAGGGAAAGAATTACGGGTACCCCGGCTGTGTCTCCGCATGGGATCCCTCTGTGCTGTCCAACCCCGATCTCAAGGTCGGTTCGCAGTTTGTCCCGAACCTAGCTGCAGGTACCACCATCGCAACGGCCGATGCCGACTGCGCCAAGTTTGAGGCACCGCGTCTCGTGTTCCCTGCCCACACGGCCCCGCTCGACATCAAGTTCAAAGCCGACGGCAGCGCCGCGTTCGTCTCGTTCCACGGGAGCTGGTAAGCGACATGCATCCACACCTCCCCAACCCTGTTTTTGGTCGGTGAGGACGCTTGACTGACAGAGCATGCCATCGTAGGGACCGGCAGCCCCCGGATGGCTATCGCGTCATGCGATATGAATTCGGGGCCGACGGCCAACCCAAAGAACTGTCGACAAGCAAGACCGCCAGCATCCCCGTCATGCTGAACGCCGATAATTCCAAGTGTCCGGGTGCGTGCTTCCGCCCGGCCGGGCTGGCATTGGACACCAAGGGCCGGCTGTTCATGTCGAGCGATTCGACCGGCGAGATCTTTGTGATTACCGGAGCTTAGTCTGCTTGAGCTGTATACCGGGTGGGGCCACAATGACATGCAAACCTCGTTATGAGTTGAGATGGATTGTGTGGAGGCACTGGAGGGTAATCTCGGAGAAGGGCAAAAATAACCCGAGATCATTAATGGGGGGGTTATGCCTGCAAAGTCTACCGTTTGTGGTTCTTCGTTGCGACGTTGCCGGAAGTGTGTTTTGATAAAAAAGAAAGGGAAGCGCGCTGCGCGACACAACTAAAACTGTGATCACTGGATTCAAGTAATGGATTTGTTCGATTGGGTGGTCTGGTCGATTCCTTCCATGTTTCCGTCCTCTAATCGCAGCCCCCGGTAACCCCCCCGCTACGCCCCGCTTCAGTTCATGTACCCCACTGCCTAACCGAACAACGCCCGTTGTCACCCCACATTCTGCAACAATCAGGCGGGAGCTACACCCGACTCAGCCCATGGGCAGGTCTACCAAAAAGAGCCTCGGTTGTAGTGTATATATGGTCTGAGTAACCCCGTTGGGAACTTGAGATGGATTCCTTTTCCTGTCGTGTCAGCAACGCGAGAACCAAAAAAACAACCAAGCTCAAACACGCAACCCTACGTCAAGAGTGTTGTCTGCCACTATGATGACCAAGAGCAGTCTCACATGCCAAATGACCCCACCGTAGACACTCCCATCCCAAGCCCCTCGAAGACCTCTCTCAACATGAACGGCCTCCCGTCAAGACGCCTCCCAACCTCCGCCCGCGTCCACCCAAGGTTCCTCCTTTACCTCCACGGCTCCCGCGCCGGAAGCATAAAGTGGTATGTACGCTCATGCTTCACGCCCCGTGCCAGTGCCCATCCTCCCCCAAGCCAAAAAAAAAAAAAAAAAAACTCCCCTTATCCACGTCTTTGCAAAAAGAGAAAAAAAAGGGGAACTAACCACGCAGCCGAAACAGGATTCCCCCAGCCGTAGCGCTCGCCTGCGCCGCGGCCGGGTACGGAGTCTCCGTGGCTGCTCGGATCGAGGAGCACCAGAAGCAGCAGCGGGTGAGCGACGAGGAAGCCGACAAGATGCGGCGGGCGGCGCTGCTCGCGGACGCGTACGGGGACCGGTCGAGCCTGGAGGAGCTGGAGCGCGCCATGAGGGTTTACGAGACGGGGCGGGGAGGCGGGTGAAGATGGGAAACGTCCCGGCGGGGTTTCGGGGCCGCGTCTAGGGTTTTGTTGTTGCTGTTGTTGTTGATGACGATGATGATGATGACGACTACTTTTCAATCATACCTCTGTGTAGATATACCATCGTCCTGTTGTTTAGCGCCGCATTATTGGCTGTCTTATGTCAATGGGATTATTTTGACATGCCAACCTAGTGAGCCCGTCGAGAGAGTCAAGGAAGGGCCAACTGGTCTTGCTTACGACGTGACAAAGGGTACCAAAATGGGGAAAATGCATTGTCAAATGCTGCTCATGCGGAAGCGATCACCAGTTCTACCGCATGGTTGGGGGATCCGTGTCAGCAACCCGGATGAATTGACAGCATGTCTGTCCATGGTTCCCGTCCCTTCTGCTATTGTTAATATGGTTCGCAAAATCGAACATGTAAACAAACGAGAAGGTGATTTCTTGATTTCGTGTCACTGTACAGCAACTACACATGTAGAGGATATCTGGTTGAATATACTTTGGCTTCATTCTTCAAGTTCTCGGGTGGTTAAAAATCAGATCACACGAGCCAAGGGCGAGATTATATAATACCATCTCATTTACAGCTGTGGCTATGTCCTGCGAGGCGAAATTGTCACAGACGTCATTGCAACAGTAAGTGGGAGAGGACAATCGGCGACACAAAAAAGCCTAGTAATCCAGTGTTAGAGTAATCTAGTGTTAGAAGGAGCAATAGAGAGTTCTCTGTGCCATCAAGTTCCATAGGTAGGCATAGTTTGTTTTATTCTAGTAGGGGTCTAATCATACATAGCTACCAAATCACCGAGCTGTAAAAGCAAAAATTGTAAAGTCTATCCCTCCTGTTTCCTTTCCGCGACAAATGAAACGCATACCCAGGGATCTTCCCTGACAGCGGTCAGACCAATGAGATGTTGCTCTGCGAGCGGTTTCCTTTCCGACCCCAGCATCAAGGCTTGTGATGTGTCCTCTGAGGCAACTCCTCCAACATGACATCGCTCGAACTAAGCCTCCTCTCCCCAACAGCGCCCCGCAGAGCCGTATCCAAGTCGCCGACGTAGAAGATCAAGAACACAGCCATGACGACAGCCATCAGGACGGCGTCGAAGATGTACAGGAACACCTCGTGCGAGATGAGGTAGCCGCTGTTTCCCTGGATATACTCGACGACGCGGAAGACGCTCCGCACCAGGATGAACGCGCTGACCGTGTACAGCACCAAGAGGTGCCTCCTCCACGGGACCGTGTTCTTGACCGCGTCCGGGGTCGGGTCGCGCGCCAGGCGCCGGTGGAACAGGACCGACGTCACCACGAAGAACCCGAACATGACGATCTGCACAAAGAGGCCGCCGAGGATGACCTTCTCGCCGATCTTGAAGAGGTCGAAGGACCCGGACGCCTGGATGCCCCCGCCGCCCATCTGTAGGGTGAACGAGACGACGTCCCCGGCCACGAAGATCTTGGTCACCTTCCTGGCTGGCAGGATGGACAGGTGCTCGGCCCGGACGGCGAGGATCAGGCGGCCGAGGATCATGTAGATGGAGGCGGCGAAGAGGGCCGGGGCAACGAGGATGAGGAGGGACTGCATGATGAACCCGGCGAGCTGCTCCTTGTTGAAATGAGACGCTATCCGCCCGGCGTAGCCTATCGTCTCAACTGCAGGGTGTGACGTCAGCACAATCGTCGCAGGGTCTGTCTGAGGTTTTTGTTTTGGGGGGGGGGGGGGGGGGTGGGAGGTTTCAGGGGTCTTCAGGGGTCTTCCGCTAGATTGCGGACGCAAAACCGGAGAGCAGAGGCAGACTTACAAATCCCGCCAATGGTGAAGGCAATGAAGTAGAAAGCGCGGCATCGCAGTAGGCGCCAGGTATGCAGCCCGGTTAGGATGCCAAAGACAACTGAGACTATCACAGCGGCGGGTAGCGAAGGCGTGTAGCGATAGAGTTGGAAATCTATCCGGTCTCCGGCCGGAGCCGTTCCGTTACTTGCTCCACCGTCCATGGCCGATCTCACAATCGCAGGGCCAGTCGGCAATTACGGGCGGGTGCGATGAGGGGCTGGATAAGGGCAAAGTGGTTATGTCTGTGGTCGAAAGAATATGAGACGGTGAGGGCGGAGGCCCTTTAAAGGAAGAAAAATATCATTATCTCCACGGTGACCATTGACTATCTATCAGGGATGTATGGAGCATTGCTTGGTTTCGTAAATATGTTCGTATCCTACCATTTCGTTCTCGCGTCTTGCGGTGCGAAATTCGTTCCATGGCGAGCTCGGGTGCGGTCCGAAAACGAGTTATCTCGGGTTCCTTCAGCTCTCAGTGGAAGGACGTACGAACCCGAAAATTCTCGGGTCCATGCACAGCCCCATCGAATTCAACCTAAACCAATACTAATGCAGGACGATCTCGCTTAACAGGGTGTTTTCTAGTTAGACCAGCATTTCAAAGGTTAGTGTGGCAGGGACGATATACATTTTTAGAAGGCCGGTGGCAGTATGGCCCTACCAGGTACTCGTGCTAACGTTTGAAATGCTAGAGACAGGCACGCCAGGCTCAAGCAACATGTCGTGGAAGGCAAATCAGGCATAAGAATCCGGCATCTAATCATGTCAACCTACAGTATTTCCAAGTTAACGTATCTTGGTTACGTGTTTCTACACTGCAGCTAGCTCAATTAACGACATGCAAAAATGCAGTACCAAATAACTCTGCGAAAGAAATAGAACCACTAGAGAGAAAAAGAAGTAAAAGAGAACCCAGCAAGAGCACCGGCCAGATGGATTGCGAGAGAGAAAAAAGATTGAAAAAGTAAAAAGATGGGGGCGATCCGGGATTCGAACCCGGGACCTCGTATATTCTCCACACAGAGTGTGAGGGGTTTCCCACCCGAAACACGAATCATACCTCTAGACCAATCGCCCGCTTTTCGGAAGTGGAAACTAAAGGCCGCTATTTTGCTTTATAAAGGGCTGATGTGGCTTAAAAAAAAAGTCTTACCTCAGCACAAAGCTATTCTTAAGCCAGCTGGGATCAGCTGACAAAATGTCAAAGAAGCTAGTAGCAAGTGTACGCCTTTACAAGGGCCTGAAATTGGTGGTGATGGATTATGCACATCGCTTTCTGGCAGTGGCCCAGATTTCAGAATGTTAGGCCACGACAAAGCTTGTCTACCTATTTTAGTGTTTTTGGAAACCGCTCGGCAGCAAATCTCCCAACACCGTCTATCGTGGCACAATTCAAAAACTCAAGAGCGCCAACAGAGAACTTGAACGTCGTCTTCCACCAGCCCAGGATTTCCATCACGATCAACGAGTCAACCCCGATAACCGCCAAGCTGGCCGAGGTGTCGAGATCCTCTGGCGGGAGCAGCATGAGGTCGTGGATCTTGAGCCCGATAGCCCGCGTAAGGGCCTGCAAGTTCCGAGGTTCCTCGAGAATGGCCGGATCATCCGCCGCGCTCTCCAACAAGGTCCTCAGCCCCGCGTCGTCTTCCTTGCTTTCGCTCTGGACTTGGACCCCGCCGCTGTCGTTGTGGTAGATGGCCATGCGCGCGTCTCGCCTCCAGCGGACCCGAGTCGAGGGGTCTGACAGCGCCTTGGAAGTCTTCAGTCCGATCATCAGCTGCGAAGGAGCCTCGAACACTGCCGACTCGAGGAAGGTGCATACCGAAGTGTTGTTGTTGTCAGCTGGCCGGGTCGACTGCTGAATGGATAGTTGGAGAGCATCCAGGGGGTCCTGCTCCTGGATCATCCCAGCACCCCAGTTCTTGAAGGTGGCGGTCAGCTCCGCACTACGGCTGACGTAGCCATGCTCCTCAACCACGCCAATGTCCATGACGGAGGCGGGGAGCCCGAGGCGGTGGCGATACTGGACGAACGCATCGAGGTAGGTGTTGGCGGCTGCGTAGTTGGCCTGGCTCCATTGCCCGATCATGCCGCAAAAGGAGCCGAACAGCACGAAAAAGTCCAGTGGCACATCCTTGGTGGCTTGGTGTAGGTTGTAAGTTCCCTGCACTTTTGGCAGCACGGCCGTGTCCCAGTCTTCTTGCGTCATGTCCAGAAATGCTCGGTCCTAGATGTAATTATCTGGTTTAGCTAAAGCAAGTACCTCGAAGAGACTGCCTGACCTTGGCGGTAGAGAGACTAACCTGGAGAACCATGGATAGGTTGAGGACTCCCTTAATCGGCGCTGTGGCTCCTTTGACTACGCTCGAAACATCGTCCAGGCTCGCGATACTTCCCGAAAACATTTGCACCGTACAGCCCTGGCTGGCAAGTTCGTTGGCGAATGCTTGGTCCCTTGTCCCACCGAACGAGACAGGAAGATCAGATGTCTAGCTCCGTGCTCGACAAGCCAGGAAGAGACAACGCGCCCTAGGCCTCCCATCCCCCCTACAAGGAGATACGCAGAGTTGCGGTCGAGGTTTAGTGCCCTGGGCTGCCTTTCGACGGGCGATGCATCTTCTTGCTTTTGCGTTGCTGGCATGCGGACAACAATTTTCCCAATATGTTTACCCTGTTGGATATGTCGAAAGGCAGCCTGGACCTCAGACGCTTCGTACAGCGTGACGGGAGCAATAGGATCAATCAAGCCTTGTTGCTCATATAGTGTCATGGTCTTGGCCAGAAGCCTGTGTTAGGTAATTAGTCGCTACCTGTTAGTACAGGAGCCGGTAGGTAGGTAGGTAGGAAATGGGACAATCGCCGGCGACGCACCTTGAAAAGGCATGCGGAGCCTCTGCGGCAATCTCGTGGAGGTCGACCCCAAAGAAGGATCTGTTTCCTTCGAAGACGCTCATCTGGAGTTTCGCGTGGCCCTGGAAATCGCGCTTTCCGATCTCCACCATCCTCCCGAATTTGGCCACACATTGCCACGAGGTGTGCAAGAGCTCGCCGGAAAGCGAGTTACCCTAGTTCAGAACCAAGTCGACACCTCTCCCATTTGTGGCGTTCATCACGCCTGCCGCGAAGGAAGCATCGCGGGAACTGAATATCATGTCCCGAGGAATCCCAAACTTGTCCTGCAAGTACTGCACTTTTTCGGCAGTACCAGCTGTGGCATAGATGGTTGTGCCCGTAAAACGGCACAGCTGAAGCGCTGCGAGGCCGACTGCTCCGCAGGCAGAGTGTATCAAGACTGTCTGTCCTTTCTGCAGTCCTCCAAGCTCGAGGATCGAGTGGATGGCAGTAGCTAAGACACACGGCATGGTTGCTGCCTCCTCGAACGCCAGCCGCTCCGGGATTCCGATGCAGAGATGGTGGAGAATGGTGATCCGACTGGTAAACGCACCACCCGAGTAGAACATGACTCTGTCTCCCGGCTTGACTCTCGTCACTTTGGATTCGACGTTGCGGACGACGCCAGCGCCGTCCAACCCCAGCTCCGACTTGGCATCCCGCACGAGGGACAAGGCGATCAGCATGTCTTTGAAGTTGAGCCCGACAAACTTGACGTCGATTTCCACCTCGAACTCGCCGCAATGCTTGGGTGGTGTGGCGACCCAGCGGAGGCTGTCGATGCCTCCGTTGCTGGCCTGCAGTTCGATTCTCTTTTCGGATGACCCATGTTCAAGAGGCCCGTCATCGAGCAGTTGGTCGGCAATGGAAAATGGGATAATCCTCGGTATCATCACCAGACCGTTGGAGTAGCTGTACTCATAATCTGCGTCCAGTGCGAAGGCGGTGGTGTCACGGGAAGGAGGATGTTGTTGCTGAGCTTCTAGCACCCGGAGAAGAGACAGAAGAGCCTGATCACTGGTGTTCTCGAGCTCAACCGTCGTAATGGGGAGGCCCAACTCCCCTCGCAATGTGCGGATGGCGCCTACTGTCATGGCATGGTGGGGTTCTCGGCAGTCGACCTGCGCGCTGTTCGTTGCCCATATAATGTTCGTGGACTTGCATTGCCTGAAGAAGGATTGCAGGCTCTGGAGCCTCTCCGGTGACATGTGATGAAAAACGGGCCCTTCCAGGTCGAGCAGTGACACAACCACATCACCGGACAGCTGCTGCTCACCGGACAGCTGCTGCTCACCGGACAGCTGCTGCTCACCGGACAGCTGCTGCTCACCGGACAGCTGCTGCTCACCGAACTGGCAGGGCTGGACTTGGTAGCCCTGGCTCGTGAACACTTGGGCAGCAGCTGTGTAGAGAGTAGAGCCAAAGTCATGGCTCAGCAGAGTGACATGCTTCGAGGGCTTGGCGTCAACCGGCGACGGCCTGGAAACGATGCAGACGTTGACCTGGTAAGGCGTTTCGTGATCATAGGCAGCAAGTTCGGTGCCTCGGAATCCGGCCTTCTGCAGTTCGTGCTGCCACCTGTCGACATTCACATACGGCTCGTCGACTCGGCCGTCTTCTTCTCCAAGCCACCATCCTTCGAGGAGGCCAAAAATGGAGCTTATCCAGGTTGATTGAAGGCTCACCTCTTGCAAGAATAAATATCCGTCCGGCTTCAGAAGTCTCTTGACATTTGACAATGTTTTCTGAAGACTGGGTGTCGCATGCAAGACATTGGCAGCGATAATGAGGTCATATTCGCCTTCCCCGAACCCCTGGGCAACTGGGTCTTGTGATATGTCCAAGACCTGATACCTGATCCCTGGGTACATTCCCTGAAGTGCGTCTTTGGCGGTGGCAAAGAAGCCTGCTGAGACGTCGGTGAAGGTGTAAGAGCTGTACATCGGCTCGCTGGTGGAAGAGAACAGGTTGCTCAAAACCTTTCTTGTGGCGCCGCCGGTTCCTGCCCCGATCTCAAGGATGCGCATAGTCGGTCTAGCGTGTGCGAGGCATCGGAAGAAGTCTTGGCAATACCCAAAGTCCATGAAACGGTACAGGTTGGCCAGCGTGTCATCTCGGAATAGGCTTTCCACCGCCTCGGCTTTGCCGTCAAACACCTCTTGCACAATCTCGAATGCCCTGCTGACAGCTGCTGCTGGCGCGGCAACCTCTGTTTCGGACAAAGCTTTCTGTATACTCCGGATGGAGCTCCGACGGTCTTGCTCGCCCAGCTCGACGAGTTTCTGACAGTCAGGCACGACCTCGCTGTGGCCGTTTTTGATGGCCTCATACTGCTTTAGCAGCCACTTGAAGTGCTTCGCAAGATAGCCACCGGGACGCTGGGACGGGTCCAACCTTGCAGCGCGGTCCACTATATGAAGCAGGCTTAGAGTCTCGAGTTGGATTATCTGGTCGCGTCGGTCGGGCCGGGGGCGAACCAACTTGGCAAGATCCAAGAAGCGAATGTCAGGCATCCATCGCACACGAGCGCCTGCATGGGCCTTCTCCTGCTGCTTGTCGTCACCTACGGCGTGGAGAACGGATGCTCGGAGGCCCTTGATTCGAAACACCATGGAGCCTTGATCATCGTAGCCTGCGATGTCCCCGACCACGTCTCCACGGCCTGCCTCAACTTGGGCACTGGTCTCCAAGTGCAGCGCGCCGGTCTGCTTGCCCAGCGTGATTTCATCGATTGTCACGGGGACTAAAGCGCTGGGAAAGCGTCGACCTAGTCCTCTGGTCATGGCGAGAAAGGCCGACTGCAGACACTTGTCCATCTCGCAAGGATGTATCTGGTAGGGTGGTTCTTGCAGTCGCTTAATCCGAGATACGGAGCAGCTGGCCCGGTTGCTGGTCGGGTCGGTGGTGATCTTGTCCAGGCCTCTAAACTCGGGGCCGTAGCTTAGACCAGCGCGTGCCATTATCTTGTACCAGTATTTTGAATCAACAGATCGGGGCAACGATGTGGCGGTTGGGGGTATCCTAGATCCGGTGGACTGCAGCGAAACTTGGATTTCGCCGGTGCAATGTGGGATCCAGGTGCCGCTGTCCTGTGAGTATGAAGAGACGCTGAACTCCCACCAGCCAGAGTCGAGCGTATCTGTCAATCTTAGGCGCCGCAGTGTCGTGGAAAGCTCGATGTCTCTTCCCTCATACATGACCAGCGCTTGTCGCACGATGACGTGACGCAAGGAAATTGCGCCTTTGACCTCGGTGACTGTGACTTGTTGAACAGCGGCGGCAGCAATCGACACGAAGCCGACGAAGGGGAAACGATATTGCCCTGGACCACGTGGTCGCGTATCCAGGGGACGTTGTCTGTCGAGAGCAGATTCCGCCACGATGGCTCAAGCTCGCTCGTGGCTGTAACTCAAGCCCCGAGCAGGTCGTGCCGTGCGTGTCTTTGAAGCCTCCACTCTCTGCTCAGGCGAGGCTCTGTCCAGAACTTGGAGGTTGCTGAGTAGTTCCATGGATAGGTGGGAAGGTCGGTCAATACCTTCCTCCTGCCATGGTGCAGCTCTGCAAAGTCGGGAGTTACACCTCTGAGATAGAGATTGCCTAGGGCATCCAAGAAACTGTGCGTTGCGTGAGAGTTCCGTTGTAGTGTTGACACATATTGGAACGGAATCTTCATGGTCTTCATGATCTGCCGCAGTGGTCCTGCCAAGGCTCCATGTGGCCCAATCTCCAAAAACACCTTGGGTCGAGGGTTGGACTTGACGAGCGCGGCCACTGCCGGGTAGAACAGAACTGCATTTTCGCCGTTCAATCGCCAATATGTGTGGTTCAAGGCGCTGCCGCCATGTAGTTCCTTTACATGGAGTGATGAAAAGAAGGGAACCACAGGATCACGGGGCGTGATGCCACTGATAGCATTCCAATGCTCTTCCGCAACGTCGCCAACGTGGTCTAGACGCTCGTTAGTCTTGACTTCCCTCCATGCAGGGTCTAAGGTGTTGGAGCTCACGTGAATGATACGCCTTGTCGACGCGCAGGCGCCTGGCAAGCGTCTCTGGTCGTGATGACTTGATTTCGGCTATCACCGCGTCCACGGCCTCGGTATCTCCCGAGATTGTAACACTCTCAGGGCTGTTTTCACAGCCTATCACAACGCCTGGGCGCAAAAGGCGCTCAACTTCGTCTCTCCCAAGGCCGATTGCTCCCATAGCGCCCGATCTCTTGATAGCCGATGAACATATGCCACGATTATAAGCGACAGTGATGGCATCATGGAGGCTCAGCGCACTAGATGCGTACGCAGCCGCAATCTCTCCGCTGGAGTGGCCCACAACAGCTGTGGCGCGGACTCCCAACGAGTGTAATAGGTCCACAAGAGCACATTGGAGGGCCGTACAGAGCGGCTGCGAGAAGGTGGCGCTTTGGATCAAACTGTCCATTTCCAGCTTCAACAGCTCCTCCCGGAGATTGAAGTCACAAGGGGTCGGTAGAGTGGCAAGCGTGTGTTCCATCTTTGCAAAAGACTCTCGGACTACAGGGAAGTCGGCCAAAAGTTGGGCGCCCATCCGCGGCCATTGGGCCCCTTGGCCTGTAAAGACAAAGACGAGCTCCGGGATGTTCTTGCCCACTTTGGTAGGCCGCGAGACGGTGAGCGGCGGCTTCCCATCATCTGTGATGCAGTATGCTCGATGCGCCATGTGCTCCCGCCGCGAACTCAACGTGTAGGCGAGATCAGGCACCGAGGGAGCATTCTGGAGCATGTATTGTTCGTATTGCTCGATAGAGCGACTGAGCGACGCCTCGTGGCTTGCAGAAAAGACGAGCAGCTGTGGGCAAGGAATCGGTGGAACCGTTTCCCAAGAATGTTCACTCGAAACAGAGCCGTTCGTCAACCCGTTCGTCAACCCGTTCGTCAGTCCGTTTTTCAACTGGCTTGACAAACAAAATGACTCTGCCGAGTCCACAATCACCTAGACGAGTAGAATCATCAGTGATTGAACTATGCTGGTGGAAATAATGGTACCATTTGCCAGACTCACATGGGCATTGCTCCCGCCAAAGCCGAATGAATTTACGCTGATGCGCGCTTCACAATGCTGAGGCCAGGGTATGGGGCAAGTGGGAACCTTCAGACGTCCGGACTTGAAGTCTATGTCCGGGTTGGGGTTTCTGAACTTGATATTCGGCGGTATGGTCCTGTGCTCCAGGGCCAGAACAGCCTTGATCAGGCTCGTGAGGCCTGATGCTCCCTCTGAATGGCCCAGGTTTGGCTTGACCGAACCGATGTAGACTCCAGCGTCGCCAAAAACGTTGCCGACAGCGGTCAGCTCGAGCGGATCTCCCGCCCGAGTCCCGGTCCCGTGGCATTCGACGAACGCCGTCTTTGAGAAGTCGTCTATCCCGGCAGACTTATAGGCTTGGCGGATAAAAGCTTCATGGGCAAGTGGATTTGGCGCTCCGAGACTGGAGCCTTTTCCGTCATAGTTGACAGAGGTCGCTCTTATCACGGCACGGATGGGGCTGCTCTGGTCTTGCGCATCGTCGAGCCTCTTGATGAGTATGGCGGTGATTGCCTCCCCACGAGCGTACCCATTGGCCGCAGCGTCGAAAGTCTTGCATGAGCCGTCCGGCGACAGGACTCCTTGCTCGTTCAGTGCAATAGAAGTAGTTGGACTGGTGATCAGGTTCACTCCACAGACCAGAGCGGCGTCAACCTCGCGGCGTTGCAGTGCGCCACATGCTTGGTGTAGAGCTGTCAGAGCCGCTGAGCAAGCCGTTCTGACGGTGACACTAGGTAGACAAGGCAAATCGAGTAAGCTTTCCGCTCTTGAAGAAATGGACCCTTGTCCCTTGATGGATCGATCGACTTTACCTCGGGCCTCTCAGATCGTATTGGTAGGATATGTGGTTCGCCACGGCAAAATCCAGAGCCCCCGTGAGCTTGTAGAAGCCAGTGTAGAGCGGATCTTTAGCCTGCAAGTCGAGGTAGTCATCGGTAAAGCTGCCAACAAAGCAGGCAATGTTCTTTCCCTGCCACCTGGTCTCTCCTGCGCTCTCGAAGCATTCCTGCACGACCTCCATCAGGACGCGCTGCTGAGGATCCAGTTGCTCGGCTTCCTTCCGACTGATGGAGGGGAATGCGTCCTTGTCAAAGAGAGCCAGGTCTCGATTCTCAAGGAAGTAGCCGTGCCGGCTCATGGTCGTCCCGGAATTCGTCCCCTTGCGTTGAAAGCTTTGGGCATTCCACCTGTCTGCTGGGACCTCTGTACGGGCATCGCTGCCGCTGACGAAAAACTCCCACAGGTCAGCCGCGTTTGAGATGTCCCCAGGTAGTCGCATTCCCATGCCACATATGGCGATGGGGGAATACGAGGGAGACGCCCCTGGTTGAGCTGTTAGCTACCAATTCAGATCTAAGGTGCCGCGGCTGCACGTTTAACCGCGTACCTGTGGACTCATCGGATGAAGGAGACATTGGGAGACTTGGCGAAGAATATGCTAGGGGAAACACAATATCGAATGGTCTCGCTATGCCAGCTTGAGAGTCACCTTATGTTGGGAGACAGCCCCACTGCTTGCACACCAGACACAGCTCTTGTATGAGCCTCGTAGTCATTTGCTTGCTGTCGACCATCGCATCTCCAAGCCCTCGGTCGATGAGAAATAGCACCACCGTGGTCATAGAGTAGTACTGGCCGAATATGTCAGTCAGATACCTGGCAGCCAGGTTACCGACCAGGTGGATCCGTCCCCCGGCCAATCCGAGCTGGCTACCGTTCAATATCACGGAGTACATGGTCGCTTCATACAAGATACTTGTAAGCGGCTGAATGAACGTGTGCAAGGTCCCTAATCCTCTGGACGAAATACAACCCTACCTATCCAGATTAGTGTAGGTGAGGTGGTTTGCCCACTCGAGATTTCCTGATGCCCTAGATCGCCAGGCTATTGGGTTGCTGGGCTATTAACGGGCATCTACTGTGCTCGAAAAGGAGAGAAAAGCCAGAACATATTTACCCAATCCATTTTAATCAAGCACTCTGTTCTGGCTGACGGAATGTCTTAGTACAGTCATTTTACGTATTCGGGTTGGGTAGTCACTTCCTACCTAGGTAGGTCCAATACGAATACGAGTAAGAGACTCGTCACCCCCTTACCCACCATCCGCAATCCAGCTCAAAGAACGTTTCGGTCTTTCAAGGTATTGATCCTGCCGCTTGAATATGGCGGCAATTAGACTTGGGAGAACTCGAATAAAACTCTTGGTCAGGCAGGGGAGGAGGATGGCTTAACTCCCTGCGCCTCACTTGGCTTCCTCAGTATCCAGTTTGAAGCAGTCGACTACTTAAAGGGAATTTCTCGCCAGTTTCTCTCTCAGTTTCTCTCTCAGTTACCTTCTTTACTAAGCACTGAGATATCACATTCCCTTTTTTGCTTCTTGGCTTGCCATCAGTGACCATGGGGTCCTTGGCGATCCAGCTTGCTGTCTACATCGCGGGCGCGCTTCTGTCATGCGTTATCATAAACGTCGTCCTCCAACTATTTCCTCAGAGAAAAAACGAGCCTCCACTTGTGTTCCACTGGCTGCCGTTTGTTGGAAATGCGGTGTCGTACGGCATGGATCCCTATAATTTCTTTGTCCGCTGTCAAGAGAAGGCAAGTCTCTCATCTCCCGTCTCCCGTCTCCCGTCCTGGGTGTTTTCCGTATTCTTTACCTCCATGGAATTGGCAGAGGCAAATGCTAATTTGTGAGTGTTGCAGCATGGCGATATATTTACCTTCGTGCTGCTCGGACGGAAGATCACTTGCTATCTCAGCGTTGAAGGAAACGATTTCATTCTGAACGGGAAGGTCCACGACCTGAACGCGGAGGAGATATACAGCCCCCTTACGACACCGGTATTCGGTACTGGCGTCGTGTACGACTGCGCAAACTCGAAGCTCATGGAGCAGAAAAAGTTCGTCAAGTTTGGCCTGTCGCAGAAGGCCTTCGAATCCCATGTCCAGCTTATCGAGGGGGAGGTCCTCGACTACATCAATTCAGCTCCAGCTTTCAGGGGCCGGTCCGGAACGGTCGATATAGCGAGCACCATGGCCGAGATAACCATCTTCACTGCCGGCCGTGCGTTGCAGGGGGAGGAGGTCCGTCGAAAGCTCACCGCCGAATTCGCCTCCCTGTACCACGACCTCGACAGCGGCTTCACACCGATCAACTTCCTCCTGCCATGGGCACCCTTACCGCATAACCGCAAGCGAGACGCCGCCCACAAGAGGATGCGGGCCATCTATATGGACATCATACGAGAGCGGCGGAAGAGCGACACGGAAAAAGAGGGCTCCGACATGATCTGGAATCTGATGCGCTGCACCTACAAGGACGGCCGACCCATACCGGACAAGGAGATCGCTCACATGATGATCACCCTCCTGATGGCGGGGCAACACACATCCTCCTCGGCCAGCACGTGGATCATGCTCCACCTGGCGTCGGAGCCCAACATCACCGAGGAGCTGTACCAGGAACAAATTGAGAAGCTCGGCCGGAATGGCCACCTCCCGCGGCTCCAGTACTCGGACCTAGACAAGCTCCCGCTTCTCCAGAACGTCGTCAAGGAGACGCTGCGCGTCCACTCGGCAATCCACTCCCTCCTGCGCAAAGTCAAGAATCCGCTCCCCATCCCTGGGACACCCTACATCGTGGGGACCGACAAGGTGCTCCTCGCCTCGCCGCTAGTAACCGCGCTGAGCGAGGAGCACTTCCCGCAGGCCAAGACCTGGGACCCGCACCGCTGGGAGCGCCGGGCCGCCGAGGTCGACGGCGATGGTGACGTCGTCGACTACGGGTACGGGGCCGTCTCCAAGGGCACCAAGAGCCCGTACCTGCCGTTCGGGGCCGGCAGGCACCGCTGCATCGGGGAGAAGTTCGCCTACGCAAACCTGGGCGCTATCGTCGCGACACTGGTGCGCTCGTTCAGGGTCTACACGTTGGATGGGAAGCCTGGGGTGCCGCCGACCGACTACACGTCGCTCTTCTCGCGGCCTGTGCAGCCGTCGATGGTCCGCTGGGACCGTCGTGTCTCTAAATAGGTGTTTATCTGGGTTGGAGGTCGGGCGGGAATCCTTATTAAGGAAGGATGTTGCAACACTACAATATAGAAATAAATGGGGGAGGAATGCTCAGGTCTTGCCTTGGAAAGATGGTTGAAGAAACGAGTTCCTTTCCTCCAGTAGTAACACTGGACCGCTGTCCAGCTTGGACAAAAAATGCAGGGCCCAGGGGCATGCACCTACAACAAAACACGGTTGCATCACAACCGCAAATTCTCGCGGGACCATGAAGAAAGCAAGCCATGTCACCTTTCCAATAGATAATATACACTATGAACAGTAATGTATTTTAAATCTTGGAGTACTTGGAAGCTCCCAGAGTTGGCATGTCTGCCATTTGGGTGGCCCGAGCGCAATATAGTGTACAGGACAGCCATTTTTTGGCCCATCACCTGCCACCAACGAAGTCCCCCCACCTAACTGACCATGCTGAGAACTGAAAGGATGATGCGCAACTGACGGCGCATTATATCCACAACACGATGCAAACACGGCGCTCAAACAAGACCAAGCGCTTTCTCGACGTGGTCCTTGTTGACAGTGACGACGAGGACGGTTGGCAATCACCAGTCAGCAACGAGCCGGGCGACGAGAATTTCGCCGCCGGCGATGCTCTCGGCGCGGAGCTGGGTGCGGGAGCCGATGCTGGCGGGGAACCGGAAGACGACGACGATGAGGACGAAGAATTCGACTCTGATGTCGACGACGAGAACGTCGGCGAGGCTCGTAGAAGGCAGACTGCAGGGACGACTTCCGCCCCGCTGCGGACCGGGAAGCGCCGGCGTGACTACCATGAGCTGCCGGTTTACCCCCTCGAGTCTCGTATCCTGACCCGCGTCTACACGGGCGAGCTGAAACGACAGGCCAGAAACACCGCCCTGCGAGATGTCATGTACGGTCCGCAATACGAATGTGCCAAGCTGATCTGGGACCTGAGGGACCGATGGCTGGACCACCCCGTCCTGCCCGCCGCCGTCCCTCGCAAGGACCCGATGGGCGTTTTGCCAAGCCCCTGGGTACCGCCTCACTTTGAGGCCAGCCAAGAGGCAGCCGCCTGTGAATGGTATAGGAACTACCGAGCCGACGCGTCCGCCGTCCAGCGGTCGCACGCCATGGTGTCTAAGACCGGCCAGAAACTTATCCCCGAAGCCGAAGGGGACGTAATTACCCTGCTTGGCCCCCTAGATGGCCTGGAGGAGTACAGGCTTAAGCAGGGAGATAGTATCGCGCTGTCGTCATTCAACCTGCCGGTTGATGCCCCGGGGAGCCTGGGCGAGCCGCCGACTGGATGGATCTTCGACGTCGGAGGGCTTGTGCTTGCCATGGACTGGGCACCGATTGCACGCGGCGGCGAGCAAGTCCTTGCGTTGGCCGTGATCCCGCACTCCGACCAGGCGGCACGGAGGGAAGGCGACGGGGACCCGCTCCAGGAGGAATCGAGTGCAGGGAGTATCCAGTTTTGGGGATTCTCTGGGGAGGAAGGAACCCAAGAACGCCTGCCACGCCCGTCTCGACGGCTGCCGAAGTTCCTGGCCGCGAAATGCTTCGATTGGGGACGACCCAAACGCCTTCAATTTTGTCCAGTCCCTCTAGACGGGGCAGGCATTTGCGCGATGCTGGCCGTTCTTTGTGGAGATGGCCGGGCTCGGGTCATTGAAGTTGAGACTCTCGATCACTCTGCCGATGCGACCCAATTCGGTATGCCTAAATTCCCATCTCCCAGGCATAATGAACACACTTGATAATAGCTAACCCCGCTCTCAGAATGGGTGGAATCCCCCGTCGCTACCCTTGGCATAACAGACGACTACAACATCCAGGCCACCTGCCTCACCTGGACCGGGACCAACCGCGTCGCGCTGGGCCACAGCGACGGCACCGTGACTCTCTGGTCCATCCACCCCTGCCAGCTCCTCCAGCGGCACGCCGTGCACACCAGCTTCGTCCTCGACATCAGCTCGGGCTACCCGTCGCAGCCGTACCTCGTCGCGTCGGTGCCCGTGGGCGGCAGCCCCGCGTTGACGGACCTCTCGCAACCCACCTCGGAGAGCACCTTCATCCCCTCCCCGGCCATCGCCTTCCAGCCGGGCCTCCTGAGCTGGAACGACCACATGCAAGGGTGGATAGGCACGTACCCGCTCCCCGGCCCCGGCGCCACCGCCCTCGCCTTCCTGCACGCCCGCTACTTCGTCCAGCCCCGCACCATGACCATCCTCCCGAGCGCGCCCATGTCCCTGTCCGCGGCCGGGCCCCACCCCTTCCTCCTCGTCGGGTGCGCGGACGGGTCGCTGTGGAGCTTCAACGCGCTCACCAGGCTGTTCAGGCTTAAGGACGAGCAGACGGTCAAGCTCAAGGTCCTGGAGCACGAGTTCCGGCGTCCCGACGCGTTCGAGCTGCCGGATGTCGATGGCCTGGGGCCCCCTCTGCGGGGGGCCACGAGGGTCGTGCAGGGCTTCCGGCCCGTGGTCAACGAGGACCCCAGGGTGGAGAGGCTGAGGGAGCACATGCGGCGCAAGAAGGCGCAGAAGGGCAAGACCAAGTCCGGGAAGCGGAGGGGCCGCCCGCCCAAGAACCCGCCCGGCCCGGACGCCGGCGGCGGGGTCGACGGCGACGCCGGGGACGCGGCCGCCGGGGATCCCTGGGTGGGCGATCCCCGGTTCGTCATCCACGAGCCGCTGACGCGGGTGGCGGCGGTTGCCTGGAACCCGAATGTGGACTTTGGCTGCTGGGCTGCCGTGGCGTTTGGGTCCGGACTCGTGAGGGTGATGGATTTGGGGGTGGAGTGAGAGGCGTCTGTCTGAGCGACTGGTCAGATGGAAATCACGCGAAGCACGTCATTGCTTTGAGGGACAAGCCTGCAGAGAAGGTGCCAAAGAGCCAGCTAAGATGGCTTTTTCTATGAGCCGAGGGTAGAGATACAGCCATCGCCTCCATCATCCAACCCTCATCACTGACACATTCCTCCTTGCAGACCCCTGATAGTCGCCGGAAGCTAAATACAACCTCCGCCGATCCGACCCATGCCCTGGTTGTAAAGGCTGGGTTCGTGATGCGACGAAATGGTTGAGGGGATTCGGCTGCGTTCTAATCTATGAGCACCCATCGATCGAGTCAGAGGAGCGTCCTGGGCTTGGGCCAGGGCACGCGCATCCACTCCAAATATTCTATCAGTCTATTCGACCTCGGTCATGCATCTAAGGCCCTAGCAATGAGCCCCCATTACACCATGATGGAAATCAAAGGCTTTGCGCATCCCGTAAAAGTGCGATGCCGCCGCCAGGAGCACACACATGTGAAATAGCTGATGCGAGCTCCCCCAAATATCGAACGTCCCAGGAAACTGACGTTCCGGCCACCGAACCTAGGAACTGATGAGTGGTTGAACGGCCGGATGTGGAGGGGACATGGTTTGAACTCACGGCATATAAGAAAGCACCGAATATGTACAGCGCACCTTGCAGTATGACCCATCTCACGCCCATTCTCACATCCAGCTGTCGAAGGCCGTAGATCATCGCTCCGTGGATGACAGGCACAACGCCAGAGAGCCCCAGGCACACAAACATGAGGGCCCTATATGGCCGCCAGGCAGGAGTGCGGAAATGCTCCAGCCATGACACGGCCAAGCAGCCGAGGCCAAGAAGGGAGATCTAAGATGTACCCTAGTTAGCCACCGCTAACAGCGTATATCACCCGGCAAAGCGGAACGAGCTCGTACCATGTACAGATAAACGGCCATGAGCTTAGGCAAACAGAAGAACCCATAGTACATGGCAGGCACGTAGCTCCCGACAATCAGGAACACGATGCCCGAGTAGTCCAGCTTGTTCGCCCACGTGGCCACGCCGAGCGAGTGGTTGCAGAGCGCGTGGAACGTGGCGCTCATACCGAGGCAGAGGAAGGCGCCGCCGAAGAAGCACGAGAAGACCAGCACGTCCGACGGCGAGGCGGAGCCGTAGCGCGGGACGACGGCGGAGCGGAGGAGGGCGCCCGCGAGGGCGAAGGCGGCGGCGCCCAGCAGGTGCGACCAGATGTTGACGGACTCGTTGTGCAGGTAGCCCAGGCTGGCGAGCGAGCGCGCGACGCTCGCGCTCGTCGCCCGGTAGCCGCTCTTGATGTAGGCGTTGTCGCGCCGCCAGTGCGGCAGCTCGTCCCAGGCTACCAGGAGCGACTCCGCGATCTTGGCGTCTGCATGCCTCGCCGTGTGGGCTACCGCCTCGGCCGCCGACGGGCGGCGCTGTCGGACCGATGATTGCGGCGCATCGGACATGTCCGCTGGCTATTTTTTATTTATTTTTGGCTTTTTATTTCCGGGATGCGATACGGGAACGGTAATTTAAGACATTGTATCAATATTTCTGAGACAGCGACGATATCTTACGTATCCTCGCGCAGCGGTCCTACGTACGTCGTTTCCTTGGCATATTGTGGAGCAAGAATCTTGAATTGTTGAGCCGCTCTGAGCGAAGCTCGGCTTGAGGAGAAACCCACATGCATGCTTGCACCTGTGAGATCACGTGAATTCAACAAGGTCACCAACAAACAGTTCTCGCTCCTGCGGGATCGTGCTTTCCAAATTTCCTAAATCCGTCAGATATGTCTTAGCCATCACCCCGTGAGACTACCTACCTATCCATGAGAGATGGACCTGGCGCTCCTACCCTTCGACACGACGCGCGGGCCACTTGCCGGGATTGAAGGGCTTCACCGGTGAATAGCCTGGGTGTAGCGATATGCGAGCCAAGAAACATTCGCGCTACACCCTCACTGTGCCGCTTTTTTTTTGGATCGTCATCAAACTGAGGCCTCTGTTCCGTTTATTATGACACCGAGGTTTCGCCGGAGAATATCCTTGAGCGGTCAATCTGCTTTCCCGACTGAAGGGTTGCAGCAATTTGGCGGCCGTGAGGATCATCTCTCGATCTTCCATCCCCCGGGCTTTGCAATGGCCATACAGCTACGCAGCAGAGTTGTGTGAATGGCTTGGGGGGCCCTCAGCAAATGCTTTGGAGGGCACACACTACGCCCCTGGTTCCTGACAGGTTGCAGATGCAGGGAGGGGAAATGTGTGAAATGCGTGGTGGTTCCGGTCAGGAGATGTTCCTGACCTGGCGGTGCTGATGCCCCTGGTGCTGCTTCCACCAAACTTGGGCCACTATATCAGAAAGTTTGACCGATATTGTCTCGCCGCCGCCATGCGCACTCCCGCCCCCAAGTACCAGGATTTGCCTCTCCCAACTCACCTGGCTACCTCGGGAGTTCTATTCTTGGAGCGGCGAATGCCAATCGACGGAAGCATCGGGTCTGGGCTTCAGTGTTTTGTCCCTGGACGACAAAGTGTTCACATGCGAGAAAGTGGCCATTCTGCGGCGCAACGTAGTGTGGCTAGACCTCGTGGAATGGCACGGCGACGTCCGGATAAAGTTGATGCGGTTCAAGCTGTGGGGCCAGTAGGAGGCGGCGGGAGGCTCGAGTGAGCTGACAATCCGAATATGGCACCCGAGCTAGCACGTTCATGCCCGGGATCTTTGCCTCCAGGGTACGATCCATAGAGTCTCGATCATCCTGCCTCTCTTTGACGCTGGCTCACCACTGGGGCGAATAAGCCGGCCCCCTTTCCACCCCCTGGACTGCCATGACCTGCTCTCTTCATTTAAAGGCACGATGACACTGGGTAGAGCCAAGTGGTCTCGCCCTTGCAGATGCGATGCGGCCGGCGAACACTACGTCAGGCCAAAAATAGAAGATCTCGCCTTCAATCTGGGATCCAACCGTTATGTCGAGAAGCTTGAGTCGCCTCCTGCGGTCTCCTAGCTCCGCCGCAGAAGCTTGTCGAGATTGGCTTCCTGATATAGGCACAATTAAGAATGCGACCCTGATTTCTGCTTTCCTCCTCCAATCCCCCAAATTTCCTCGGACTTGCCCGTTCGACGGCCGAAACAAACTTTTGGATAGCCCGGATAAATCGCCCCGGTTATATAACAAGTTGCCTCCGTCCACTCGTCCTTTCATCTATTCCATATTAACACCATATTGTGACTCCAACCACGAATCATGATATCGCCATCGCTGAAAGCGTCCGTGAGTGTAGGGAACCAAATCCGGCGCGGCTCGCACTATATATATTATTCGCGATGAGGGTCGATATCGACGATGGTGCTGAAAAGTGCGGCTCCATGAGTTTTGGTCCCGGAGCTATAAGAACCGGACCCATCGTCCTTCCCTGAATTTTGCCCACCGCACGGTTCGACAGCGAGCCTGCCAAGCATCCCGACTAAAGAACCACAGCACAGCCAAGTCATCATCAGTCATGGTTCGGACCGCCCTGACACTCGCCCTCATCGGCCTTGGTGCCGTGAGCAGCGCCATGCCGGCCGCGACCCGAGCTGTGGAGGAGAGGCAGACATTGATTGTTGGTGGAAATGGCGGCATCTCCTGGCCCTCCTGCCTCACCGGCGTCCCCCTCAACAAGCAGGGGCCCTGCATCCCCGCCGTCATCTCCGGCGACCTCAAGCCCGGTAAGCGTGCGGTGCTCGACGCCGCCGGCAGCTACGCCTCGGAATGTCCGCACCTGGAAGGCACGGAGCTGGCTCTGGAGCGCCTGATGCAGAAGGCCCACCCGTCGGCGCAGGAGTACATTGTAATGCGGAAGATGAGGAGTCTCCTCCTCGCCTGCGGCATCACCATCATCAACAGCCCCGACGGCACGAGGACCACCCTCAAGCCCTCGGACAAGCGGGACGCCCCCGCCGTCTTCGCGCTCCCGTCCAACGTCCACGCGACCTTCGACCTCGCCGGCCTCCAGAAGGCCTACAACACGCTCAGCCAGGCCATCGGCACCTCCAAGCCGTCCCTCTCCACCTGGCTCATCCTGCAGCACATTGCCTCGGAGCTCGAGCTCTACGGCATCGAGCTCGGGAAGCCCACCACCGGCGGCCTCGTGCCCTCGAACAAGAAGCGCCAGACATTCACCATCGGCAACCAGACCTGCCAGCTCGCCGACATGATCGGCCTCCGCGCCGCCCTGGCCGCCCTCTACGCCGCCTACGGCCCGCCCGAGGACGCCCCGGACAACATCTTCCTGATTGAGCAGATCATCGTCACGACCCTGCAGCTGTGCGGCCAGTCCATTGGCGGCTGGACCTCCATCACTCCGGGCAACCCCCTCCCCGGCGGCGGCAGCACCGGCGGCATCATCCCGGACCCGACGCAGCCCGGCGGCGGCATCGTCCCGGACCCGACCCAGTCAGGCGCGCCCATCGTCCCGGACCCGACCAAGTCGGGCGCACCCATCGTGCCCGACCCGACCCGCTCCGGCGCGCCCATCGTCCCGGACCCGACCAAGTCCGGCGCGCCCATCGTGCCCGACCCGGTCGCCTCGGGCAGCCCGCTCCAGCCCTCGGACCGCCGCAGGCAGGCGCCCATCTCCGACCCGGCCGCCCTCCTGGCCGCGCTGGAGCTGCTCGAGGAGCAGTACGGGAACTACGGGTCCGGCACCATCCCCGTGCCCGTCTTCCTCATCATGCAGAACATCGTCACCATCCTGCAGGACATCCCCGGCGTGGTGATCGCGGGCTGGCCGCTCCTGGGGGCTGGGTCCATCCGTCCTTCGCCGTAGGGTTGAGGTGGGGGGACACTGTTTGGGTTTTTGGGGGGCAAGGTGGATGAGGGTTGGACGGGGGTGATATTAAAAAGTGTCAACCGCCTCCGAGTTTGTAAAACTCCCTTAACGACGCTTTTTTTCCTTTCTCTTTTTGGATTTATACCTTATCTCCTTACAGTGTTTCAAAAAGGCTTGATTGACTTATTATATCTCTCTTCATGATACTGCTCCCACCCGCGCTTCCAAGTGACTATCTTGACTGACTGGTCGTGACCCTTCCTTGCTTGGTGCGTAGTTCCCCTGGGGGCAAGTCATCTCTGTATCTCGCCCATGTCAAGAACCCGCATTAACCTGACGGGGATACTGTTGCTCTAGACTGGCGTACACGGGGCTGTACACGGACCTCACACCCCTTCTGCCAGCCATCGTCTGACCTGCGAACTACAGTGTTCCTGATTCCATTATGGTTCCTCTATTGCGTTCCTACATCAAGTTAGATAGAACAACAGCCATTTTGTTTCTCCAGACACTACGGAGCCAGCCAGGTGTGTGGCGGGTGACCACCAGCCACCCCCTGAAGCAAAACGCAATGTGACAAAGCCCCCCTGAATCACATTCATCACCCCCTGAGGGGCACACATCTAGGGCAGCACAAGAAACCCCCCCTCCCCCCATCAACAGAACACCATCAGCTCGAGGCGAAAAGAACGGAAGTATCGGGATGACGAATCAACTAGAACGAGTCACGAGATCCAAACTTTGCCCCCGGAGCGAAGGTGACCAAACCGTCCGTCCCGCTCCAGAAGGTTCGGCGGCGTGGTTTACTATGGTTAGGAATGGGACAAGGACAAGGGCGCTAGGACGAGGGAGTATCCGCACCGGCAACGCACGTTCAGAGATAGATATATACACGGCAGGCGCGGATGGAAAGGAAAGTTCGCACCATACCCCGTCCAGTGACGTGACCTCGAGCGGAAAACAAGTGGTTCGTTGCCCCATCCATCAACTTAGCTCCGTGGCCAACCTCCTTAACTATGGGGGATATCCCCTAGCGGCTCCGAATATAGCGATAACGATTCATTTCCGAGTTCGAGTCTCCAGTACGGAGCTTACCGAGCCTCGCTTTGCTGAGAAGGGGGGGCAGCGAGCTTTCGTCATAGTCCGTGATGGGTGCGATGGGATCTGGCACTAGCCCACTAGCGAGTGAAGCGGCATACTTCAGATCCGAGGTTCTATCAACCTAGACGCGTAACACCAAACGCCACCAAAGGATGCCCCGGGAAGCGAGTCATTTGCCTCGCAGCTCGCGGCGCCGTCGTGGAGCCGGAACCCCAGCATTATGCGGTCTCAACGGTGACAGGGGTTGGCCTTCCTCCCCCGCGCCGGTAAGGAGACCGGAAACATCGGGACCGCGGAGTTCAAGCTCCCCCCCCCCAAAAAGTTGCGAACCCCATATCGCACAGCCCAGCATGGCGCCGTATTACGCGACGACCAAGGCCCACTCCTCCCTTTGGATCACCTCCACAGAAGACATCTGCCAAGCAACTTTATTTCCCGACCGTCAGAAAAAGGTTACTGGGTGTGTAGCCGACCGGGACCAAGCCGCAGATCAAGGGATGCAGAGGACGGTCCAGAGCTCCATGAAACTAAGGGTGGCGGTGGTAGTATGGTGTTGAGACGGTCTCTCTTGGACCGGGTTAGAGGGTGGTGAGAATGGCAAAGTCCAATGGTGAGTTTCCTCGGCTGTTCCTGTCATTATACACGTACGTGCAAGCACATAGGCGGCAATGTGGGCAAGATGCAGGCCGCTGATTGACTATGATTGAGGCGAGGGGAGAGGTGGATCCAGAAGCATGTTTCTCATGATGTTTAATCCCGTGGTCTGGGCCGTTGCGGAAATCTCAACGACACGCTGGAGTTCCCAAAGTTTGGATGCATGCTTCCCTAGCTTCTCCCATCTTGCCATGCAGACACGGGCTTGCGAGCCACCTCAGACCGGATGTGACGGGCACTCTGTCCCTTGGCTAGGGATGTCATCCTAGAGGCCCTCAACCTTGTTTCCTTGAAATCAATGCTGAACATGTTCTGCCGAGGCATGCCAAGTCACTGGCGACAAAGTTGACGAAGTGCTTGGAAGCATACTCCAGCCACCAGATGCAGCCGGGGAACGGACTATCGGATCCTGAAGTGATGATTCTGCCATCTCAGCACGCGACCCATTTAGGGTTTTGCTATGCTGAGACGAGAAGCGACCGACAGGCACTTGGCAAAAGCCAAACTCATCGTTCCCGCAGTGGCTAGACACCTCGAAAGAAACAGCGCAAGGCTCGTGTATCCCACACTAGGGGCGGCTCTGGAAGTTGGGTGGACCACCTTAGACGGTGTCTCCAATGCCGGCCCCGCAGTAAGTCAGGAGATGGAAGGTGGCACAGCCGGGCAATGAGACAAGCTCCTCCCTTGAGATATGAAAAGTCATTCGCTGCGTGACATGCGTGATGTGTGGCTTCAGGTTGCCAACTATTGTTGGTGTCTCGGCTTGCGTGTGGCAAGTCGCCCGCATCACAGAGCTTGCACCCATCAGAAGAGTAGGGGGCGGGGGCAACTACAGTTCAGGCCAAGCATCGTAGCCAAAAGCATGCGTAGCGTAGCAGTTTGGATATGGCGTGAGGCAACGGCAGCTCGAATAAGCAGTCGAGTGCGTCGCCAACCACTCACGGGCGCATCATCTATGATGGATGCCAACGGCGAATAACTGGTCAGATCGGCCAGGTAATCAATCACCTATCCCATCTTCTGTGCGCACAAGTCCTGGGCAGCCAACCAGGCATCGATGATCGCAACAACCCGACTTGGCTGCAGTCGTCGGGCGCCCTCACCGCCATCTCCACCAGGTCAGCCCGGTCCGAGAGGTTTCAGCAACTCTCTCAAACCATGCAAGAAAAAGAGCGCACGGGGCGTCGATGGGCGAACCAACAACAAGGAAGCGTAGTGGGCACAGACCCCATTGGACAAGCCGGGTTTGCCTCAGCAATATCCACGGAACCACGGAACCACGGGAGATGGTGGCTCCCTGATCGTCATCATTGGCCACCACCACCAAGCCAAACAGTATGGGCTGCCTAGGCAACGAGCTGATTCGCCTGAAAGCGGCGAGAAAGCAGGAATAAAAGTTGCTTTTCTTGAATACTGCAGGGTAAGTGTGGTCAACTTCGGGCGAAACAAAGCTGGAGATGGGCGAGGCCAAGAGGGTCCGCTAATGCAAGCACTTAAACACGCGCATACCAGCGTTGAGACGGCCACTAATAGCATCCAATCCTATGGCCCTGCACCTTACGTATGTATGTAGGTAGGCTGTTCGTCGCAAGTTAAGTTATCTTTGGGCACTGGACCGGGCGATTCTGCTTGACCCCGCTGCCTAGCTTGCCTGGGCTGCTGGGTAGACTTTCTAGCGCACATCGCGCTTGCTCTGATTAGGTAGCTGGCGCGGGATCGGCTATCGACTTGACCTCTAGCGGCCCCTCGCAGGATCTTAAATGTGGATGGATTGGGCTAGGGAATTATGAGAGCAGGTTTACGCTGTACGGCATACGTCTCCTGATGGGGCGGAGGTAGAGCGGGATTGTTTTTGTTGGTTCTCCTTTTCAACCTGGCCGGAGAGCAGCGTCCGTGCCAGCACCTGGGAGTCGGGGCCCGGATCGGATCAGCTCTTGACGCGACGACCTGACGTAGGTGACGAGAATCAGCACGGGGCTTGGCGATCTTGGAAATAGTTGGAAACTGCAGAACAGGGGGGTGAGAATTGGAGTTTGGGGTCCAGGCGTCGCTGTTACCATAAAAAATAAAATAAGGGCCAAGCAAACAGCGGAAGAGAAGCGCAAAAAAGTCAGGGCGTCGTAAGGCAGCACGGCACCAAGGCACCAAGGCACCAAGGCACCAGGGCACCAGAACAATCGGCTGTGGAGGAAGAACGACCGAGAGAAGCACCAGGTACTCCGTTGACCCACACAACCACGACGTGCCCGCATCCGCTTTCCCACGGATGCATGGTTTCTGGCTGCATGCCATCTGCATGGCCCAGCCGCCAGCCCCGTTTTCGACTTGGCTGGTGTTGCAACTAAAGATTGGAAAAACGAGGCGAAGTGGCTTGGTCCACGTGAGCCAATAGCAGCCTAGTGGGCGGTGATACGGACTACGCATGTATTCGTCTGCTGAATGATAGGGCAGGCAAAGTTGCAGCCTGCAGGAAGGTGCAGGATGCAGCACGCACCACGCTCGATTTGCTCATCATTTTGCTGGATCATTTGCTTGACCCCCGTTCGCACCCCGGCCGCACCGTCACCAACGCATCTTCCCCCCCCCCCCAGTTCCCCACAAGCAAGACAGCTAGCTCAAAGTTGCAATGTTGCAGTTTGTTTTCCTTGTGAGACCGCACTAAAATCGGTTGCCGAGATTAGGAAAAGGGGAAATGAGAAACAGAAACGAGGCAAAAAAATATCATTCCGTCATTACCCCCAAACCGTCTGACCGCATTGCTACCTTGCTGGAAATGATACCCCTCTATGCTTACCACAGGAGAGCTCACTAGCACAGCATTGGGTACCTACTCTGTGTGCATAGTGGGCTGCAGCAGCTTTCTACCAGTGTGTTGGCAAACACGGCATCCCTCGTCCGTCACGTGGAATGCATCGATGCTTCCAAGTGAGCAATGTCCAAAGCACTAAGGAGAAGGGAGAGAGATTCATGACATGATGGAGTTGAGTGATTATTTGGGACTATTGTCCATCATCAGATCTGAGATAAACCAGCTGCTCTAAGCTATGCTGCCTCATCATGTCCTGGAAGATCTCTTGAGAATGGAGTTAAACGTATTTGGTTTTGCGCCAGATGTTCTCCGACAACAATTTGGGCTATTGACCCAGGGTAATAATCTTTCTAAGCTCTTGTGCCCATCAAATGGTCTTTTTGTGCCGTTCGACAGCTATCAAACACGTCCAGCTTCAAGGCCGGGCGACGAAGTAGACAAAGATATGGTATCATCCAAGCGACCGTTCGTGGGATTCCTCCCAAGCGCTCCCCCCCCCCCCCCTTCTATGTTCAATGGAGGAAATAAAACAAAATAAAAGAAATCGCCGCCGGAGGGCCGTGAGACTGGATTAAAGGTCGAGGAGAGTAACCGGCGTTTGAACAAGTTGAGCCTCCCAATAGTTGTGTCCCGGTCTTCGTCCCTCGAAAAGATTCCGGTGGAAAAAACTCCCCTCTTTGTATATCCCCAGCGCCAGAAAGCCCAGATGCTTTCCCCCTAAACCAGAAACGCAACTCCCCAAGGGAAACCCCAAAAGCGCAGCCCCCCAAAACCACGGTTCTTGTATCGGCCTTCCTCAACCGTCCGAACCATCCACAAACTCCACGCTGCTAACAAATGGAAAACGAAGTCCCACAAGACTCGTCATTTCGTAGTTGATAAAAGTCGAAATAGATACAATTCGGAAGAAGTAATATGTGCAGAAAAGAAGAATAAGAAACGGGTTTCCAGCTTTTCTGTCTCTTTTGTTTCGGGTATATCCAAGTCCGGAGGATGCCAAAGGGCAGTCCTCGATTCTGTGATGCAGAAAAACCCCACGGATAGATTGCTCATGTCCAGTGGGCCGTTGGAACCTCTGGTTGAATATTATGTCCATATGCGTGTCCGGGGTGATCATGTCCAATGTCTGGTTCGGGGAATCAAGACCGCCCACGGATTTCCAGCTGCGAGAGTGGATGAGAGCCAGCGTCCGGAACCAACACAGCTTACTCAACCATGTCAAGCGTCGGCGACGTCAAGACAGCGAGAGGTAGTAAGAGATGGGGCTTAGCAGCCATGGATCGAAGTGAACAGAGGGACATGGTGATGATGAAATGGGAAGGGAGCGGGATGCTGCAATGGTGCAGGCTGCGCGTATCTGTTAAGCCAATCTCCCCACAAGTGCATGGGGAACTTGGGCAGGCAGCTCTGCGGTGCAGGCATATGCATGGCCTGGATTGGCTCTGGGACAGATCCAGGCGAGTGGTGGGCAAACTCCTGGGAATAAGCAAGCATTCCGGCCTCCCCTGGATCGTAGATCGATGTGTGTCCCTCTGGCTGCGGTGGTGGTGTGTGAATCTCGGGCGGTTCCTCAATCAGGTCGTCGTCGTCATCTTCTTCGAGGTCGTCGATTGTCGAACAGCTCGAAGTGAGCGAACCCTCATCGGAAAGGCAGGTTGATGCTTCCGAGGCGGAATCAGACGATGCAGGCGACAAGGGCGCCCCGTAGCCGAAATCGGCATCCACGGCGGATTCCTCACAGTCAACGTATGATGGCACATGCTCCGGAGAAGCAGGTGGGGTGGGCACAAGCGGCGATGTCGCCGTCTGCTGGGTGAAACTGGAGCAGGCAGCAATCCTCGCTCTGAGTTCCGGTAACGTAATTCTCTGCTCAGGGTTCCGGGTGAAGATCCTTCCCAGGATGTCGTTCAGTTCGTCCGACAGCGGGAGGATCGTCTTCAAGAAACCTGGGTGTCTGGTGAAGGCACGATAGGTAGAGTCCTCAAAAGAGGCCTGTTTCCATGGGTTGCGCCCGCAGGTAAGGTTGACCAGGATGACACCAAGGCTCCAAACGTCGTTGGGCGCGCAATAGTAGAAGGGCCTCCGGGTTGAGTGATCCAGACATTCTAGAGAACGAGGAAAGAGAAAAGGTCAGTTGCTAAACAAGAGAGAAAAGAGGGGGTCCAGGCCAGGAGCGTTGGGAGACCGGCTTTCGTGAACCTACCTGGGGACATATAGAAGGTTGATCCGCATCCATAATCCTCGGATTGGTCGGAAGAGGTAGCAAGGCCAAAGTCTGCCAGCTTGACAGTCTCTCCCTGATCCGTGACCAGAATGTTCTCAGGTTTGAGGTCCCGGTGATAGATGCCCAGGCGGTGGCAGTGTTCTACAGCGTCCAGGATCTGGAGGAAGACCCTCTTGGCAAGATCATCCTTACCCACATAGTGGCCACGCTCGGTGATGTTGTAGAACAGATCTCCCTCAGGGCAGTACTCTAGGATAACGTATATGCAGTCCGGGTTGTCGATAATCTTCAACATGGAGACCACATTGGGGTGTGCTGATGCGCGGTAGTGCAAACGTATTTCCCTCGTTTGGAAGGCAACTTGTCGTCGGTCCAGAGGGGTGCCATCAGCGTTGAACTTGCTCAAACACTTGACGGCGTATCGGATGTTCGTCGATATGTCGAGGGCCGAGTAGACGACTCCGTAGGCGCCTGTGCCTAGGATCCCGTTCAACTGCAGCGATCCTGTGAGGAACCTCCCTAGCCGCTCCTCCGGGGATACCGGAACGTATCGTGGCTGGCATTGCTGGTGCACCGGGATGTGTTGTGGGAGAAGGGAGCACTTCTGGTTGAATGCTGGGGACGCCGGAGGAGTGGGAAGCCCGTATGCCGACACATGCTGCATGTTATGCGGTCCTTGGTCTGGAATGGGAACTCCTCCTCAGGCTTCTGGCTCTTCTGGGCTTATGGTACCGAACAAGAAGGTAAGGAGAGAAGTGGAGAGAGAGAAGGAAAGACAGGCAACGGTTCCTTCCAGCGGACGGATTGGTTTCCTAGCCAAAAGAATCTCTCGGGTTGGAATGGTCCTTGTTTCCTTGGCGGCCTCTGGAAGTCCGTGGATCACACAAGTGGTCTGGGTCGCAACAGAGATTAAAGACGTCGAGTCAACGAGTCAATAGAGAGAGGTCGTCGCCGGTGAAGGGTTGACGAAACGGAATGGCGAGAGAGGAAGGGATGTGTTATCGTGATGGTGGACGAGGGCGACTGGGAGCAGTGGGAGTCCCAAGACCTGGTGAGGAGAGGGTAAAAGTGTCGAGTTGAAAGAGTGTCGCGAAGGATGGGATGCTGAACAAGAGAAGCTCATGCAGGTGTGGGAGCAGTGTCGTTGATATGCCATCTTCAGCGATAACGCTCGACCGCCCCATCTCTGCTAGAGGATGGAAGGTACCTCCTTCGGTGGCCAGGGTGGCTCGATTGGCCCCCGTTCTACCCATGCCACCCATGTCCAACTCCATGCCACCCATGCCGCCCTGACCCGCCCATGGCCTGCCTGCCTGGATGTCGTTTGGAATGAAGGTACGTACCCCTCCCCTCCCATAGCCAGCTCATCCCTGTCGTTTCTTGTCGAGACGCATGGGTCGACGGTCGATATGCACCATCCACCTATTCTTAATGTGGATGGCGCTAGCTTAAGCTCCAACCAACCCGACGAAGGATGCTGGAAGGGGTGTGGGACTGTTGGTGTGGGTGTGTGGACCAACTTGGCTAAGGGAATGCAGTCCCTCCTTGGGCGGGCTAGCGCAGTCAGATGGCGAACTGGCGATTCGTGAGTTGATGCTTCGTAATATTACGTGTACGAGACCAGGGCTTGTCTGACAGACTGACACACCAAAATACCTGTACTCCACATTACTGCGTAGTGCTGTTAAACTGATCCACTCAAGGCGCGGTAAACCTGTGTCACTGCCACACCAGGCCGCGAACACCGTCGCTCGTGACACCCCCCCGGTGTCCCAGCCATTGCCTCTTGTTGATCTCTCTCTCTTGTTTCTTTGGTGGGTGGCATGTTGTCGATCGGATTGGCCATGGGAAAGAGGGTGGAGTCCTGGCGTGGTGAAAGCAAAATCGGGCACCCTCTTTCAGCCTGTTGACTTGGTCCGATCGGGTCTTTTGCGCCAGGGCGAATATCGGCGCTGCTCGTGACTCGCAAACTCTGCTCATTGCTTTTTGCCTACAGTACCTCCCAGTCCTCCCTTGCTAAGCGTTTTCGGGCGTGCAGAGTGGGTGGGGAGGCGAAACATCGGCTCCAGTGCTTTACCGTTTGGGCATGCATGCCCAGTTGACCATGTTCTGATGAAAATATCGATAGGCAGCTTCACTTCACAAAACAGCCCCCGGTCAGCAGGATCACTCACTGGTCCCAAACCTGTCTAGGGGTCTTGCCTCCCCCCGAATGTCATAATTCCGGAGGGTTCGCCAAACGGAATGCATGAAAGTAGTCATGATTGGCGGGCGAGATAGGGCGGAAGGGCCCAGGTTCTGAGACACAAACAAAGCCCAGCCAGGCGCTTGGCCTGTCATTTCCTCGACTCCTCCACCTGGTTCTATCTGTCCTGTTGCAGAAGCTGCCTCAGCGGCTGGAGGTGGATTACTGGGAGGGCGCTGCACTCCATTCTCGCCCCTCGCATTGACCAGGCAAGCCTCCATCTGACTTTCCGTTCCGTACACAACAGAATGGCCTAGGATTGTGTTACCTTGGCGATTCAAAGTGGTCAGCTTCCCGCGGCCCTCCCCGGCTGATGATGCGCCCATATCGTTCTGCAGATGGGTTTGATGCTATAGTAGTTGGCCCAGCGTCAATTGCTGCAGGCATTGGCTATCGGGGTCGCCTGTCTGCCTGTGAAGGAAGGACGTAGCGTTTTGAGTGGCTTAGGAGATGGATCAGAATGCATGCGAGGTTCAGGTTGTTTGGTGTGAGCCAACGATGTGACCAATCGAAGTTCCCCCACGACTTGTGCGAGCAGCCCATTCCATGCACGATGGCTGGATAAATTTGGACAACCGCCGAGGGACCTCAGAGTGGGTACTTGGGCACCTCTCCAATCTCCATCCACCATGAGTTGGGTCGGGAGTCGGGACTTTGGAAAGGCCGCTCGTTTCTCTGGGTGGATGGATGGATGTACTGCAACAGTACATCATACCTTGTATGTTTGCACTTCGCAGAGGGTGCGGCGCCAGTGGCTTTGGGACTCGCCAAGGCCCGTGTCTGGCATGCTGTCTCCTGAAAAGGACAGGTGCTGGACAAACAATACTGAGTAGTTTTCGCCGGCTTCAACGGCTCGCTTTGGGTGGAGTCGTAGCTTCAACCTAGACTTCGAGTGATCGAGTCCCGTCCCATCTCTCTCAGGCGGCGCCGGCAAAGGCCGCGCCGCAAGTACCATTGTAACCTTAGTGCATGCACCGTCGAATCAACCACGGACGATTCGGTCCATTACTGACCAAGCAAAAAATAGATAGTGCACTCATAGTGCGAATCTCAGAACAGGGTCTTTCATGCACCGCAACTTTGCTGTTCGTTCGCCTGCAGAATTGCAGATAAGCCATTGGGCAGTCACAGCGGCAACCCTGGGCGACAGTGGACCCGGGTTGGGCTCGTCTGATTTGATGACGCCGGCTAATGAGGAGCCCCCTCGTCATGGAGGATAGGGTTCCTGCCTGCCTGAGATTGCAGGCTCCAGTCGTTCTTCTTTTATTACCGAATATCCTGGGTCAGCGAGCAGCCAATGACAGCCATCGTGGCTTGATGAGACCTGCAGCGCAGAGACCATCTGGGCATCCGGGCATCATGACCATCGCCCGTCTCTGGTTTGATTGGCCGTGCGACAGCCTCGTAATGGAATTGATTCGACAGGGAGGCCGCACCGCGCCTTGCCGAGGTGTGGGCCATATGACTCTTTTTTTATTGAGCACGTTAGCTCTCGATGGGACGGCGGACGCTAACGCTGGGCACCATCGTAACTTCCAGAAGGGAACAGATCAACAAAAGTGACGCCGTGCTGAGCAGAGACGGGCGGCGGGTTTATTGGCGAGGCTGATCTAACTGTCCAATGGGTAATTTCGGCCGCTTGGTGTCACATTCTAGTGCCATGAGTCAAAGATTCTAGGCTTCGCATGTAGGGGTTACGGAGATGATCATCGTCGATAGTGTAGACTGTGCGGTCGATTGATGGCTCGAGCTTTCCCGCTTTCCTTGCTTGATCCAAAAGTTGGAATCTGAGGATCTTGTCAGGTGACCTGCTCATCAGTCAGCGACTCAGCGCCACATAACAACATGCCGAACTGGCGATGTGTCTCGATCGATTCGGAGTCCACCCGCACGCAACCCATGCGACTGAGATTTTTAATACTTGTAAAAGGCCAGTGTCTTACTCTTGGTATGATGAAACTCACCGCTCAAGGTTACCTGCCTAGGGACGGAAATAGGTACCTCGTACCTAGCTAACAATGTTATTTTCGTGGTGGGATTCTTGGGATTTGAGACTTCTGACTCTGAATAACAGGCGGAACGTACCGTTAGCAGCTAATATCGAGCCGATTTGTTTCACGCAGCTTTTGTGGTCATCATTTTTAGCCTGTCTCGTCGCTATCTGCGGCTCAGGAGTTGATTGGAGGTCGCTCAGCCGCAATGTACCACAGTAGGGGTCATCTCTTTGCACTGAGAACCGAGGAGAAAAACCTGGACCCTGACAGGCTAAACACGTGCATCTCGGGGCAATCCAACCATGAACTTCGCAGGTGTAAAAAAATGGCTCTGTTGATACTGACTGCCGTGACACAGTTACCGCAGAGTGAGACCGCGGCGGATAACTGAGTGGCCGAGCAGCGGTGGTGATTCGGCTGTTGGCATCGACGTAGGAGTGGAGGGAGGTAGGCCGCAGAAGTGGCTTACTGTATGTCCTGATTCTGGGGAGCATGGTCACCAACCTCGAGTACCTACTATATGCGCACTAAAAGAGAGTCGGTGCTGGCTTCCTCGTCGGTTGCCGCCCATGTTGTTGACACTCGTCAGGAGAGCATATCCCTATTGGTTCAATCCAGAGTCCAGAGTCAACGGAGTACTATACACTGCGAAGAGCCCAGACTGCAGGGCAACCCTTCGCCCCCCACTGCAGAGCCCGGTATCACAAAAACGAGCCGCATGGCTTAGGCTGCCGGGCGGACCCTGCACAAGAACCGCCGAGCGCTAGCCAGCATAGTAGGGAATTGAAAAATGGTTTCATGGCCCTTGCGTCGAAACCTGACGCTGGGTCATGCCGCCGAGGCCAATCCGAATCCCGCAACACTCTTCAAACGCTGGGACGCTGGAACGCTGGAACGATGGCTCTCAATCATGACTCCCGGCTTTCATGCAAAAACAAAACCATGGTAAATCCGCCGGGGGCCCCCATGTCTGGTCCGCCATGGAACCCTTGACCCTTAAACGGCAACGGACTATTTTCTCAGCAGTGTTAACGGGTGCAATATACGTCGATTTCCGCCCGCTGTAACATGGACGCTCCCTGAAGCACGTCTTCGGGCGGTAGATCTTCGAATCGGCGAAAGGGTGGCAAGATCTTGGCTTGTATTGTCATGCGCTGGTCAGTGAAATCGAGGGGATGCGCTGCGAGGATCAAGGGACCCGCTCCGTCGCTCCAATCAACGTTGCCGCCTGAAGGACCACGGCAGGAAAAAGGGGATCGCTTCAAGAGCTTTTGAAAACAAGCGAATGGCACTTCTGTAAACAGTTGTAACGCAAAGCAAGGGGGGAGGGGAGTGGCCTCTAGGGGTGCTCGGCGGCCCGTGGCAATTGTGGTGACGCCAGATACCCTGTCGATCCTGCTCCATCGAAGCCTTCTGGGCGGCTTCTACGGTGCCCAGCAGGAAGATCTACGCTCCCCGTCGCGCTCCACCCAGCCGTGCTGGAATGCCAGAATGCCCTTTTCCCTCCAAACGAGCGTCACATCTCGATACCCAAACTCGAACCGAATCAAGCGGCCGCGAGACCATCCCCTCATTCCCTTCCCCCCATCCCACCCCCGTCCCTGGATCATGCTCGGAGGTGGCGGTGAGGCGGCGACGGGCGGGCAAGGCGGGCAGGCAGGCAGGTAGCCATCTCAGACATAAGTATGTCTATATGTCTATTTTACATCATGGCGTCCATGCCGCCGGGAGGGAACGTGACAGCCCGACGCAAGGGAGGACGGCACAAGCGGATCATATCATCATTCACATCAACATCAACCATATCGAGCATATCTATCCCGCACCTGAGTTCAGCCAGTGACACGTCATGAGTCCTTGATTGTTCCCTTCCCCAATGGCAACGTTGACGAGCGTCAAAATGTACATTGCATACCACCGGTTCGTTCCCAGCAGATCGGTGGGCCCTTGGGTGTATCCCGGGGCTCACATGCCGGCCTTGCCTTGTTGGGAGCGACATCATCCAACGCAACTGCATCGAACCAGAGCCTCCGTTCCCCAGCGGCAAGCCATCGGAGCGCAGCCCGTCGCCGGGCGGGGTGACGCAGAACTAAGCCCCATCAACCCCCATCTCTCCCATCCCTGGCTTCGACGTTGGCGTCGTCCTCGTCCTCGTCCTTGATTTCTCCTGTGCCTGCCCTACGGGGCCAACTGCAGTTACTGCACTACGATCCATCGCCCATCAAAACTGAATTTGGTTCATCTTTTCCTCTTTTACTTTTGCCACCCTAGCAATGCGCGCGCCGTGAGCAGGTTACGGATAGCTGTTTAGTCGTGTCTCTCTTTCCCCCCTCCGGCAGATGCTTCTCATATGATTTCAGGTTTCTCGGCCGTTACAGCCATGCCATTGCCGGATGGGATTGGACCTTGCGTGGATTTGATGGATGCCCTTCGTCACCATCCCATCCCATTCCACTATCCACTGACTTAGTAATTGGATGTTTCTTGTTTCCGTTTCATCGCATGAGGGGGGCCCATTCTTTCCCCATTCCTCGGCCACCCCACCGCCCACAATGGATCACTCTCCGTGCGGCAGAACCGCAGAGGTGGAGATGCGATCGAGGTGGAGGTGGAGGTGGAGGTGGAGGTTCGTTTACATGAAGCAGCCGGCCGGGCGAACTGCGATATGATGTCAATCTGCGAAAGCGGGGTGTGAAAGAAGACTACAGTAATCAATGTTCCAGACTCTCCTTTCGATTTTTCTCTCTTTACGACTGTCGCTGCATGATTTCACCTCCCGCCCGTCATCGGCTTATAGCTTATCGCCCATTAATTCGATCTGTCCCGACTTAATAGCGCCAGCGCCGGTGGTGGTCCCAGGAAAGGGCTCATATTGGATCGCCGCTGCCCGCCCAGGGTTTCCCATCGCTTCGGGATCGCGTGGTGGGCACGGCACCATATTGTTGCTTATCAGCTTACTTTATTGCAGTAGCCGGGATCGGCAATCCATCCATGTCGCGACCGTGACGAGTGTCCGATACAGGATTTCGCTCTCTCTGTTGATCGCGCTGTCGGGATATCTTGTATGGAAAGATATGCGACGTTCCTTGCCATGGGGGGTGGGTGGGGGGGGGTTTCGTCTATGGAGTGTGGTGTGCGCCCATCAGAAGCCTTCCAGAAACTCCCGATAACCATCGGGCCATGGTGATTCAGGAGGTACGGTTTTCCCCGAGATTTGCGATGGCACGATGGTGGCCCCAGACCTGCTGCCACAGGGAAGACGACATGTCGCGAGAAAGTCGTGAGTTGGGTGCGTGAGAGGGATTCTTGCTGTATGTGTTTCACTTTGTGTGTTCGAACAGTTAGCGACTAGGCTCGCCTGATGTTCCACTCTGTATGTTTCAACACCAGACCATGCCCAGAAGTGTCTGCAGTTGCAGCATCGTCGCGTCTTACCGTGCGCGTACCAGCGCGCGAACGAGGTGTCATAGCATGGATAGAGTGACCGTGGCATAACGCTTCCACAACACACATAAGACCCCAACAGACAGGCACAAGTTGTGACCCTCACCAAACATCCTACGAACCAGCCCACTCCTCGCCAGCTCTCTCGACGTCGTGGTGCCCCAGGAGACAAATGACGTGTCGCCAATCCCTTCCCTGCTCTGCTCTGCTCCACTGTAACCACAGCACCGCCGCCGGCCCGCTCCCAGCAACAGGCGAGGGCCCGGATCACGCCGGCGCATCGCTCCTCCCACCGTCCCGCGGTCACCGCGTCTGTGGAGGGGTTTAGTTAAGCCAAGCCAAGCCAAGCCAATCCCGGGCCACGAAGACGGCTGCCCACAGCGTCCGGCCGCCAAGACGGAAAGCGGGTTTCTTATTATTAGGGAGGGAGAGAAGGGGGAGGGGGGATGCATAGTCTCCCCGCCCCGGCTTGACGGGGGGGGCTGTGCATTTGCCCACGCGTGCGGAGTGACACCGCAGGCTGTGCGGGCGCTGCGACGGGCCAGGGGGGAGCTGGCCGGGTGTGCGAGGAGGCTGGGGACGGCGAGTTTGCTCCCTCACTGTGCTGTGCTGCTCTACGTTGGGTCGGCTTGCGTGATGTATTGTGCTGGGTTCCGTTCCGATATGCTTGGGGGGGCTTTCGTTCCTTTGGACATCTCGAATATAACACTTCTCTTCTCTATCTAATTGGTTACTGGATGCCCCTTTTGAGATTTTCGTCTTGCCATCGTCACCGCGGACTCAACCAGCCCTGAGCGGAAGGCCGGAGCTCGCTCGCTGGGAGAGGCTGGGGTTGGCTGCATTGGCTTTGGGGCCAGGGGCCAGTCAATGCTTGCTCCATGGGGAGGCGCCGGACTGAAAACTCCGCCACGCCCTGAGTCAGGAGGAATGAATGCGTGGAACGGTGCAGCTGGGATGCGGCCGTCAAGCTCGGGTGGTTTGGGCGGTGAAGCGCTTGGTGCGCCATGGCGGATTATGTTTACTCTGTTGTGTGCTTGATCTCGCAGCATGAGGGGGGATGTGTTTGCATCTCTTTGCATCTCTTTACATGAAAGATCATGCATTGTGGCATCCCCAGATTGCTTCACTATTACGTCCGTTGCGGGTTACCTTCTACAGCCACGTCCACAGCCAGTCAATCGTGATCTCTATCCATTGAGAAGCCGAATCCCCAGACCTCATGACGAGTGTACGGCCATGCTCGCCCCTCATCGGTCCTTCGCAGCGCAATGCGCCTTCCCGGAAGTAGTACGCCAACCTCCTCCCCCTCAAAACCTCAAAGCACCCACAGGGCTGATGCGCCTCTAGCCACTCAACTGCCTTCGGACGGTTACACATTCGAGGGCAGCATGGCCCCTCTATGGCGCCGCCCACCCATGGTCCCACTACTGGCTGTGCGGAGGGACAGGTGAGACCCCATTGCGAGGCGGAATCGCAAGCAATCCCACGTTGGACAGCGGCGGAGCGGAACGTGAAACCGGGGGCTGGCATGGCCATCCAGTGATACTGGAACGTTTGCCAATTCCAGACTCTTTCTCGGGCCCGCCTCAGGGGTCTTGGTGGCTGACTGGCCGGTATGTTTAACCCGTGCAAACCACAGGGCGAGAGGGGACGGGATCACAAGAGCGGCTACCTACCTTGGCTGGTAAAACCTGCTTCTACTTAGATTGATGTGCAGCCCATCGTAACTAGCTTCACCGCCAGCAAGGCCAACTCAGCTCGTCACGCCAATCGACTGGTGAAAGCCAACTTCCTATTTCCCCGATGGCTCCTATTCTAACCTAGTCTCAAAGGCTAAGCAAGCATTCCGAGACATCGTCCGCAGTACGGTGATGACCCGATCAGATCGAGCGCGGAGTCAAGCCCCAAGCGCCAAGACGTCGTGTATGCTGTCATCCAGAGCCGACAGTTGGATTGACTTGTCGTCTGGACAAGCTAGCGGCTAGCCTCCATGTTCGAGGCCGCAAGTGATCTAGCGACGCACACGCATACACAAATATAGACACACCTCTCCATTGACAAATCCCCCCATTACGACTGACCCTCATCTTTTAGATGAATGCATCCTCTGCGTGAAGAATGGATGCTTAAGGGCTTCCGAGGGAGTAATCCTCTTGTCCGGGTTCAGCGTTAAGCAGCGCTCAAGCAGGTCGATGAATTGGTTGAACTCCCTCGTCTCTGTATCGTTCATGCCGCTCGATGCAGCCAGGAGACGAGTGCGAAGGTCCCTGGTTGGCTTGATCATCGACAAGGTTCTGACGGTGGTCTGTAGCACGGCGGTTGTCAGTCATGGTATCCAAAGCAGAAGCGAAGTGAGATTCAATTTTCCGAAGTAGACGGGCGCGAAGGGCAAGAAGGGGAAAGCGTGGGAACCATGGCGGGTGAACGATGCACGTCAGAAGGATTCAAGGGGTTCTTGGCTGGACTCAGTGGGATCCAGTGGGATCCGGTGGAATGCAATCAGGCCGACAATCCATGGGCCATGAGCATGGATTATGTCGATGATCACTGCAAAGAGTACTCCACGCCATTATACAGCCAGGAATATACACACCCCCAGGCCTTAACCGAACGAAGGATCGAGATGCTTGCTTGGGCTTGGGTCTCAGGTAGCCGCTCGGGCGACGGGCAATCGTGGGGTAGCGCTTACGCGTTGGCAGCAATGCCACCCAGAAAAAAATAGAAAGAGAAAAGAGGCGGGCGCGAACCAAGAAGACGTAGATATAAATAGAACTTTGTGTAGGGGCTGAGTTGAAACAAGATGCTCCGAAGGGTTTAAAAGGAATGATGCATCACGTACCTTGCCAAGAACCTTATCCCTCTCGACACTGATGAAGTTACCAAGGTCGTCGAAGTGCATGTGGGAGAGTTGGCCGCGGCGGTAGAGCTTTCCGCTGAGCTTGCCCCGAATCTCCATGATGTTCTTCAACATCTGGTTGTTGCTGTCTCCCGTGAACAGGATCTTGCCCGTGTAGAGCTCGTACAGGGTGCAGCCAATTGACCACATGTCGACTGCGTAGTCGTAGGGCATGCCCAGCATGATCTCCGGGGCCCGGTAGAATCTACTGACCAGGTATGGCGTGATCTCGTTGTGCGCAGTCGCGGCGTCTGATCGGTCGATAGCTGTCCCCAAATCACAGATCTTGAGGACGTTCCGGCTTTCGTTGACCTGTAGCCATCTTGTTAGCATCAAGTTTTTGCCCCTTTCGTGGCTTTGCTTCCTTACCAGTATGTTATCGGGTTTCAGATCCGCGTGGATGATGCTGCATTTGCGCATATGACCGAGGGCCAGAAAGATCTGGTAGGCGTACGCTCGTGTTGCGTTCAAGTTGATGCCGATATTATTGCCGAACTTCTTGAGAACCTCGCGTAGATTGAGGCTCAAGTTCTCAAAGGCCATGCACAAGTGCCCGTTGTATTCGAAGGAACGCTCGAACTTGACAAGGTGTTTCTTGTTTTCCGGGTCGGCAGCGTTCAGCTTCTGGAGAATGGCAATTTCCGTAAATCCACCCTTTCTCAGGGCATCGTTGTTGCGCATGATCTTGATGGCCACGAGTTTCTTGGTCGTGATGTCCATCGCGCGGGCCACGCCTGAGAACATGCCTCTACCGAGGGTTGACTGGACCTGATATCGGCCGCCCAGCACTTCTCCAGGCCGGATCTTGTAATAACCGTCCTTGTCATCGCCTTCGAGGATTCCACCGCCGTTGGCCTGCCCAAGTTGAGACGGATCTTGGTTATCCTGCGCCGGCGTGGCTTTCGTAGCCGGCTTCGTGGCAGCGAACTTGTTGTCGTCAAAATCATCAGCGAACATGTCGAAGTCGTCGTCATCACCGTCATCAACATCTCCTGCGCCCTTAGTCTCCGGCTCTTCGTTCTTCGGCGCGACGATTTCTGCTTGCGATGGATGCCGGTCCTTCCCATGGAGTCCCACATTCCCGTATCGCAGCTCGTCTCGGAGCTCATCCTCCTTCATGTCGACTGTCGGATCATAGTCTGCAGCGGACGGGCCATCCTCGTCATCCACCTTGGCCTTCCCGTGGATGTTGATGAGTTCCTGATCATTAGCGATGTCAAGCGAAGCCGGAGACATGGCCTCTTGCCCGCCAGAAGCCGATACGGCCGGGGAGTTCCAGTCTGATATGTTAGCCTGCAGCCCAAAGTAAAGGCGCGGTCGGACCTTACCAGAACGAGGGGTATTCGCCTCCGTTATATGAGGAGTACTGCGCTGGGTGGACGCGGGGGTGGACACTGCTGGCTTATCCGACACTTGCAATCCCTGGACGTTGGGAGTGGCTGCACCAACGGCTCTTTTGTAGGCCGCCTCTCTCGCAAGTCGTCTCCTCTGGATCTCAGCCTCGACAGCTGCTTCTTCATCGACCGCTGCAGTTCCATCCCAATCCGGCTCAGGCTCCGGTTCCTTTTCTGGGCGTTTCTGGGTGTCACTGTGGCTTGTTAGTATGTAGCAGAGAGAAGTCCATCGAGGGAAAGGACTGACTGGGTCGGTGCAGAGGTAGCCTTGTCGGCGATGCGGTCACCCGTAACACCTTGATAAGATTTAGTATCTCGTCTAGAAGTATCAGAAGCCTCTGCCAGAGTAGCCCGCTTGGACACAGAGTTACCCTGCGAATATCTCTCATTGTGGGCACTGTACTTGATAGATTCAGCATGATCTATGGTTGGGTCTCTTCCAAAGCGACCTCGATCCCGCCGGCCCCTATCGCGGCGACCGCCCCTTGGAGAACGGCTGCGATTCCGCGGACGTTTGTCGGGGTAGCCATCGTAACCGCGGTCGAAGTTGCGATCGTCACGGCGTTGGCCGAAGGGGCGCGACGCAGTGTTATCTCGGTTTCGGTCTCTCTCTTCGTCATGGGCAGAGCCACGAGACTGTGGACGGTCTGGATCTTCGTAAGGGTGGCGGCCGCGGCGGTGACCGTCCCGAGGATCAGCCTCATAACGGACTCGAAATCGGCGGGGATCGCGCCCTCGGCTGCTGCTCTGGTATTCAGGCTCGTCGTGAGATCGTTTGAAACCACGAGGGGATCGGCTTCGCCGGAAAGGCGCATTGGCAGGGTTCCTTGACGAGTCATCAAGGTCGGGGGTGTGCGACAATCTGGGTCGAGTTCTGCCCGTCGGGTCAACATGGCCGTTTTTATCAGATCGAGGCAGGGGAGTTGCCTCTATGATTTCCCCTTCATCCGAGCTCATCATGGGGGTTGCCATATCCACTGCTGTATGCCTTGGGGCAATCTCAGAGACCAGCCCTTTGGACTCTGGTGGCAAGTGTCAGCACCCGAGAGACAAAAAGACCCGTAAAGGTACGTGTAAACAGAAGTTGAGCCCAACCAGTCTTGAGGGGTTCCAGGTTATGTCATAGTTCATACGACAGTTATCCTGATGAGTGGATTCAAACACAGGGCGACTGCAATAAGGCGGTGCTGCTCGTTGTTGTCAACAGGAGTCTTACATTGTGAGCCGTGCGTCAGAAGTTGAAGTCCTTGGCGGTTCTGCCAGTGCCTGAACTGCCGGTGTATTGCCGGCTGACCACGAAGGCACGCTAAGCCCTTTTTGAGCCGCCCTGTCCTGGGCAAATTTCTTTATGTCAAGGGTCCAACTTCCTTCCCCCCCACCTTCTTGTGCTTACCACCCCGCAAAGACAACTTCAAGAATTCTCATCTGTGAGAGTAGCAGCTGCTCCCACAACCCAGTGCCAAGATTACAAGCAGTTCCACATTTGAGAACTCTTGCCAACATGGGTGGACAGAGTCGGGAAGGTATGTGGACCGATCACTCCACACTCTCTCTACCGAGACCCAGGCTGACATCGAAAACAGGCGGAAAGGTCAAGCCTCTAAAGGCAGCCAAGAAGGATAAGAAGGACCTTGACGACGAGGATAAGGCTTTCCTAGAGAGGAAGAAGGCAGGCAAGTACCCCCTGACCTACCTATTGTTCGTCTTGGAGCCTTCACTTGCTGACACCAGTAAAAGAGGAGAAGGCTAGGAAGGAACTGGCGGCGAAAGCTGGTGGCAAGGGACCACTGAACACCGGAGCCCAAGGAATCAAGAAGTCCGGCAAGAAATAAACCTCGGCCAAGATGCACGACTCTCTTTGGGTCTGCTTGATTTGACCTTCGAGGCGCTGGGTATATATGGGCTGGTCTGGGATGGGAATAGCGAGCGAGGAGTTGTTGATTTGCAGGAAACCTACTGCCGACGCTTGTTGGAGCTGGAATGACACAACTTGCCTGGGCTCTCGAATCGTTGCATCCATGTTGCATCCATGTTGCTAATGGCTCTGCCTGATCTCCTCGCCCAATACTACATAGACTTCCTCGTCCAAACAGAATACCCTGAGTTACTATCCAGTTTCCCTAGAACCCTCATGACTCCTGAACCGTCCGCAACGTCTTATTGTATGCTGGTGACCTAGAAGTAGTTTCCTGCAGCCGATGAGTCTTATTGTTGTCGACCTCGACACCTGGGGATACAAGAGGCGCAAGACGTGGCAGCCGACGTGAAACATCCGAAAGAAAAGAGACTGTTGATCATCTCGACCGTTGATCAGTCCAGATGCACGGGGTATGAACTCATTTTCTAATGATTTTGATCAAGCAGGGTATCTATGCTTCATTTCCGCCAACACCAAGTAACCCGGTATCGCCACACTCTGCGCCGAGACCATCAACCTCTCATGAACGGCTTTGAATCTTCCTGATGACCACCTTTGTCTCGTTGAGCTCCCATCCCACTGCATACTCCGCTTGGAGCTCGCTCCAAGTCAGCCCAGTCGACGACTCCAAAAACTGGAGCGGCACCGACAGATACGTCCGGCCGAAAGCCTTCAGCAGGTGCCTCCTCAAGCCCGGCTCGGCGAACTCGACGATCCGGGCCCTGTGGCCATCCAGACCGTTCTTGACCCTGAAGAGCGCGACCCAGTTATCCTGCACCAGGGCGCGCAGCACACCGTCCACTTTGGCGTCCCGCAGGCGGTACCGGTTCCGCATCTCGTACGCCTCCGCCAGATCCCCCCTCCGGCACGCGGCGTCGAGGACCAGATAGCCAACCGCCTCCTGGAGCTCGATGCTCGTTAGGTTGTGCCGCGGGTGGACGACGCGGAGCAGGTGCAGGATGGCGGGGTGGTAGGCCTCGGGGGTCTGGCACAGCACCCCCAGCCGGATGGCGAAGAGGTATACCTGGCTGGCAAACCCGTCCGCCCTCTTGGAGGCCACGATCCCTTCCCGCAGCTTGCGGAGAGCGCCGAGGATGTGCGACAGCTCTGCGCGGCCGGGCGCGGGCGCTGCTGACGAGGTCGCCGGACGGGTGGCATTCTCCTGCGCCGACAGTTGCAGGGAGGCGAATCGCCTCAGTAGGGAGGTCGAGTCGCCGGCCTCGGTGCAGAATGACATGTACTTCTCGACGATCTTGGCATAGTACCTTTCCTGGGTCGAAGAAACGAGGAGCCTGCGTGGAGAAGCTCCGAGTTGGTGAGAGCGGGATGTGGGCGGAAGAGAGCCACGAACCTCTTGTCCCCCTTGCTAGGAAGTCCAAACTCGTCCAGAGGATCCTCGGTCACCGGCTTGAGCCTACCCCACGGCCCAGAGGTGTTTCTTCCTCCAGTTCCTCCTTTCCGTTGCATCATGTCGGTTTGTTGTGATTATTGAATGTGGTTTGGAGGACATTCTGGGAAGGGATCCCCACCCCCACCACCGTTATCTTATCGGATCTCAAGTAATCCAGGCACAGATCCATGTCCAGTTTAAGGCTCGGCTTGCCCATGACTCTACCTCCTTCGTCTTTATTTTTGACCTCAACATTAAGACAGACTACCTAACCAGGAAGTACCCAAGGTATCTGAGTAGATATTCGGGCAGGAAGCCACCCCTGACCCGCAATGGTACTGGGCTGCTAGCATTTTCGGCTCCGGCCGGCATTCTCCCACGTTGCGAGGAAACCTGCGCGGGGGCGGGCACTCCACAGTAGCTTGCATATCCCGCAAGTTGTTTCCCGCTACCTCGGCATGATGCGACCTTCGGGAGCCCCGACCGATCACACCCAGTAGGTAGCTTTTAGTTTTAAGACCAGACACGCGCATTCCCAAGATGAGATAGATAGCTGTTCGTACTTTGGAGCCGTGACAAATAAAACCTCAGTTTCTTACTTCCACAGCTTAATTCGAGACGAGGACTTCTCCTCAGCAACAATGGCGGACAGAGTGAACCAGATCGTCGGCCATCTCAACTACCCCAAGGGCCTCCTACCCGGACAGGTAGCCATCATCACAGGGTCGGCGCAGGGAATCGGGGCCGAATGCGCCAGGCTGTTTGCCAACGAGGGAGCAAAGGTTGTCATCTCGGACATCGACGCTGGCAAGTCCCGGGCCGTTGCCGACAAGATCAACGCCGACGGCGGCAAGGCAATCGCCGTGCCGGGCGACCTGCTGAATGATGAGTACATCAAGGAGTTGGTGAAGAAGGCAGCCGAGTTCGGTAATGGCAAGATCCACATCATCGTGAATAACGCAGGCTTCACATGGGATGCCGTCATCCACAAGGTCAGTTGCTGCCGGCCCCCTTCCTTTCTTCCTTCCTTCCTTCCTTCCTTGCTCCCCGGCGAGGCCAGCATCTTCTAACCCACTTGCCCAGATGACCGATAAGCAATGGGACACCATCGTGGCCCTGCACGCAACGGTCCCCTTCAAGCTGACCCGCGAGGCGGCGCCCTTCTTCCGGGTCCGCGACGGCGAGCCGCGGTGCATCATCAACATCTCCAGCACGTCGGGTCTGCACGGCAACGCGGGCCAGCTCAACTACGCGCTCGCCAAGGCCGGCGTCACGGGCGCGACCAAGACCATCGCCAAGGAGTGGGGTCCGGCGTTCGGCGTGCGCGCAAACACCGTCGCCTTCGGCCACATCGAGACCCGCCTGACCGCCGACAAGGAGGCCGGCGGCTTCGTTCTCGTCGATGGCCAGAAGGTCGCCCTCGGCATCCCGGGCGGCCAGAAGGCCGCCCCCGCCGGGCAAGAGGCCCATGCGGATATCCCGCTACGGAGGCCCGGCACCGCGACGGAGGCGGCGAAGGCCGTCTTGGCTGTCGCTAGCCCGTTGTTCGCCTATGTCACCGGCCAGACGATCAGCGTGACAGGAGGGCGGAATATCTGAGTCGTGGCAAGTGCGCAGGTCCGGGGGGGGGGGGGGGGGGGGGGGGATTTGTTTAAAAAAAAAATTAATTACCTAAAAAAATTAATTTTTTTACCAAAAAAAAAAAAAACGGGGGGGTGCGTGGGTTTTGAAAAAAGT